TGTGTGTGTGTGTGTGTGTGTGTTGCGCTGTAGTGTGTGTAAGTGATGTGCTGACTGCACAGATGGTGGAGTAGTCCCTGCTGCGCTACTGTCATCAGCTCAGCTCTGAGGGAGGGGTGGGTGTGTGTGTGTTTTGTGGGTGGGTATGGAGGAGCTATGTAAAAACCAACATATTTCAGGCTCACTGCCTTTCCTTATCTGTGATTGCCTCCCAGGGTCACCCCCCCATCCCTCACCCCCCCCACCCCCCCTCTCCTCAGCCCACGCATATGGAATTAGTAATGACTCAGTCTAATTACTGCTTTTGACAGTGTAAAGTGAGACTCTGGAGCACTGAAAAAAAAATCTGTGTCTATGGCCATATTGGTTTCAGTTACCCATCAGCCATTGCATCAGAAGTGGAAGACAAAAAGAAGTTTGAGGTTGTCATTCAGTCCATTTCTTTTTCTTTTTTTTTTCCCCTCCTTTCACTTTCACACCCTCCTTCCTTTGTGTATGTGTATGTGTTAAATAGTCACAGTCCCTTTGTCTTTGTCTGTGTATCCCCACAGGAGTTCTTGAGTGACAGGGAGCATGGCCAGGCCAGGCTGAGTACAGTAGGAGCCAGTGGGGAGCTGCTGATGGCTGTGGTGTCCAGAGACAGAGTGGAGGGGATCAAGGCCAAGGTGGCGAATGCGAGAGACGACTGGAAGAGCCTGATGAATAACCTGCAGATGAGGGAGGATGCACTCAAGGTTTGTTAACTTTTAACTTTAGTTTGGATGCTGCTTTCCATGGTCTGCCCTGGAAAAGAAAATCTGGATCTCAGAGGGACTATATGGTTAAATAAAGTTTAACTCTGTGGTGTGGATGTTTAAATGAATGCAGACTTAGTACTTGTATACAGTCCATGTCCATGTTTTTTTTTTTTTTTTAAAGTATATTTTTTTGGGCTTTTATGCCTTTAATGGACAGCACAGTGGAGAGTGACAGGAAACGGGGAGGCAGAGAGAGGGGGAATGACATGCAGTGAAAGGCCGTCCGATGCGGGATTCGAACCGGGGCCGACTGCAGCGAGGACTGTAGCCTCTACACATGGGGCGCCTGCTTAAACCACTACGCTACACGACGCCCCGCATGTCCATGTTTTTGTTTGTTTTCCTGCTCTCTACCTCTTTATTAACATTGTTATGGTACTGATTTGGTTTAATTAGATTTATTGTGCATATAAAGTATTTTAGAGGGTAAACAAATAGAGATACCAATGTGGATTTGATATGCTACTACAGTCTGAATTTCATTTTAGCATTAAAATGCTTACTTTTCCTAATTTTCTAATAACAAACAAACAAACGAATAACTGCTTTTCTAGTTGTATTTGAAAAATTACGTATCATATTTCCAGAACCTGCAGTCCCAGATGACAGAGTTTGAGGCCAGTGCTGAGCCTCTGCAGGACTGGCTCAACAGCACAGAGGTCAGAGTTCAGGAGAGCAGTGCTCGGCTACACGACCTTCCAGCCAAAAAACAGGAGCTCAGCAAACTACAGGTATTTTGGATCCGTGAGTTATGGTTCCACCCTGTCTGGGATTCATTAACCTGAAGATTTCTGGTTCCTCACAGCTGAACACCACGGCTCTCTTAAAATTACATTTCCCCTATCATTTTTGTGGTTATTCATGTGGCCAGCTGTTAATTTTTACAGTCTTTTATAGCCACTCCTTAGGCAATATGTTTCACAATACATCAGGACATTTTAATCCATCCTGTAGGATCCATTTTCTTTTAAATTACATTATGTCATACTGAGAGTGCGCCTTTTACAGTTCTCTCCTCAGCTGCTATCACAGACATTCTCTCATTTCCTCTCCTCACTCAAGTAAACCCTGGCATTACACCATAAATTGAATATTAAGTAGATTTTCCAAGGACACTAAATAGTTGTAGCTCTCCATCAGATATGGATCCCTAAAGTACAATCTGAAATCAGCTGGGAGAAGAGAAGGACCTAATTACATTTGTCGAGCACCACAGGATCAAAATAGAGCAGCGTCTTGACACAATAGTCAGAGGAAAAGTCCAGAAATCTAATTAATTCTCCTTCTGTCACAGCTGAAGCGCTGCGTGGCTAAAAGGCCCTTTTCAGGATGCGATAACAGCCTCTGCCATGTCTGGCAGAGACAAAAAAGGAAGAGAGGCACGGAGCGTTAAAAAGATAAAACTGACAAAGGAGAGAAAAATATATCAAGCCCATCTCAAAGCTCTGCCCTTATCATTGTTGCTATTTTTGTATTTACTCTGTCGCCTGCTGTAGCACTTCTCCTGGTTGCCTTTTGTCTGGCCCTGCAAGCAATTACATTTCTCCCCCAGCACCTGAAGTACAATACAATACATGCAGGCTTCAGTGTCTGAACCTGTGTTGGCAAAATCCTCTTTACTTTTTCACATACGTACCCCCCCCCCGTCTTTGCATTTATTTTATCAGGCTTGTCTCCACTCCCTGTGCTGTGCTGTGGTGTCTAACTGAATAACCATATTTCTATTTAAAAACGAACATCAAGTGAAATACTGCTGATGCTCTTTTTTTACAGTGTTCTTTTCCCTTGTCTTTATCCGTGTATTTTGATGTGCTATTGTTGTTCTGTCTCTTCTTGTGACATGTTAACCCAACCCTGTATCCCTCCTCCCTTTTCTGTCTCCGGTTCCATGAAAAACACCATTTTTTTTTTTGTTTTTTTTGTTTTGTCGTTTCATTTTCCCCTTGACTCAAAATTTTATGGTGCTTACACGCAACCATCCTTTCCAATCTGTCACTTTTAACCCCGCACTCCCGACTGTGCTCCCCTACATCCTATTGCTCCTTCATCTCTACTCCACCATCTCCTCCTCCTCCTCCTCCTGCTTCATACTGGCCCAGTGTGTACTGGAAGAGATAGCGAGTCGGGAGGCAGAGCTGGGCAGGCTGAGGGAAAGAGCTCACCGTCTATGGGAGGGACAAGCAGCTGGCAAGGGCTTCGTCCACCGTGTATCCCAACTGTCAGCACAGTACCTAGCCCTCAGCAACTTAACCAAGGTAAAACCGCCCCCACCCTGTAACCCCTGTGCTCCCCCTCTCTTGTCTACTGATCTGTGTCTCTGTCTGAGAAATGCTGCAGCAAGCTGAGATATGCCCTGCTTGATTCATGTATTGTTACAGGTAAAAACTATGGAGCCTTTTATCCAGCCCATGTTGTTTAATGTTGTGCTGTGTAATTTGCTGTGTCATGCATTATTCCCCAGTTGCACATCGCTGTTGCCTCATGTGAAAATACGGCATCCAAGAGTGTCTCCATATCCAGAGTAAATTACCTGAGTACAGTAATCTTTCAACAAAAGGTCTTCATGGCGGCGGCCTCATCAACGTAAAAAAGGCCAAGGCTGTTGAGCTTACCTTTGTCCAATCAAGCACTTCTAAAATGCCAGAACTGAAATGTGACAGTGCTCGAGAATCTGACCTTTTCGAAGCTCTCATTAGATTGGTCACACTCTCATGATTAATTTGGTACAGTGTAGAACAAAACATTACACTGACCACCAAGCACCGTTCTCTTACCTCAGGACAGTGAGAGTGCCCCAACAATGATGAATGGGATTTATTTACTTTGCCGCCTAACTAGTGGAGCGCTATTTTTAGGTCCTCTTCCCGGCCAGACATGGAAACAGGAATGAAATCATTTGAAATTGCCCCTTGTAGATTGTTATTGTAGCTCTGCCTGTCTCCACCCTACAGTTACACAGATGCTGAAGATGTACTGTGCTGTAATGTGTGAGGGTGGGAAAGTCTCCGGAGACGCCTGTGAGGGAAAACAAGAATGTGATTTCAAATACAAACAGAACAATATGAAGATACTGTTTTTGTGCACCGGAAACCGCTGCATCGCTGCAAACTTGTAAGGTTTGAAAGAGTGCGTTTACAGTGCTGTGCTCTGATTTTTAAAGGACAAAGCCTCCAGGATTGAACGTATCGTGGGGGAACACCGCCTATTCTCTCAGGGTCTTAAAGAGCTGCAGGACTGGGTGTGTGAAGCTCAGAGGGTCCTCAACACCTGCATCTCCACCACCACTGACAAGGGCGTGTTGGAGGACCGGATGTTACAGCTGGAAGTAAGGGGGGAGACTACGGGTGTGGGATCCCTTAAAAGAATACACCATGATTTTCAGCGATTGGACTAAGGAAACTCTCATTGTCTCAAAATCAGGTCTTGGAACAGTTCTGATACTTAAACAGTCCATAGTCATGTCCAATTTTGGACGCATTGAGTCAGCAGGGAAATCTGGCGTCACATAAAGAGACATTGTATTTAAATGTCTAAAAGTAAAGACTACACACGCTATATAAAAAAAATAATCACGTTTTAATTATTGAATGTTCATTCTTGCCCTGGATAATAAAGGTCAAGATAGTGCAGTAATGGTCAGTTTGGGTTTTTGTGTAGTGTAACCATAGCAACGCAGCAGATACAAAGGGTAGAGCTACAGCAGCGTCTTTACACTGAGGAATAATTCAAATTTTAGTATGGAGCACCACACCAACAGGAACACATACTGTAGATTGTTGGTGATCATCAACTAATTAACTTCTCTCTTGAAAACCTTGATGCATTTCTTTGTCTGCAGGCTTTACTGGCTGCACGTCAGGAAAGGGAGATCCAGCTGAAGATGCTGCTGACGCGGGGAGAAGCTGTCCAGAGAAACACTTCGGCTGAGGGCGTCCCAGTGATTCGCAAACAGATCCAGGACCTCAAGGACTCATGGGATTCCCTGCTCTCTGCCTCCATTCAGTGTAAAAGGTTGTGATCATGACCCGATCAATCTGTCAGACAGTTGATAAATGGGGCAGGGAACTGTCTAGTTTCACTTGATGGATTTCAATCAGTTGAAAGGTTAAAGGGACAATTAAATTAAACTGTTTGCATCTGTAGGAAGCATCTGTCCATTTGTCTGTTTGTTGCCTGTGTGTTAACGTCATTATGTTGATTTTCACAGTCAACTGGAGGGTGCTCTGTCGCAATGGACCAGCTATCAGGAAGATGTAGGTCAGTTTGTGTTGTGGATGGACCGCGTGGAGGAGACACTGAGCTGCTCAGACAGACAATATTCTGAGATGAGAGACAAAACCGCTAACCTGGGAAAAACCAAGGTATCATCTTGCTAACAACAGCTGGCCTTAAAAAAAGCCTTTGATGTTAAACTCTACTTTGCTGTTTTCTGAAGCATTTACACTTATTTACAGAGTCTCCATGTTTATCCAGCTTTTCTTTATTTTTTATGTTCTTCCAAAAGATTTGGCACACCACCCAAACATTTATATCCCCGAGCCTCCCAGTGGAGATAGATAAACAACAGTGAGTGTGTGCATGTGTTTTTATTTCACTCCAGCTTCTCTATGAAGAAGTATTGAGTCACAGCAGTCCTCTGGAGACCATTGCCACAAAGGGGTCCAATATGGCTGAACACTACACTACCCAGCAGGAGGTGCAGCAGCTGCAGTGTAGATACAACACCCTCAAAGAAAAGGCCAAGGTACTTACCCACGACATACGGTTTCATTTTTTTCTCTGCAGGCATTTGAATAATGAATGATTGTTCTGCCTCTGCGCTTGCGACAGCCAGGGCTAGAGGCATTATGTTTTCGGGGTGTCAGTCCATCCGTCACTTGGACTCAAGGATGAACAAAGTAGGTCAAAGGGCAAGCTCACGGTGACCTCACAAAACATGTTTTTTGGCTATAACTCAAAAATGCATGCACTAATAATGACACAATTTAACACAAATGTCTAATAGGATAAAAGTATAAAGTGACGACATTTTCTATCCAAATGGTCAAAGGTCGACTTCACTGTGACATCATAATGTTCTGCAAAACACTTCGGGCCATTATTCAATGCTGTAACTCAGGAAGGCGAGATTGTGACCATGTATCCTACAACTTAGCAAGTTGGTGGAGGCATACAACCGCAAGGGGGTAATTCTAGTATTGAAAATGTTTCTCTGAACGCCTACTTCATGTTGTTTTATAAATATCAATCATATTCCCACAAAATTATTTGCGTGTGTGACCTGCATGTTTTACATTTTAGTAACTTCTCTAATAATCATTTAGAATTCATTACATATTTTATTTCAATGTTTTAATAGAAAGTCAAAGACAAAGATAAACAATGTTGTCATTCTGTTCAGTTTCAAATCTCAGTAATGAGGCAAAGTTTTATAACTGCACTTTCAGACTGCGCTTTTGAATATTGTGTTCTGCTTTACGCTCCACCTCTCTTAACCCTTTACATTTTTGTGAGTTACATATTGTAAAAATTATTGTTGTTATTGTTTGTGATGACAAAATAACACTGTCCTGTGCTCCTGTAATATTTAATGGGTTCCTGTAATGTCTCCAACCTGTTGTTTTGCAGAATGCAGTCAGTAAGGCCAAGGGACTAGTGCTGGTCCATCAGGAGTATCAAAGGGGGTTACATGTGTTTGAGGACTGGCTGGAGCAGGAACAGGCCTCGCTCGCCTCCTTGTCCCATCCAGAGGGAAACGTGGATATACTGGAGAAGACACTGCAACAGCTACAGGTATTAATACTGTGGGGTAATGTTTTCATGAACAGAGTGTACAAATGTAAGGAGAGTTTCCTCAGATTATTTTGTACTCTTATACACAAAACTGACATCCGATCTCTCCTGAGGCTAATGCATAAATCTTTAACACCTGGCCCTTTTGGCAACTGAACCACTTCAGATTCTTCAGTCACATTGTTTCTGCTTGTTCCCCTCGTAGCTCCTGCAGGATCGCTGCTCAAATGGCCAGTCTTTGCTCTCCTCTGTGCTCACCAGCAGAGAGAGAGTAATCCCTTGGGGTATACCACAGATCGAGGACCGAGCCCTGGACACCGCTCAGAGAGAGTGGGGGGCCTACCAGGGCCGCCTGGAGGAGACTCAAACTCAGCTGAATTCCACACTGACCAGACTGAGGCAGATGGGCCAAAAGTTCCTGAGCCTGGCCCAGTGGCTGGAGGAGATGGAGAGGGTGGCAAACATCAGACGTCATCGGAGGTCAGACAGAGGCAACAAGGAGACTCAGCTGAAGAAACTCCAGGTCAGGGAGAGACATGGTTTCTGCAAATGGACTTTAATTTCATATAAAATATGTGCTCTAAATATGACAGATGCAGCGATTATACTGTAGACTACACGGACGCTTCAATAAAAGAAGAATAACAAAAAGCTCACCCTTTACCTACAGGACTTCTAACTAAATTCCAGTGGCTTTGAATAAATCCTTGTGCACCTCCTTGTGCTGTCTTTGATTAAGATTACTCTTTTCGCTGTCAGTCATATCCAGACATCTCAAAGCAACATACCCACCTGTTTACTCACGCAAAACTCAACTGCAACAGTATCCAAGGCAAATAGATTTTCTCTTTGAAAATTAAAAGTTATGAGGTATCCCAGGGCCTAGCACCGCAATACATCACTTTTCTAACTTAAGCATACACTCCATTCACAGCATGTGTTTGAAGGAAAACAGCAGTGGACAGAGTATTTTCCTGCCGGGTCTCCTCCCTCAGGAGCACACTTCCTGCCAGAGTCAGGATGTCAGACAGTCTCAGTGTTTTCCTTCCCTGCATTTAGAGGGATACACTCACAGGCGCACACGCGTAAACACACGCACACACACGCACACACATGCACACACACCCTTTTCCCCAATATCTTGATGTTTGTGATTTAATGTTATAATTCTTTTTTTTTCTCCAGTGTTTGTTGATATTTATTTATGTTTCTTTAAAAAAAAACATTTATAATTTTCACTGGAGTTAACTAAAATATTAATAATAATTCATACACATCTCCATGTCTCTTGTGAACAGGGGTGTCTCGAGGCAGTGCTTGCTCGGCAGGGAGAAGTCGATGGCCTCTCCTCTCTGGCGCAGCAGGTTCTGGAGGAAACCTACATCAGTAGTCGTGTTAGTGTTACCGCCACCCAGCTCACCGCCCGCTACCATTCTCTGCTGCTCAACATACAGGTAAGACACACTGTCGGCTGTTCAGTGATTCATGAGGTCATACCTGTATATGTGCTATTAATTTGATAAGTTCTCCCAGTCTTTACAAACATAACTGTTTTTGTTTGCAATAACTACTCTTGTTATTTAGAATCAGTTTTTTCCCAAAAGATAGACATCATGTTCACGTGTAAGCGAGACCTACTTTACCTGTCGAAGCGCCTCATTGCAGAGAGTTTAAGAATGAAAATTACAAGTTCCCTTTTTGTTTATTCTGTTGACATCTATGTTCAGACTAATCTATATCAAATACGCAGCTGTTCATGCTCTTTTTTTTTTCTTTTTTTTTTGGCAATTAAACATAGGAGCCAGATGTGAGATACTTCTTAATAGTGTCTGTGGATAGAAGTTTGAATCCTCTTCTTCTTTCATTTTTTCAAAGCTTACAAATGTTAATTACAGTTGTATAAATATTTTGTGACATATTCTGGTTTTCTGATGCCATACAGCATGTAGAGGATACAATTACCCGTGTTATCAGCTAGTTATACTTACTCTTTGTAGTATCAATGCTGAACAGTACTATTTATATTATTATATTAACAATGCTTCTGGTGGTCAGGAAGAATAACTTAAAACATTGCTGTCGGACAAATACAATACTGAATTTCCTGTCTACCAAAGATTTTCCTGTTCAAGACCTACCTGTCATCATGAGTAGCAGAATATTACAGGGTTTATGAAAGGTTTTGTTCAGGGAATTTTAAGACTTTTTAAGACCTTTTAAAAAAAACACATAAAATGCAAGTTAATATCTGCGTCATAATCATATTGGACAAGATATGTTGAAACATTGAAAGGGGCAATGGCCTTGTATTATTTAATATTATATCATATTTTTTTCAGTACCACCTATCAGTATATAACAGTAATCCCTAATGACATTAAAATGATTGATTTATTTAAGTTCATTTAAATCTGACACTTGCCCATTGTGAAAAGGATGAGCTTCCTAGCTACTGAAGTTATCAGTTAGTGACAGTGTCTCCTGTAGGTCTAATGGTGCTGACTGAAACTATTTTTTTTTAAAAAGGAGTGAACAGCACAATTCACTGCTGAAACAATTGCATTTTTTATTTTATAAGTTTATAGCGTCACCAGCAGCGCACAATCACATACAAAAACATGAACACACGATGAAAATGTGAATTCGTGTGTATTGCCATCGGGGTCTCTGCCTGCAGTGCGCTTTTTCACACATGGTTATGCTCTCTCACCATGGAATTCACTCCAGTGCAACTTTGGTCCTTGTTTCTGTAACACCCCATTGAAGTAGCTTTTGGAGTTATGCCTGTGAGCCCAGCCTGTGTTGCTCTGTATACTCAGATCTAGCCTCTCTATTTGTCTGCTCCTCTGGGGGGGACTAAAGGAAAATCAATGGGGCTCCTCTGGTCTGGGGCTAAGGCTGTAATTAAACGCTACAGAAGGCAATCTCACACCCGGCACCAGGAGTGGAGAAGCTTTGCCTGCACTGCATTGATTTTTACACCTTCAGTAACACATCTGAGTATGTGTGTGCATGTGTGTCTCCCTGTCACTCCCTCACTTTGTTTCTCTGTTTCTGTTATACCCACACCCCTTCCTTCCCCTCTCAAAATTGACTAAAGCGTGCATATACTTAAGTCATGCCGACACACATGCACGCAGACACACAACATCCCTCGCCTACCATGGATGTCTGTGATTATTCTGTGTGAAGTGGGGGCCATATGGGCTTGAGGTGGGAAGCTATTACCTCTGTCTAGTCAGAAAAGGTGTGCACTCAGCACTATCAGCTAATTGGAGGTTCTCACCACAGGATTTGCAAGTTGAGTGAATAATGTGTCAAACCTGCAAGAAACCCTCTCCATCCTCATGGTGTTATTGACTCAAAATCTCAGTCAAGTGGATAATGCGTCAAAAACATAAAGCCCCTCTCCACCTTGTTGTGAAGCTATTGACATTCAGGAGATGAAAGAGAAAGGGGGGAAACAGATATTTTCTGTTTTGATGGCTGATCAGAGAGATTTTGGTCCTTGGTGGCCAATGTTACACGGCTGGGGCACATCTCACACCTTAAAAGGAAAGAAATTCACTCCATGTTTCCTGGTTATTCCCCTGACTTTAACAACAGTTCTGACCTCAGAAACAAAAAGAAAAAAAGTTATCCACCTTCATGTTCATATGATGAAATAATATGAGGATATGATAGGGGTGCACTAGCACCCAAGTAATGACTACATTATATTTAAATGTTTTTTATTTATTTGGCTATTTATTAAATATCACATATATTGTAAATATATCAGTCATGTGGTTAAGTCTATAACCAGTAAGACCATATATAGGCCTCAGGGGTTTTTGGAAAAAAATCTAATAATAGTGACTGTCTCCATGAAACATCTTTTGTCTGCATTGCAACTGAATGAACTGTATAAACACCATATATTGCAATAATCCTTTAAAATCCTACATTTATTTAACTTTTCCTCTGACCTTTTGTCCAATAATGTTTCAGGACACCATCAAGCAGCTACAGGAGGAGGTGAAGAGTATTGAAGAGGCGGAAAATCTTTGCATGTCATTCACTGACTGGCTCAGCTCGACTCAGAAAAGCTTCACGGTGTTAACAGATACTTCTGAACCTCTGGACCGGGTCGCCATGGAGAAGAAGATGAAAAAACTAGAGGTATTGATCTATTTACCTAGACATGTAGTAGATTGTTTGAATTTCACAGTCACAAAGCTCAACCTCCTTTTGTCAGTGAGGCATTTGGATACAAGGTGCAATACTGCGCTTAATATGCGTTCCTGAACAGGTTGCAATAAATCAGCACAGATGCTGGGAATTACTACGGCAAAATGATGAGTTAGCAAGTCTTTGGTTTATAGAAGAGAAGTTGATCACAAACCCATCTGAGTCCAATATCCAAGCCAGCAAAACTGTCTGTTTGCAATCTAGTTTTCTGCCAAGCAACATATGGTATCTGCTTATAGCATCAAGTATACAGGTTTCTTTGGCAGCCACAATATGCCTGGCAAGTAAAATATGCATGAACTATCTGGAAAACTAGCAAAGCAGTCAGTCTACCTTTAATATTTGGATAGTGCTCTCACTTAAAGAAACTTGCTTTAATAGCAAAATTGTAAAAGTTTCTCTGTGTGCTCTTTGTGTCAAATGGGCATTAGCAGGAGGAAGCCCTGCTGGAACATGCACAGAGTACAATACAAAAAAAAAAAAAATCGTCATTTAACGTTTATTTGGCACAGTTCGTATTGAGTGTGTAGGGGATTGGACTGTGTGTGTATTGATCGGCTCTTTATGAAGACAAAGCGGGTGCTGCTTTAGAGGAAGCGTAGTAGCAGGGAGAGACCTCCCACTGTGAAGCAGAGGATGAAGAAGCGCCAGTGTCAGGAGCCTGCTGGCACAGACACTGTAATTGATGCAGTGCCCTTACTGCTTCACATCTCACACATACACACACATACACACACTTCTCTCCTCCATCACTCGTTTCATACCATAAAACCCATCCAAAGTACTAACTAACAAGCTGCAGCAAACTCCCAAGTCCATGAATCCTCAGTGATTTCTCACATTTTTTTCCACCTCAGTTTTTTTTTTAATCTATCGCTACATCTCGTTTCTCTTTGTCTTCTTCACACACAAACCCAGAAACGCATTCACAGACACACGCGTAGACGTTTACAATAGATCATCTGGTGTGGGCTTTGCAGTAATCCCTGTCTGGGATCGATGCTCTGTCGCTGCATAGGGACTGAAGACATGCTGTCACCACATGTGTCCTTCCAGCACTGCAGATAACACACGAATGCTCCATCGCTTACTCATTCTCCCAAAGTGAGATGATTATACATTGACACAAAGACCAGTAGTCAATAGTTGTGTCAAGGGCCGTTAGTTGGATTTGCACCTCATTTGATCCTGGGCTGTAACTGTAAAAGCGTGAGTCCGACAGCACTGATGGACCTCATCAACCAGTAATATGCTCTGACTTCATTAAGATATTTGAAAATTTTAGTAATGTAATAAAGTAGCATGGTGAGATATATACATTTTGTCAGAGGGCATCATTTGTCCCCTTGAAATGGGCAATCTTAGTAGCTTTGTGTATTTAAAATGATTACATTTTCCCACTTTGTCTCCATCCAGTGCATCTTAACCTTTTTATTTCATTTTTTCCAAGATATTAATTGTTGTTTTTTTATTCATTCAGTGGTTTTTTTTTCACCTTGAGTGTTCCAAAAAGCGTCTCCCACTCACAAGCTCCAGGAAACATTGTAAACAAGGCAAAATGCAAAATGCAAAATGCAAAATGCAAAAGAGAAAAGGCTTTCTCCTTCTCCTAATTAAGCAACCCCTTCCCTTCCCCCATTCAGAGTTTTAATTTCACGGGCACTTCATAAATGTTCAAGGGCATTTCTAAAGTCCCTGTTGCTTTCAAACGCACACAGTCATGGTTTTTCTCCAAAGGTGAAGGTGAATTGGACCACGTTATTTCTTAATTATTGTCATAAATAATACATGCTTTTGGCATTACAAACAGCAACAGAACAGAAAAAAATCAAAGTTATTGCTCTTCATAATTTAACCATGAATACTGCGCAGAATACAACGTACTGGTTTTATGGTGCAGTTTTGCTACAGTTCATGCATTCAAGATGGAGAGACACTGACAGCAGAGCCCATAAACTGCTCACAGGGTCACCTTAGCAATGTCCTCCCTCTGTGAGTAGATAATGATAACGATGGACATGGTTGTCAGTGCTACAGTAGATGTATTACAGTAGATAATGGAGTATGAGAACTCATGCAGAATAAGAAATAGAATCGCTAGTGCTCATCATATACAGCGGGTGCACAAGACACTTGACATGGATAATTGGGGTTGACATGGTACAAGACAGTTTACAGAATAAAGGGTGCGATGTGTGTTCACCAGACTGCACTGACTGTATTGACCATTATTGCAGTGTAGTTTTGGCTGCACGTAGAGTAGATATTTAATGACATGACATCAAGCAGGTTTCCATCCTTCCATCAATAGCCACATTTAACCAAATCCACTGAGTTATTATGTTGTTCTTGATGGAACAAGTAGACGCTGAATGGAGCTGTGTCCAAGTACAAATCAACAACTTTCAGAGGTTTTAATGGTTCTTACAATAGTCTTGGATCTACAACGCACAATATGGAGCAAATCAAATTCTGGATAACTATTTGTGGAGTACTTACTAACTGCCAGTTTCAACACGATCTTACAATTTCAATTTAACACGTAGACAACCAGAACCGCTAAGAAGGATACTCCACAGGGCGTCAGGTGTGAGGTGTGAAGAGCAGATAATTGTTGATGTGAAGTAGAGACGAGGATTCGTACTGAACTGAATCTACTACTAATGGCAATCACCACAGACGTTCTTGTTTTAGTCAATCACACAGAATTGTATGGAATTGCAATATAGTGAGTGTCTCTTATTAAGGTCATAAAGCAGGGACATTGTCATTGTTACTGGAATGATGAACATGCCTGAGCCTGGAGCTTCATATTAAAAGGCAAATATGGGTGTGTGCAGACAGACACGGCTCTTGTTATAGTATATATTAAACAGGAGTAGCTGGAGATCTGGGGTTGTTGCACTGTGAAGCTACTCTCTACTCAAGCAATAATAGACTGATGATGAAAGCTAGATGATGTCCCATCGAGTGGAGGTCTGTGTGTGTATGTGGTGTGTGTTGTGGTTGCCCTGGAAACCCCTGTGGCTACTGCTGCCTGTTAAGGTTCCTTATAATTGGGTCCTTCTTTCATATTATTCAGTGTGGTTTCTCCACACCATGACCTCCCAGTCTTCTCCACATCTCACCATGCAGGTGTCAGCCTACCTGATGGGTTCAAAGCCTTTCAAACAAACTGCCAGGCTGGTCCGGGTGACTGGGGCAGCACAGAAGGTGAAGGACAAAGAAATCAGTGATTCTGTGTTTGAATGTTAACCTCAAAGTCATGGCAACTATGATAGTAGGATTTCCTTATGGTAGAGCATATATACTTTTATTTTGGTACATCACTATAGACAAGAAAACAAGCTTTTGCATTTTTTCCTTTAACTCAGCTGTGTGTAAAATGCCCCGGCTCATCTTTAGTATAAAGGAATGGTGATAACACTGTAACAGCACCAGTGCTAAGTTGTATTTCTGCTCTCTTTCACCCAGATTCTCCAGTCTGAGCTCCAACATGGCCACAGTTTCCTGAAGTCTCTGAGGGAGCGGGCAGAGCAGGCAGCAGGCTTCCTGGATGAGGCTGGAGCTGAGAGTTTGGGAGGAGAGGTAGAGGCTCGTCTTGCCCAGCTGGAGGAGCTCGCAGGTGGACTGAGGCAGGAGCACAGCTTTCTAGAGCGGGCATTACTTTTAGCCAAGGAGTTCCAGGACCGGTACAAGGCTCAGGCCCAGTGGTTGGTGGAGACCCGAGCTTTGCTTAACACCCCGGTGGAGCCCAAGGCTGAATTGTATCAACGGAGAGCACAGCTGGCCAAGTATAAGGTATAGCAACTATGTAATCTCTGAGTCTTTCCTTCTCTATCTGACTGTACTATATTTTAATTAAAATGAGTATAAAGCCCTACAGGTCATTGCATTAATGCAGCATTCAGTAATTTTGCACTTGGGTGGGTCCAAATGGCAGCAACACCTTACTGAATATTATTAGCTTAATGGAGCACTTGAGTGTACTTGCATGGCTTAGACCATTAACTCTGAAATTGAATATACTTTACATAACTGCCGATCATTTTCCGGAGTATACCTTTCCTTTTATATTGATAAATACCCATGGTGTGCTTTGGAAAATGTTTGACATTACATTAGAACCCATTGGTAGAAAGAAATCCAAAAACACTTACAGTACAATCCGAAGTAATACGCAATTATATAATAGAAGAATAGTAGCTTCACATAACATACCTACTCACATAAAGGATGATCTTTACTTTGTACCAGATACAAAAGATAGGTGTTATCTGTCTGTGTCCGCAGGCTCTGTTGCAGATGGTTCAGTCCCACGATGGATCCGTCAGGTCAGTGGTGGAGAAGGGAGACGCTCTACTGGCTTCTGTCCACTACCCCTCCATCAGAGACAAAATGAACAGACTACAAAGGGACTACACTGAACTCTGTAAAAGAGCCATGGTGAGGACTTGTGCTCAGATGTAGTTATAATATATAGATGTTGTACAATAATGTACAAATGTTTTAACAATTTCACTTTTTGATTACATGTAACTCTTGTAATATGGACAAGAGAAGGCTTAAGAAGGATTTTTAATCTTTAGAATAAGTCAGATGTACTACAGATAAAGATCATATAACTCAGTGTGAAGGAGGTTGTAATAGTTTGATGCATAGGCTGAAAGTAATCAGTATATTTGTCCTGTGTTTGTGTGCTCTCGCATGATCCAGACTCACGTGGAGAATCTGGAAGGCCAGGTGAAGGAACAGGAAGCTTACCACAATGAACTCCAGGAGGTAGAGCGCTGGCTGCTCCAGATGTCCAGCAGAATGGTGACTCCAGACCCCACAGTGGGCGGCAGCCTGGAAGCAGCCACTCAGCAGCTGGCGAGGCACAAGGTAACCAATCGCATTACTTGACTTTATTTTTGCCGTTGTTTGCCGAACTTTTTTTACACTTTGGCTGTTAGCAAGCTATTGTTACTGTTGTTGCTCTATAAACATTACTATATGACCAATCCTGGGGAATTCAAATCATACAATATGGGTTTATACTGCATTCGGGTACAACTGGCAAATATGGTTATCTGTGTGTTTTGTTTAAATGGATTTTAATGGCCGACTTCAGGTTGAGGTGATAATTGTGAGAAGCTACATTTCGGATCAAATTTCTAATTAATTTTGATTAAAGAAAAAAAATGATATATCGATTTAATGATGTATAAACAATATATTTAAAAAGAAACATTACAATTAAGCTTCAGCATGAATTTCTGTTTTAGTCTGTGACTGACTTTGTGTTTGAAATCCACAAGAGCTGAATCCTAATTCACAAAGCAGCTGTCCCGCTGCAAATTTCATCTTCTTTCAAATTCATCCATTCAGGCCTGTTTAACACCCTGAGTGACCTCACTCTGTGGCGTCGGGCTGTTCTGACCTCCTGTGTCATTGACCAGTGGACAGAAATATGTCATACATATACAGTATATATCATCCATGGAGACTCTCTCTTACATGATCATACTTGGTTACTTTGTCCTCCCCAGGCCATCATGGAGGAAATAGCGGGATTTGAGGATCGCTTGGCAGGCCTGAAGGAGCGCGGAGACCACCTGGTACAAGGCTGCAGTGACCGTGTGCAGAGCAGGCTGAGACAGCAGGTCCAGGCTCACCAGCAAGGCACCAGAGACAGCTACTCTGCCATCTGTAGCACAGCACAGAGAGTGAGTGAAGAGGAGGAGAAGGAAAGGGGGAGGGAGGGGACGCGGAGGAGGGGGTGTGTGTGTGTGTGTGGGGGGGGGGCAGCTGAGAAAGACATGTATTCTCTGTTTGAAGTAGTGAAATGGTTCTTACACATTGTACACATATTGGTGCATTGGGTACATGCACATTTGCACATGCATCCATGGATGTGTATGTGACCATGCATGCATGCACAGACTCACACGCTTTACATGTCAGTGCTGTTAATATTCCAACAGCCTAGGCATCCACTTAATCCTAACCCATTCTGACACTTAAACCCATCTCTCAAGACAGCCCTTCACTGCCAGTGTAGAGGGCACAACCAATTAAGGCTGCCAAAGTGGAGCTCAACAGCAGCCGTACTCAGACGGACCCCACCAGCCAAAATCACTAACTCAATCTCCCCATATTAATCTCCGCATATCCCCTGTCAACTTCGCTTTTTCATGCCTGAGCCAAAAAATGGTCACACGCCACTATTCAGTAGATCTGGCGAGCCCTCTAATCCAGCTCCACTCTGTCATTTTGGCAACCTCTACTCTGTCATCATAGCTCACCTCCCAAGACACCACCTCCACCACCACTCGCACATCCAATCTGGCATTGTGTGATCCAGCCACACTCTACCACTACACTGCTGGCTTCTCTACAACTGCGCCTCCAGTGTTACGATGGCTGCCAACTGTGTCCCAGCACAACGCAGCTCTAATATCCTGCCTGCCACTTGCCACCATGCCAACCTTCTAGCCTTTGCCAAATACACTGGGCAGTTTGCCAATACGTGCCCCCCTTCTCCCCTTGTTCGGGCTCTCATATTAACACTGTCAATCAGACCTTGCTGTTTCGCTCTCCCCCGGAGGGCATGGACGCCTCCACATTCAACACCTGTCAAATATAACACTGCATAACTACCTACTTCTTCGGGGTTTATCATTTAATGTGTCTTTGTGTTTGGCCACGTTATACCGACTTTAAAGCTATATAGTGTAGCGGTGTGCTCTCTTATCTACAGTAGCATTTGCTTTCTTAAAGGTTTATTATATAGTCGTGTCTTGTTGAATCCAGATATAACATACACTGAAACGTATCTGTCGGTGTCTTACAGGTGTATCAGAGTCTAGACCATGAGTTACAGAGACATGTGAGTCTCCAAGACACGCTGCAGCAGTGCCAGACCTGGCTGACCTCTGTGTCGGAAGAACCAGAGCCTCCTGCACATCCTCCTCTCAGCCTGGAGGAGGCGCTACAGCAGGTCAGTAAGCCCCCTAACAAGAGTTTGGTACACCATAAATGAGTAGATGCTTGTCTTGATTTCTTTTATTACATGTTATTGCTGTGTGAAATTATGAACAGATATCTGAATTAATCGTATTTATATACATGGCTGTCATATCGAAATCTCACAGACATTTTGCTTGATTGCATGTTTTTGGATAGGGAGCAAAAAGGCCAAAGTACATGTAGTTTCGCAGATTGTCCAGAAGGGATAATAGGGTCAGTCAAGAAAACTGTGAGACCATTAACAGGCACTTTTTTTGGCAGGTGAAGCATGAGCGGACTCTCCAGGAACAGGCCAGCACTTACCTCCAACTTGTGTGCTCAACCTGTGACCTGTCGGAGCCGAGGGTCAGGGAGACTGCCGGAGCTATCCAGCAGGTCAAACTGCAGGTCAGTCGACTCAAACAAAAGACTGTTTCAGTGATCGTATTTGTGGTAAGTTTTTCAGTGTTTCAAAACTGAATCCTTTGTATGAAATGATTCCATTGTGTTTTTGTGTGTAGAATGAGGAGCGTATGCTGCTTTGTGAGGAGGTAGCAGACAGCTGGAGGGACATTGAGGAGCAGGAGACAGATCTCGAGGTCCAACTGAGAGAGACAGAGCAGCAACTTCAGAACCTCATCAGGAGACCTGCAGAGCTGGAGCCGAAGATCGCACAAAACCAGCTGGACAAGGCACAGGTCTGTGTTTGGGTTGTATGCTGATGATAAATAACTAGACAATTTTTTAGACTCATCACATAAATTAACTCAAACTTTACCATTTGCTATCTTTCCTGCAGGAGTTCCTCCAGCAGATTAAGGAGAGGCAGTCTGAGGTAACCCATTTGAATGAAGCCATTGGTAGGCTGACAGATGGACAGGTGTCTCCTGCTCTGGAGGAGATAAGGAGACTTAGGAGAAGCTGGATGGACCTGGGCCAGCGGGCTGAAGAGCTGGAGGCTCAGCGGGGGGAGGACATGCAGCGAAGTGGAGAGTACCAGGAGAGTGTAGTCGCTGTGGAGGAACTCTTCCACCAAGTATCCAGGGAGTGGGACTACCTCGCCAGGTATCAATGTTTTCTTTGTAGGATGTGATGTCTAACTTTTTTTGTTTACATGTTTTAAACATACTCTACATACATTTCTAAGTAGATATTTGATATACACAGTATATCAACACTAAATAAACCAGATGAACCTCAAACCCTGTCTGTGTGTACCTAGGGCTGACACAGAAAGTACAAGTGAGCATCTAGAGGCTCTGAGGAAGCTGTCCAGCGACCTGGAGGAGCAGAGAGCAACTCTGGAAGACCTCAGAGACCAGAGACAAGCTATTCTGCCTCGACTCAGCTTGCTAGACAAAGAGCTGGTTAAGCAACAGGTGGAGCTCCATTCTCATAGTTCTTTGTCTCCATTTTAAGATGGAGATTTATAATAACATAAAGTGTAAGTATTTGTCCAGGTTTATACTGTGTTTTGCCTCTCACCAGGTGGGTCACCTGGAGCAGCGCTGGGCCCAGCTCGAAACCCTGATTCAGCAGAAGATCCAGGACTCTGCGCAGACACTGGAGGATCTGGCTCGGGTGGAAACACAGCTGAGGGATGCCCGGGAGTGGGTGGAGGAGCAGCGGCCTGCACTTACCTCTGCGCTGAAAACCAGCCCGCCCCCCGATCTGGCCCAGAGTTTCCTGTTTGACCACCTGAGTGTGTGTGTGGAACTTGAGGCCCGTCAACAGCTGCTGGGTCAGGCAGTGAGCGAAGCCCAGGCTGTGACTTCCAGGCTGGGGCTGAGTGAGAAGAGATGCCTTCAAGGGCTTGTTGAACAAGCCCAGACTGAGGTGGAGGCTCTGGGGGCTCGGGTGGCCCAAAGGAGGAAGTACCTCAGTAAGGTAAACAGCTGTTTTTTTGCAATGTATGCAAGTGAAATTTTTAATTAAGTCCTTAAGGACGTAACTTGCTGAAGGTCTGGAGAAAAAATAAACTGGGTGGTCCAAGAAATAAACTGTAAAATAGCCCATGTTTTTACTGATTAGACTTTGTGTTGTGAGAAAAAATATGTATTTGCTTTTTTCAGGCTGTTAAAAATTTGTAAATAATAGGCAGTGTGTAATTCTTCCTCTCTAGGCCTTCACAGAGAGGACACAGTTCCTACAAGGCTTGGGGAGAGCATTGTCTTGGGTACAGCAACAGGAGAGGAAGGCTTTGATAGATGACCACATAGCGCTTCTCCCTGAGGACCTGGCCAAACAGGTTGCTGCATGTCGAGGCGTCCAGCGCGGCTTACGAGCTTACCAGAGGGAGCTGGCATCTCTCTGGGTACAAGGGCGCGAGCTGGAGAGAGATGCCACCGACAAAGAAAGAGCAGAGACCCTGGCGAGACTTGAGGAGCTACAATCTGTCTTTGAAACCGCCCTCCAGAAGACCAGTCAGCGTCTCACAGACCTAGAGAAAGCCTTAACCTCCAGGAAGTACTTTCAGGTTGACCTGGACAAGACTTGCCAATGGTTGAGACGAGCAGATGCCATCACCTTCCCAGAAATCAATTTAAGCAACGTTGATGAAAACGTAGAATTGCAAACGCAACTTTCTAACTTTCAAAATGTCCTAGAACAAGCTTCAGAATATGAGAACCTCCTTCTTATCGTCCAAAGAATAGGCCAGGAGATCCTCCGTACTCTGAACGAGATTGACCATTGCTACCTAGATGAGAGGCTTAATGCCCTGCCTCAGCAGTACAACGCCATCCTAGCTCTAGCCAAAGAGAAAAAAGACAGAGTCCAACAAATAATCCTGGAGAGAAAAGAGTTCAGCACTTTCTTCGATATTACTCGCAATGCACTGGAGGAGCTTCAGGAGCAGTTTGACAATCTAGAGAAGCAGACTATCAGTTTTAGAGAGGAGGAAGTTGTTTGTCTAATTAATGAATACAGAAGTATTAATGAAAGTTTGTTCCACATTAGCCCTGCTGTGAGAGAACTTTATGGCAAAAATCAGGGGTTCCTCTGTAGAGGTCAGCAATACAGAGCTGAGGAGACACAGCAGCTGGTCGGTCTCCACAACGCGCTGAAGAGGAGAAACGATCAGAAAATAAAACACCTAGATAATTGCCTAAAAACTCTACTTGAACACAACAGAGTATTAACCAGTTTGGACTCAGAGTTAAAGTCTGTTAAAGAGAAGCTGGTCAGACTGAAGTCAGACAAAGAAGTAGGTGCCATAGATAAAATCACAAGTCTTTATGCCTTGCTAGAAAGACTGGATGGTGTGAGCTCTCAGACTGAAGAATGTAACCATCAAACTGAAGGCCTTGGTCTGAAGTTTGAACCTGCTGCCTTTCAGGAAGCTACACTGCAGCGAGAATCGTTGCAGTCTTTGCAGTGTGAAGTAAAAGGTTTTGTTGAGGAAAGCGAAACGAAAGTCACAAAAAATGCAGATTTTGCAAGAGAGACTGAGAAAATGTTCCAGTGGCTGAGGACTGTTAAGGAGAAATCGAAGGAGCCCTTGACATTTTCAGAGGTCAAAGTTGAGAGGGTGCATGAGGACGTACGCAAACTGAAAATAATGGAAGAGGAATTGAGAAGTACATTGAGGATAGCAGATGCTTTGGGTAGCAGAGAAAAGCATAGATATTGTAGTAGAAAAGAAACTGTTCCCGGCCACGTCGAGGAGAATCTACAGGAGCTGAAGAAGCTGGGAGCTGAAGTTCAAGATGGTATTAAGAAGAAACAGGTATGTGTGCAGGTTATTCAGAAATTAAAATCATAGGGACATTCTCTATCTCTTTATTTTTCCAATTATGACCCTAGCCCTATCCTCATCTTATCTGGAACCTGATCCATCATTCATGACTCGGACCTACTGAATATGACCATCCATTTCCTGTTTGCCCATGCTATCAATATTAATAGGCCGAGGGAAACTAAAACATTTAAAATTCCTTGAAGTCTGAATGAGTTATTATTAATTTATGACTGTTGTGGGGATTTAATGTGTTTAAATACGATTCCATTATGTTGAATAGTCAGTAAAAGTTATAATGGCATGGCACAGCCTTTTCTAACCTGCGAAGTTTTACAAAGAGTAAAGTTTAATTACCACCATATTATTCCCCACTGAGGATAATTTTGACCTTTGACATTGTAAGAGGAGTGAACAGGAAATAATTACACATTGGCAGATATTATATCCTTGGTGCTTTTTGCCTAGAGGACTATGGTTGTTGTAATGATTTAGGCATGCATTTTTAATTACATTTGTGTAAAGAAACTCATATAGAAAAGAAGCAAAAACTGAAGTTAATAAAATCACCTTCTGCATATTCTAGCTGGCTCTGGATGAAGCTCTTTCCCTGGTCCAGAGGCACCACTTATCTCTGCAGTCCATGCAGAAATGGCTGGAGTCTGCTGCGGTTTTGCTCCAGAGGGCCAGCTCAGGGGTGGAGCTGGAGAACCAGGCAGACTGTGTGCGGGACCTGGAAGAGATTTCAGCCCAGGAAGAGAGCTTCACAGCTGGTTTAGAGGAGCTGAGGGCTTTGGATCCTCTGCTGGTGGATTTTATGGAACCAGGAGTGATGAGTGGACTCAGAGAAAAAGTTGAGACAGTGCAGATGAGAAACACAGAAGTCAAACATCAACTGGATGCTTGTAGAGAAGTGTTGCAGAGGTGTGTGTTAATGCATTCATATGTCCACTATTGCTCATGTTTGTACAACATGTGGAGCCAAATGGAGCGGTTTGTAATTTGTATAATTTTCTCAGGTGTATAGCTCTATGGCACTCCTTCACACATGAGAGAGAGACACTGGTTGAACAGATGAATGACGCAGAGAGCAAGATGGCCATGTTCACCACAGCTAAAGCTACCAGCGTCCAGCAAGCAGAGGACAAATGTCAGAGATACAAGGTGGGTCACTGTTTTACTGTACGCTCAGAAAACACAGACGCTGTAGTTAAAGGTTATTAGATATTTATAGAAATCGTCTAATGTTCATGTGCTGTCTCCCTAATGGCTTTTATACTAAATCCCAAACATTTGTTCTTGTCATGGCAGCAGATGCACATTAATATTAAAACAGTTGAGCGTTTATGCATTATTCCTTGTTGCTTGTGTGTCTGTGAAGTTTAAACTTTTAGGGGACAGTTTTAGTTCCCCATGATATACATGTTTCAGAAGAATATGTTAGTGAATTGATTTCTGTGTGTCTTTTTTCGTCTTTTAACTGTAGTCTCTGGTGGCTCACATCGACCTGCTGGAATTGTCTCTAAACGCTCTGAAAGAGAATGCAACAGAGTTAGAGCAGATCATCTCTGAGTCCAGCAAAAGTGTTACCAGCCACTCTGTGTCGTCGCTATGGCAACGGTGGACCAGGCTCCGCAGTGTGGCCCGAGCTCAGGAGAGGGCGCTGGAGGATACCGCCAGGGAGTGGAGGAACTTCACAGAGAAGGTAAGAGAAGATGGTGTGTGTGTGTGTGTGTGTGTGTGTGTGTGTGTGTGTGTGTGTGTGTGTGTGTGTGTGTGGGCGTGTGCGCGCGTCTGTGTGTGGTGAGGGCGCTTCAGTTCATGCAGTTAGTTACTGATAAAGCTGTTTATACTCACCCCGGCATTTATAGCCGACAAAACACACAAATCTACCAAATTGCTCTTGCCTCTGCAGATTTAGGTCAAATGCAGCAACAGCTGAATACCAGTTGGTGTGCTGTGATGTAACTCCAGGCTTCAGGCCAGTTGTTTCCTCCTGCCAAAACACTGTGTCATGTGAAACGTTTTCCCGCCTTTCGACCTATTTCGACTGTGAACGCTGTCAGTTCCCAAGAGTTCTCACAAAGCACTGCTCCTAAAAAGGAAATGAGGTCAAACTGTAAGGAATGGTCACTTCCTCATATGTGGCACATTCCTGTTGTCCACTGGTTTTCAATGGTCCCTTTGTTCAACTGGACATGATGTCATTCTCTACATCTGAGTCTCTGGACTCGGGTTTTTTCTCTCACAGAGAATGCTGTATAGTTTAGGCAGGACTGTGAAAGATTAATAGAGAAAAGTAATTTTCAGTTTCATATTCTTTTAAATTAAGGATTTTTAGAGGTTAAAGAGATTAAAATATCCAGTATTTCACATGAAAAAAAAGTCAATTTAAGAAACAAATTATCCCTTTAATCGTCTTGTGTGTATCCCAGCCCCCATTACAATCACTGCTCTGGGTGCCCCCATCCAGGTGATTAATGACAATTCATCTCCACAGAAACAAAGCTTCTGTGAACACCACATGGTAGATCTCTGGGATAGATGTCTTTCAGTAGCATTATGATATTCAAATGACACCTTTCAGTCAAATGGAGAAGTTGGAGTAAAACTTAAAGGTGCCCTGTGGAGTAATCTCGCTCAGTGTGTCTCACCAAATGCATTTTGTGTATTCGTGAGGTCTAAATAAAACGTTTCTTTCCTCATAAAACAAAGCTGATATTGTTTTTTTTTTTTTTTTTAATTCAACATTGTTTACATTCATGTTTACCAGCTTCACAGCCTTTGTGGGTGCGTTGCTATACTTCCTGCATGTTACTGCCATCAGCTGTCGACAAATGGAACAATGTGATACTGGAGGGAGGAATTTGTATGCTGTCAAGCACGTGTACATGCACCATACAAACAAATTGGGAATTGCTCCATAGTGCTAACAGAGGTCAAAAAAACTCCACAGAGTAAACTACCACTTTCTCATGAATTATCGGTTAACTATGAAGCATACGTTTGCTGCATCAACTGAACCTTAATCCTTGTACACACACTTCTCCGGCCCTCAGATGGAGAAGGTGCGCTCTGTGTCTGAAGACCTCCACAGTCGTGTCCCAGACAGCACGGTTGAGAAAGCTGCCACGAGGACGGCGCTTCAGAACCTCCTAGAGTACCATGACTCCTTCAGCCAGGAGGTGGAGAGGGAGCAGTCCATCCTGGCTCTGCTCAGGCAACACACCCGCAGCCTCAGAGGAGAGGAGGAGCAGAAGGAGGTGATGGAGAAAAAGACGGAGAATGGACACGAGGAGACGCCATGCTTGCAAGAGATCAGAAGCATGCAGGAGCAATATGACAGGTGAGTGACCCAGTGCTGTGGCTGCTCCTGCCAACCAGGATTTAACACATGACTTTATGTGAATTGAAAATGTATATTGATAGCTTTTAACAGGAGAATCATATTTAAACTCATCACAAGAAGCTTTTGTAGAAATGATGTTATGTATTATATATATTGTTTTTTTTTTATTCAAATTGATTCTTGTTCACTTTAGGTTTTATTTAAGTTTTTGCTTTTTGTTTTTTGTGCAAGAAAGTCAGTTTTATTGTACTTTATTTTCCTACAAGTTACATATCATTATATCAAGGACAGGGACAGGCATTGATACATGTTGTCATTTTTTTTACCACTGTGTCTTGTCTAGTCTTGTGTTGCGGGTGCGGGCGAGCAGGGCCCAGGTACACCAGGAGTTGAGGGAAAGAGAGGAGGTTGAAAAGGAGCTGGGGTTGGTCAAAGGATGGATCCAGGACACTCGTGGCTTACTGCTGAGTCCAACTGCAGACCTGGATTCACTGCTTCAAGAGCTAGAGGTCGGCCACTACATGCACACATTGACACAAAAAAATCCATAAATATGTTATCATGTCATATAACGGAAAAGACTGTGATTTGCAGTACATCCTCTGATGTTTTGTGTGTTTTAGACTGCACATGGTGAAGTCATCAGCAGACGTCAGAGTGTGGAGCGCATGACAGAGCTGCAGCAGTCTAAGTACCAGGACCTCCAGGCTGGTCTGCCCTCTGAGCTCAGCATGCAGTTGGCTGAGGTGGCTCTGGCTTTGGGCTCCGCTGAAGACCAGGTGACCTCTTTTTATCATTTTGTTAAATGTGGTAGCTTTATTAAGTAGTTAGGACTGTCACATAGGTGTTGAGTAGGTTTGTAATCAAATACTGTGCATAAATGCCCAGATGTTGACTGTATGTTGTGTTTGTTGTGTTAAGGGCTGCGTTGCATGTATATTTTATTTTTTTTTGTAAATAAAAACTGAAGCAGTGGCAACAGTTTAAAAATGATAATTAAAAGTATATCCTGTAAGGTAAATGTACTGTTTGCACCAGTGTAAAGTTTACACTCTCTTATATGTGTTGTGCTACACTGTCTGGTGCGTCCCTGCTGCAGGGCTCTTTCATAACCATTTAGTCTCGCTAAAAGGCTTATGTTACAGCAAAGTGAAATGTGTGTATTTCTGCCATATGCTTCAGGTCCAGGCGAGGGAAAGGGAGGTGCAGCAAACCAGGGACGTGAAAGAGGACTTCAGCTCCCGACTCCAGGACATCGAGGCAAAGCTGAAGACCATCGCTCTGAAATTGGAAGACAAGAGTGCCGACCTGGAGGAGGCCAAAGAAGAGACCAAAGTAATCAACCAGACAGACTGACTAATTAGCAAGCAATTAACCTCTGTTAAATTGGCTATTCATTTTGCAGATGTTGAGGTTAATGAGTGTGTTAGAGTTGGAATGGCATGAACTGAATTCCGCCATCAACAGTGACCCAGTTTGGAGAGGAGTATTCCAGATGGGAGTCTGAGCCCCTTCCCTCCTGTTCTCCTTCGTGTTGCCCCAACTTTTTTTTTCGTCTCACTCCACTGCCCATCGGTAGACCCACAAAGCCTGTGTAGCTGAAAGAATAGTTTAGTTTTCATTTTTTGAACTAATCCGCCTACCAGCACCTCTGAAGCTCACTAATTAACCACTGATCTCCTGGTAATCCACAACATGTTGCCTTTAAACTTTGGCTGTTGTATAGATTACAGATGTTTATTGAGTTTTCGAGGTGCTGGTAGGCACAATGTGTCGCCTTTTCAGTTTTACCCTGCTCCTAGATTATTTTTTCATTAATCTTTCACCACCTCACTTCTCCTTTCTCCTCCCTTTTTGCCTCACCTTCTTAATCTCCTCTCCTCTCCAGGCTCTTTGTGAAGAGTGTGAATCCTGTTGTCGCTCTCTGGTGGAGTTAGGAGTAGCAGTGCAGGAGTTTGGAGAGCAGAACCCTCTGCTGTGTAAGCAGCTGGGGGATGCTGTGGCCAAACTGACAGAGGTACAGCGGCACACGACACAGCAGGTCCAGGACAGAGCCAACAGACTCAAGAAGGTGAGATGTCCAGTCAGTTTACCAAAGACGAAGACACTTTCCCAGCATTGCTTGTATGAATGAAAAACAAATATATCTATGATTTATATCATTGTCAGGATTTATAGGGATTTATCAATATCAGGTGATTGTTTGAGAACGTATGGTATCTCATTCATTTTCCTTAGGCATTCATTATTGTATTGTTTTGGCCTTGGTTTTTCACGTATGAGCAGGCAGAGAGACAGGTGGAGGAATATCAAGGTATGAAGGCGTTCATATTGGGCTGGACAGAAAAGGCTGAAGCTCTGGTGACCGGTAATATCATCTGGAGCTCTGCTTCCCAGCTGCAGGAACAAATTCGAGCACATCAGGTGAGTCTTAATGAGCCACAGAGCAGTGTATTGAAACTTCTGTTGTCCTGTGTATAAAACTGGGTCCACATACAGTTTATATTTATTTTTCTACAAAAATAAATACTGCTAATAAATACTGCTATTTCCCTCATTAGCCTATTAGATATGAAGATACCCCCACTAATTTGCAGCTAATTAGACTCACACACTTGTTTGATTTCATGTGAAGTGTCATGTACTGTACAGTGTGTTGGCCGGACTTAATTGGTATAATTGCTCAATGAAAAAAAAGGCTTCTCTCTTTGACTTGTAATTTATGTTCCTATGGTGACAGGCGTTGCTGCGGGAGTGCCGCGGTCTCCATGGCGACTTGGAGGCCATGGGGGAGAGAGAGGGGCAGCTGGGGGAGGTGTTGCAGTTGGAGGGGTGGAGCCAGCAGGTGAAACACCTCAGCAGACGTACTGAGGAGCTGCAGCAAACTGCCAAGACTCGCCTCCAGAGTCTGCAGGACGCAGCAAAGGTAAATGTCATTCACTTTCAGGCGAGCGTTACAGGAATTAGATATCAAAATCGCTTTACCTCAAAATCATTTGATGGCACTCTGATCAAATTATCTTCATTAATTAAGATTCTCAAGAGCCGCAGCTAATTTTATGTCATAAATCCAGACGTATTGGTGCTTAACAAGAGGCGCACAACCCTCCAGAGTGAGTCACATACACCACAACCACAACCACAACGCAACAGTGCCCCCTTATGGTCATTGCAGAATTATTACACCATCATTATGGAATGAACTGTTTTAATTTGTGCAGCAGTAATCTGTTACACTAATCTGATTTCCATACAGCTGCTACCCAGATGACAGTCTGCTGCTGATTATTGCCTATATGATTGTGTGTTGGGAATCTGTTTACAACTCCTCCTGTCAGTTTGAGTTTTTTCTTGGTCTCTTTCACATGAAATACATCTAGGTCAATTAAAAGATGAAGCGCTTTGTTTGAAAGGCATACCTAGCTTTCTATTCATAGCTCAAAGTGAATGGAAAAATACCTTTGTAAACTGATTTAAATATCTATTGCTGGAAGCAGGTCCACATTTCCAATAATAGTTTTTTAAAAGCCACTTTTACCTCCCGTATGTTTATGATACACACTCTCCAAGCTGCTCCCACTCCCGCATGTACTGTCCTTTGATTTGTTTTATCTGTCTGTGTTTGTCCTCAGGACATGTTGCGTCTGGAGGCCGAAGTAAAGAGCCTCCATTCAGCTGTGGACCAGATCCAGGTCACACTTGCCTCCCCTGACCTGAACAGACTCAGCCTCAGAGAGCAGCTCACACAGAGACAGGTAGACACACACATTTAAAATGCTTTCTGTGTCTTCAGCTCTAAGACATTCACACAGTGAATGCCTTCAGTTGCAATAGGACACCCACAAACAACTTGCATCTTAAAAGTAGCTTTTCTGAACACAGTATTGCTTTATCACCCACCCATTCATTCCTCCTCACTCTCTAACATCCCCCTTTCATTCCTTTATAAGCGTCTGTTGGTGGAAATGGAGGGCTTCAAGCAGCAGGTGGTGGCGGTACAACAGTGTCAGAGCGCCCTCCGGCTACCAGAGGAGGTAGTGGCCAGTCTGCCTATCTGCCGTACAGCTCAGACTCTGCAGCAAGAGGCCAGCCAACTGCAGCATACCACCATCCAGCAGTGCAACATCCTGCAGGTAGAGGGCAGTCTTCATATTACAAATGCTGATAAGTAGTTGTCCCATATTGCTTCCTTATCTGTCAAGTTACATAGTGCAGACCTGAAAATCCTCAGTAGAAAGTAGCAGACAGTTGCCTCTGAGCAGTGGAGCTGTACAGAGAATTTATTTTGTCACTTGCTGAAGTGGATTCTCTGAATCCTGCTGTAGTGTCCCAACAGGCCTCCTTAGGAATGTCTGTGTTTTTCTTTTAGCCCCCATCAGACCAGCGTTATCCTCAAATCCTTTGGTTCTGGGTTGAATTTGCTTTTAAGCTCATTGTAGTGAAGATTAGCTGTTAGAGGAAGAATCAACTGACCTTCAGACACTATTCGGAGGACAGACACTTAAAGCATCTTAGCATTTTTTTTTTCTTGGAAGATTTAAATGAATCTGTATGTGTTCACAGTGTTTTGGCTCAGGCTCATATTTGAGTCAGACAGCTTTTATAAGTATTCATATCTTAAGGACAATAACCACAATATTCTGAGTGTTATGGAAATGTAGCATACACAAACTACAGAAGTCCACAATGAACAGAAAACGTAGCTTGTTGCACACAATATCTTCAAATCTCTGATAACATGTAGGATTTTATATCTTTGAACATACTGCATGTTTATCCTGTTCTAATAAAAGCCAGACTAGAATATACATGTGAACGCACTCAATGAGAGATATGGTGCATATAGGAATCAGTAACATGGTAGCATTGGGACATAGAAAGCAGGAGAAATTACTTCACTTATCTGACATCTGGTGACACTGATGTTTGATCTGCCCGGGGGGTCCATAATATAATCACATTTTAAGATGATTTTGCATAAGATGCAGCTTCTGCCTTACCTTGATATGCTTCTTGTTTCCCAGGAAGCTGTGGTGCAGTATGAGCAGTATGAACAGGAAGTGAGGAACCTCCAGAGATTAATAGAGGAAGCCCATCGTATCATTCAGGACCGGCCCGTCTCCACCAATAACATACAGGAACTTCAGGCTCAAATACAACACCATGAGGTGAGAGAGGACACACACTTTGTCTCTGAAATGTATTAAACTATATATAAGTATGAGGACACTCCAGCTTTGCAGCAAATACTCTATGTGGATTTTTACATGTCATTACACAACTGTGGGCATCAATATGCTGCTATGAAAGCCCTCACTCTTCTGATAAGGCTCTCCACAAGATTTTGGAGCCTGGCTGGAGGGATTTTCTCCCATTCAGCTATAATAGTATTAGTGAATTCAGGCACTGATGTTAGGCAATGAGGACTGCATTGCAGTTCACCCCAACACCTTCAGCCAGGCCGCTGTACAAGCAACTCATTTCCCTCGAGACCAATCCTGGAAAACTATTTCTATATGGACTCAGCTTTGTCATGCTGAAACAGGAAACAAGAAAGTGGCCTTCCCCAAACTGTCGCCTCAAAGTTGTAAGTACACTATTATCTAGAATATCTCTGCAGCGTGCTGTGGCTTGAAGATTTCCTCTAACTGAAGCTCAGGGGCCTAGCCTGAACCGTGAACAACATAACACTTGAGGATTTATACTGTGGGTCTTTCTCTGCTGAAATAGTCTTTATTTCACAGAATGCGAAGCTCGTTGTGACAAAATAGCTCATGAAATAACAGCAAATCAACAAGGACCATAAGAGCTTCAGGAGTTTGACTGTATATGAGCAAACCAGAGTCTTAAACAGACAAGAATAACTGTTTTTTTTTTTTTTTTTTTTAGAGGTCCTACTATATTCTAGTTTTCCTTTGCCTTAAAGCGCACTCGTTTGACATTAAAGAGAATGAATATGCTGATTATGTCTTGAATGGCTTTTCTAATGTGGTCATCTTTTTTCAACATCAAAGATCTAAGAGTGAGAACAGACAGCTTGAGTCATTAGATATTTCATGTGCATGTAAGAGTGTAAAATAGCGTAAAAACAGAAGTTGAGGCGGCAGGAAATATACAGTATATCTTAAAAGTAGTTTTGGGCAGCCCTGATGATTGAGTCATACTGCGGTTTAGTCATTTAGTTAGTCAGCCGTTAAGAGTAGTTGAAGGCGGCAAAATCATCAGTTCAGTATCACTTTTATGCAGTTTTATACTTTTTTGTTTGCCTTAATTGCTCAATGTTTTCCCCAACATCTTGATTTGAAATGCAAACAACGGGCAATTAATTAATGTTTTCTATGTAACTACCAGAAATCCCAGAATAAATATCTCCTATTTATTTCCTTTTTAACACTTGTGTTTTCAAAGAAATCCTGCCATACAATAAATCTGTGAGAGTATTGTGTTGTGACTCTCAACAAGCCCAACTCACGCACGTTCCTCCTTTTTCTGATGGTGCAAGTAAATATAATCTGCATAGATTCCTGTTTGATGCAGTGTAGGTTATCAGAGGGTTTTTCACCTGCGTCATTTAAGACCTGTGCTTTCTGTCGCAGTTTTACTCTGCTGAGTAAGTGTGTTTGATCTCCCATGTGGAGAGGAGGGGGGGGGGGGGGTGGTAGCGGCAAAGACCTGCAGAGGAACAGATCAAATCTCTCTGCAGGCAACACATTTATTACATTTTAACTTCACCTTTGTGGTTCTGGCAGATTTCATCTACTTCCAGGACTTAGGGAATTTTTCTTGTTACTGCAATCTCTCCATCGCTGCCGAGCAGCTTGACATGGCAGTGTGTTCATGTCTGAGTTTGATCTCTAAGCTGAGCAGATAGCTGTGACTCCACTGGCCCAGTTAGTCACATGACCTGATTATCAGTGCATTGACCATCTGCGGGACAGAGGGAGTAGAAGGAGGAGGAGGGAAGGAGGAGCTGGACCCGGCCTGCCGGCTCATACCATAGCTGTAATTTGACACCATCTCTGTCATTCTTCCCCCCATAAACACTCCCTCTCTCCTTGCAGCTCTCTTTTGTTGAAAGGAATCTGTCCCCAGGATTGGCGGAGGAGGGAAGTGTCAGGCAGAGGAAGGGGGGGTGCAGGCAGTGAGATCACTTCCTGTTTTTCCTCACCATTTGTGTATGTGTACGAGAGGGAGTGTCTGAGGGATTTTGTACTATTTCTGCAAGGGTCTCTCTCTCAACCAAACGTCCCGTCTGCTGGCTTCACCGGTGTTCTGAGTCACCCGCCTCTGTGCTGCTCTGATTGGCTCCGAGATATAGAAGAGAGAGAGACTGAAAAAAAAGAGAGAGAGAGTCAGGCAGTGCTATTCTCTTTCTGCGCTTACACACTGTGAAGCCAAAAGCGAGAGACCGGGGAGTGAAGAGAATGCGTCCGCTCCACTTACTCCTCTCATACCGGCACCACATTCAACGCTGAACCAACTCGGCCAACCCCCTTTTTTTTCAGGATCTTGTTTAACCAGGAACTATTGATCTTCCATTGTGGACTGAACCACACTCTCCTGACCCCGGGGGCGGTGGTGTTTTCTGTTTGGGGGGGGATGTTTTGACAGGAGTTGGCCCAGAAGATCCGTGGCTACCAGGAGCAGATCGCCTCGCTCCACTCCAAGTGTAAGATGCTGACGGTCAAGGCCAAACACGCCACCATGCTGCTGACGGTCAGTGAGGTGGATGGCCTATCGGATGGCATGGATGAGCTGAGTGATGAGGAGCTGCCCAGTGCCGTGGCAACCGCCACCGCCGCTGCCACCAAGCAGCTTCCAGCACACCCCTCTGTCGTCATGGTGAGTGGCAAAGCCTTTTTTGGTCACACACACAATCACACAGCGCCTCACACATGGCACACACTGCATGACTATGTGCTGGTCTGGCCCATATTTGTGTGTATTTACATGTCTAGCCTCTATTTACCTTTCTGTCCAGACCACTGGTTCTCAAAGTGGAATACAGGGGTCCCACGGGTCCTATTTTTGGTTTCTAGAGGGTGTATACAGTTCCTTTTGCAATAATGTAATTAGCTTACAGTTGTCCCAAATTAGAGGATGTCTGAGGCTGACAGTTATGACAAGGTGTACAAAGTTATATCAGTACAACAGTATAAACATTCTCCAATATATGGGCCCCTTGGATTGCATTTTGGCTAATTTGGAATGCAGGATGCAATAATTCCAGGTTCAGAATAGTTTTTTTAATCTCTATTATTATCCTGTTTCTCTGCTTTTCTTTCTTTCTGTGTCTTATTTTCATATCGGACAAAAATAACAAGCTTTTTCTTCCCCCTCATCTTCCCTTCACCTCAAGTGTTACTATTCTGGCAGTCTCCTCCTGTGCATTACTGCACTGATACTAAGCTGTGTCACTTCATTCCGCTTCATATTAGCCTGAATCTGTCTACTTGCTACTGTACTATGTCATCCTCAGCTTGATCGTTCACTTTTCTTCAGTGTTCGCACATAAGTAACCAACCCGCTACCGTCTCTTCTCTTCCATTCTTTGGCTCTCTTTCTGAATCAGTTTTCTTCCATTCCTGGCCCTGTTATTGCTGTTTGTGGTGTGTTCAGTCAGGCCAGGAAACAGGATATTACTGCATGCGTGTGTGTTTGTGTGTGAGAGCATGATAAAACTGTGTGTGTGGCATAAATAGGTTGCTGGGACTGCTGATATCCTTGATTTGTTTTCCAGCATAGTTGGTGCACTCACTGCTCAGTCTCAAACTAATCTCCACTATGTAAAAGTTTCCCACACATGCCGGTGTGTTTATGCTCTTCGTTGCATTGCATTGCATCATAAAGCCCGCGAAAAACTCCTCCAAATATAACAAGGTCCCGAGTCAGTCGGCCAAGTTCTGCATTAACTGCCAAAAAGCAGCCCAGTAGGGCTTGGCTCACATTTCAGCTGTGCCTCTCTACTGAAGCATGCAGGAACACAGACAACTGTGCTGCTTCTATGACAGCTGCTGCTGCTGCTGTATTCTCTAGTCCCAGTCTCTGTTAGCTATGCTACGCTTTAGTTATGCTTTGTGTAAGTTTGGGCTTGATACTCCTGGGGATTTCCATTACACTCCTACTGCTGATATAGTGTCTTTTACACTTTGAACATACTCATAATGTTATTTTCTTATTTTGCTTATGCATATCTGAGAAAAGACTCAAACTTGCCTGTTATGTGGATGATGGCTGGATACTACTTACAAGGGAAATGTGTCTGCAATGGAAAGGAAATGACTGTGGTTCTGAAACTGCAACTCATCGGTATGCATGAGTGTGTGTGTGGTGTGAGCAATCACTGTATGTGTACTTAGTGTATGTGTGATTTTGACTTCCTGGTAATGGCCATTCCTTCCCACTGATGAATCCTGTAAAAAGTTGGCTCATTCACTGCCAGTGGAATCCAGTGTTTGTCCATTAGCACAAACATTAGCAGTCTCCTTAATGCTGTGCTATGGCGATGTGTGTGCTATGGTTGCAGTGTTTTATGTCAATAGGAGTAATGTGATCAAATGCGTCTCCTCTCTGTGTTATTTGATTACTCACTGTCTAATTAATCAGCAGTGTGCTCACTGTAATCTGCCTAACCTGCACTCCCCCATTAATTTTTATGCTCTCTCTTCCTCTCTCTCTTCATTTTTCTCTCTCTGTCTCCTCTCTCCTTTTATCTGCCTGTTTTCTGTTCGGTGGCCCTCCTCCTTTTCCTCCCCCTGCTTCTTTGATGTGTGTGTGTTTGATGTGCCGTGTGTATATGTGCGGTCAGATGACAGCCGGCCGCTGCCACACACTCCTCTCCCCTGTGACGGAGGAGTCAGGGGAGGAGGGTACCAACAGCGAGGTCTCCTCTCCCCCTGCCTGCCGCTCCCCCTCCCCAGGGGCTAACGCTGATGCTCCTCTTAACCAGGTACTGCAACCCCCGCCCCCCTGCCCCTGCACCCACGGTCGCCTCCAAAGCTCTCCAGCATCACCTGACCTGGCCCTACGCCACACCTCTGTCCATTTTACATGTTCCACCGGAAAAAAAATTTGCAAAAAAAACATCCACCTCAGCCAGATATTTAGTATTAAATGCTGCCATCGGGATGAGATAATTTTACTGTGTGTAGTTTCTATTTGCATTTAATATCAAGATGTTGAAGATTAAAGAAACAAGCGAGTCTGCATCTGAAGATTTTGATTGTTTCAATAACGATCAGATTGTAAGACTGAATATGTGGCTGAATGACTTGTAAAGATGGACATGCAAACTTTGCCACCCGATCCCATCCCAAGGCCACCACCTGATTCCCAACACCAAAGCATGACCTCCCTTTCATCACCTGATGTCGACACAATGGATATTTGAGTTGCTGTGCTGCCCTCTGCTTTCCCTCTTTCTCAGCCTTATGTTTGCAGATTTACTTTGCTGAAGACAAATTTGTTTGCCACTTGCTTTTTTTCGCTGAGATCAGAATGGGAGTGTGTCATTTTCTGAATATAGCCAAGTTATTATAAAGTAGCTTTCTTGTGTAATCTGTTACTTAGAATGATGCAGCAGTGAAACAGCAGCGCTTTGTTCTGGGAGAAACACCAAGGGTCGTGGTTGTTGTGGAGCTATTATTGTGAAATCTAAATACAGTACTTCTGTCTTGTGATGTGTCAGTGAGAGTAACTGTTGAAAGAAGACAAAAATCAATAAGAACAAAGGCAGACTGTGGGGCAGATGGGGAGTTATAGAAGGAAAATATAATGGGACCAATCTCATGGGACCATAACCTGCTGTGAAAATATCCACAAAATACAAAACAGATGTAACTCACAACTCATAGGCAGCGCTTGCTGCTTTTAAATTTTGGTCCATAATGGTTCTGTGGAAGTATTTGAGCTTGTGGGTTTCCTGAAGTACCATAACCAAGAACTACCATAACTATTAACTCACTGATGTGCGGCCCTGTGGATTTCAATTACAGAATTAAAACAGATTTAAATGCCTACATTAGTTTATGTTTTAAAGTGGATAATCTATTACTCCATGTGTGTACAGTACTGTAATGTATGCACAGCAGATGTTGGCTTACTTTATTTAAATGTTCGAGTCGAATTTCATTGTTCGGGACACGTCAGAACCGGCAGACCTCCTCAGTTAACGCGAGAAACGCGAATATACTGTACACTAATGAAACCCACACTGACCGTGATGTTGCGTCACAGGGTCGAGGCGCCTTGAGCCGAGCACCCCTCCAGGAGCTGTACGACCCATCCATGGAGACCAGCGCTGCTAACCTGGATGACCTGCAGAGATCCTGGGAAACACTTAAGAATGTGGTATGTCACATCAGCTGCTAAAATGAAATAATTAAAAACAAAGTTAAAATCGCTACTATTCCATACAGTAGACACAGTATGCCATCTGTAGAAGAAATCAAAGCATCAGAACTGGTTCAGTTCTACCTAACAGTTGCCCATACTGTCCACATGTCTTTACAGCTTACTGTTAATGTTTTAAATCTCACAAACACAAGTCACAGTGGAGTTGGAAGGAAATCTTGAGTTTTGAGGCTCTATTGTGGACTGTACCAAAATCGGGGGGGGGGGGGGGTATTTGTAAGCACCACGACACAAACAGAAGCAATACTGCAGCAGACTTTTATTGCAGTTCTTCCTCTCCAGCTGCCCTCTAATTTTTGCCATTGTTCATTTCTTGCTTTCTGTCTTTCCTTCCGCCCCTTCTCTCCTGCCACAGATCAGCGAGAAGCAGAAGAGTCTGTATGAGGCTCTGGAGCGGCAGCAGCACTATCAGGAGTCCCTCCAGTCCATTTCCACCAAGATGGAGTCCATCGAGGGGGCGCTCAACGAGGGCCTGGAGCCCAACAAGAGCCCCGAGAGCCAGATGGCTGCACACCAGGTGAGAGAGAGAGTGAGGGAGGGGGGACAGACGTCTGGAGATATGGGGAAGTTGTGCTCATGTGTGTGGGTTAGAGAAAGGGAGAGGAGGGGTGGAGTGCGGTGAAGTAGTAGTACATGTGAAATGTAAATTGTAAGGCAGACAGGAGACATCTCTTGTTGAAGAGACAAAAATGACAAGAAACGAGCCTGCTCAGTGAGAACAGAGAATGATTGAGGGGTTTAATATTGCACCAGCCTGTGCAATGGTTGCACAGACTGCATGGCACTGTTCTCCGTTGCTATGCCAACTTCACAGCGACGGCCGATACAGTTCCTTTTTGTAACACTACTGTCAGGCAGTTTGGACAAACCTTCTATTGCCACTGTTCTTTCCAGTCTCTTCTTCCATTCCTTCAACATTTTCCTTTTTCTTTTTTAATCCGTTCTATTCATTTCACCTCTCACACTTTTTTGATCTCTGTTTGTCCAGGCTCTGATGGACGAGATCCTGATGCTGCAGGAAGAGATCGGCGAGTTACAGACATGTTTCTCTGAGGAGCTGGCAGACAGCGACAGTGATGGGGAGGCCGGTGACCAACTGGCGCTCCAGTCTACTCTTACTGTACTGGGAGAGAGGATGGCCACCATTCGAATGAAGGCTTCGGGGAAACGGCAGCTGCTGGAGGTGGGTGCTAGAACACTAGGAAAGATCATATTCACACACTTTCATTTTTCAAAAATTCTCCTCATTTACCTTGTGATCTTGTATACTCATGAATACCAGTGATATCCAACATTTCACATTGACCACTGCAGGAGAGACTAAGTGAACAGCTAGAGGAGCAGCGACAGGAACAGGCGCTGCAGCGATACCACAGCGAGGCTGAGGAGCTCGACCACTGGCTGCTCAGCACTCGTGCCACTCTCAGCTCTGCGCTTCAGCCCCAAAACGAAGACATGGACATGGAGGAGCAGCTCATTGACTGTCAGGTGAGACTGATATTTTTTGATATTGTCAAAGGCTGGAATGACTGGTTGAAACTGAAAACTGATTTTGAAATTGGTTTATCTAGATTCCAAATGATGACAGTTTCGCCCATCGTAGATAGAGCAGCTTGTTGCTCCCCTCACGTGCAGATGTTTTAAACTTTTCCTCAACTGACACAGTCATGGAAAACTTTTGAGTTCCTACTAGTGCCCCAGGCTCAGTATGAAAGTCCATATATCATTTTTTTTTATCAAGGGGGAGCTATCAAAGGCTAAAGTGAAGTATCTGGCTGCTTCACTGTTCCAGGAATAGAGCCTATTAAGATTAATTCCCTTGGTATTATATTACTGTTACTATTTTAGTCATGCATCAACTGTTCAGTTCATCCTCAAAAACCAGAAGATATTTACAGAAATTTCACTGAATGTGGGACACAAACACAGCAGAGTAAGAGCCCAATAATGTCCAATCAATTGACACTTTAGGGTCAGACCCTAAATTAGGATTAGGGTCTGACCCCGTATCCTTCTGTGATCACCCTCCTCACTAGGTCCTCAAACATTCTTCTGCTGTTTCTATGGTAAAATCACATGGGGGGTAATCAGGATCCAGGGCTAAATGGCGGTGGTGGTCACTGATCCACAATCGTGTGTCCTTGTAAAGGCTTTGTTCAGGTCTTTGAAGCAGTAAATAATGTTCCTGTTTCAGTGATTTTGATCACAAAACAATGTCTTGGTCTTCCAAAGGTTAAAGAGGCTAAAAACAAGTGTTTTTTGTGTAAATATATGACCTGAACTCTTGATGTTAATAAATGTTTAAACATTCATCCTGTGATACACTATAATTGGCCTCTCAGCAGAAATAATACCAGGTCTGTGGCTCAGGCAAAGGAAAAATCGGCGTTTAAAGCGTGTGTGTGTTTCTAGCAGCTGGGAGACACTAAGCTGATTATAGCTCACATATGGCTCCTGTCGAGCTCAGGTCTAAAGGTCCAGCCCATGTGGATCCTCATCTCCAGGGGGGTAAAAAGTGTCTGCGAGTGTAGATTTTTACAGAACAGATCCACATGAAGGGGCAAGATATGAGAAACGATATGAGGTTAGACGGATGAGGTGAGGGACAGAGGTGAGAGAAAGGGAAGAAACTGATGTGGAGTAGTTGAGGTTGGGGAGAGCAGTAAAAATCCATGAATGAAAAGAATAAAGATTATAAAATATAAATGGCTTTGGTTAAATAATGATTTAAAACAAGTTTTCATTTAAATGTTTTATCTGATGAATGTGGTCTCTGCGTTTGGATAGTCAGGATAGTTGCAGGAAGTGGGATAGTAGCTTTATTTATTGGCTACAAGAAAATCACTGCACTGTAAACTGCTCAGAAACCTCTTAAACACAGTCTCTCATGGATCACTGCTTAATCAAGCCGAGTCTAAACTATTGGACACACATTGTGTTGCCGTATGAAGCAAACTCCACCTTTCTTGAAGTTGTGTCAGTTAAAAGTTTAAAGCAAAACTTGTGACTACTGTATGATCCTGGGCCAAAAGAGAAGAAGAGACATTTTTGGATTTAAGTTAGAATGCCTTAGGGAGGCTTTTTGTAGTAACAAAGTGTAGAGACAACCTTCCCACCAAATGACACAGTGACAACTCTGAATAGAAGGAAAAGAGTTTTATGAGGCTCTCTGCATTGTTGTGGAAAATTCTCTGTGGAGGGCTACCAAGGGCCCTTGTAGCCCTGAGTGAATAAAGGGGATACAATCTTAATCCCGCTCTTTTCCACGTCCATACAATTCTACCACTTTTCACACACAGTCTGGACAAGGAAAGGGAGGGCCCCTTTTACTCTTGTTTCTCTTCTAAAGAAATGTAGGAGGAGTGTGAGTGAAGTCTGTGGGAAATGATTTAAAGAGAAACATATAGTGAGCTTTAAAAAAAGAGTATGAGAACTGATGAAATAATAAGTGGATCTATAGAGGAGCGAGATGAGGAGAGGATTAGTACACTACTGAAGAGTGCTGCTTGCATGCAGTTGACACTATGAAGAACCCTCTAAACCCCCTGAGCTTTGAGATGTCAAGAAATATATTTGCTTGCACCGCACATGGTGTGATTACACATCTGTGTGCAGTTATAACACATTTTGTTAGGATCTCTGGCATAAGCAAACCAGTGGTAGTTATGTCTGGATGTAGAAACTGTTGCTGGTTTCCTGTTAAGGTAGGAAAAAAAAACTATTTCTGAATTTGCCTTGCGCTCTTGCTTTTCCAGAATATGCTGTTTGAGATCGAGCAGAAGGTGTCGTATCTATCAGAGCTGTCCGTCCACAGCGAGAGTTTGCTGTTGGAGGGCCGGGCCGAGACCAAGGGAGAGGCGGAGCAACTCACCTTCAAACTGCGCTCCCTCAAAGACAGCCTGATGGAGCTGCAGCAGATGCTGCAGGACAAACAGGTTGACATACAGGTGAGATAAGAGGTCATGGGTGTTTCCTCACCATCTAAGTTCTTGTCCTCTCCTGCTCCGTACCTTCAGTTCCCTACCCCTCCATGTTCCATGCTTCTCCTTCCTCCCTGCCTCTGTCATTTTTGTTGTGCTGTGCTGCATTATGTTGCATTGGTTACAGCATCAATGGTAGCATTATGCAAACACTAAAGGTCATGGCATGCTCCTTCATAAAAGTCCAGTGTTTTCCACTATGGGACAACAAGAGCCTGTGTGTCTCACAATAGGCCCTTAGACACCAGACAAAAGGGTGCTACCTCATCACATGCTAACACTAAATGTACTGCACCAGGTGTGTTTCTGATGACACAGCATTTTGACCTTTTTGCTTTGTGGTTTGAATCCAATTTGAGAAAAACAGAGTTAATTTCCCTGAAAGGAAATCCATTGTATTCTCAACATGCTCTTTTGATAAATAGTGACATTCCTAAGCCACTAAATCACTCTACAAAACAAAGAAACTACAGAAGCTGTTTGAGCCAATCAGAAACGCTGACAGCAATCTGAGTATGATACTATTTTTAAATAGGATTTTATTTAGTTAAATAATTTCTTCAGGTGTAGTTGGCATCTCAGCTGGACTTCAGTTAATGAAATGGACATCATTAAGTAGATATAGTTTATATATGCACCAAACTCAGAAGGAACTGCTGCTTCATCAGAAAGAAAAACAAAAATTCTGTCCTTTTCTCTCTTTTTAATGCTTTTGTTGAAGTCCCTCTGTCTGTCTTCCAGGGGTCATTGCAGGAACAGGAGGACAGCGAACCAGACTCATCTCTGTCCCAGAGTCCTAACGTCCAGGATTGGCTGTCTCAGGCCCGTTCAACACGCACACAGCAGCACCACGACAACCTGCTTCGACAGAGGGTGAGAGGAAGCTGAACATTAATGTGCTTCGTATGGTTATGCACCGCTCTGATTTTCATTGCCTGGAGTATCATATGCCTGTCATTTTCAGATTAAATCAGTTTAATTTGTAGTGCTGACATGCAAAACAAGTGCACTCTTGCAAGATAATTAAATCACTTGCCAACAGAAAAGTTGATTCTTTATATAGATAAATCTAATTTAAGGTCTGTGTTTTCTAGGAGCTGCAGGAGCAAGTAGCTGAACAGAGGAAGCTGCTCAAGTCTGTAGCAAGTGTCGGGGAAGAGTTACTCAACCACCAGACCACCCCCAATGGGGACAGGTACTTGTTCACCTCTCTTTACTTTTGTCAACCTTATTTTCTTGTCCTTTCCACAAGCATGAACATTTAATTACACTGGAACTTGCTGGTAAAATAATGCTCCAGGGAGCAGATTAGTTTGTTATGACAAAACGCCCCTCTCCCTCCCACAGTGAGATGTCCATCCCAGGGGGGGTGTTGCTGGAGACGGAGACGTTGTCTCCTTTGGAGCAGCTCAGACAGCGGTGGGAAAACCTGAATAAAGATCAGAGCACAAAGCTGCAGCTCTCCCTTAACACCCTGGAACAGGACCAACTTAGTCCGGTACAGATGCCATGCACATTTATTTATGGATTTGTGATTTTCTGCGTTGAAATTTGTTTTGTGTGACATTGTGTTGTTTCAGTTCAATTTGAGCTACATTATGAGTTGTCTTTAACTCATTACTTAAGGCTAATGTGCATTCTGTTGGTACTTTTTTTCCCTCTGATGTAATTTCACACTTTCATTGTTATGTTTTTCTGCATGACTGACCCTCATATGTCTCATATTTCACTCTTTTGCGCAGGTCCTCCACCGGTCCCGTCTGTCCAGTCCCAGCATGGTGTTTAGAGGTGAGTCCGGCAGCCAGGACTCTCACTCTCCCAGAGCTTTGTTTGAGACCTGCAGCCAGACTCTGGAAAGAATCGCCCAAGAGGTGACGCATTCATTTAATCTCTCCTTGTTTATAGTGTCCCCGGCACTACTGTGTCTTTAATCAAGAATGTCTTACTGACAGCTTTCAATGTACTGAGTGAATGTTATTTGTTCCTCCTCACAGGCAGCGGGCGGTGACAGTAAACTGGCAGCGTCTTTAGCAGGGGTGACAGTCCAGCAGGACATGTATGCAGCGGTTTCAGCAGCCTCCTCCTGGCTGGATGCCGCTGAGAATCAGCTGCTCTCTGGTCCTGTGCTGCTGTCTGAAGATACAGAGACACATCTCACAAATCTTGAGGTGAGAGGATACAAACACACTGATCACAGAAATTTAAACGTATGAATCACAGCAAAATGAAATGATATATAATTACATGTATGCTGCCAATACCGGTGAACTGTAGTAACACTGCTAACAGAGATTGTTGTGACACAATGGGTTTGCATAAGCAGACCGCACAATCAAAACTCTCCTGGATAGAATATACTTGCTGTGTTACTGACCTCAACTCTTCTGCTCAGGGTCTGAATAAGCAACTGAAGGAGATGACCAGGGAGGTGAACCAGTGCAGAGATCTGCTGGGTGGAGGAGCAGGCCGGCTGTGTGGAGGAGAGGAGCAAGCTCTGATGGAGGACACCCTGGAGGGCCTGCAGGAGAGGATGGGCCTGCTGGACTCCACCCTGGAGCAGCACTGCGACAGCATGCGGGACAGGCTGCAGGAGCACTCAACTTTCCAGGTGTGAAAGCTAGACTGTTGCATTTTTTTAATGTTAGGGCTGCCTGCATCACTGATGGGAGACAGTATTTTCTGTTTTTTTTTACCTTTTAACATTGCTTTTTCTGTCCTTGCCAGAATGAACTGAGGATGCTGTTCACAGCCCTGAGTGAAAGTAAACACCAGTTGCTGCAGAAGATGGCAGGAACTGCAGACAGACCTGCATCCAAACAGATAGAGGTATGATAACAACCTATGGCAAATACACAAAAATTAAAAGTGTATTTATGAAGCTTGAAAGGATTCCTGAGAAGAGATTTCTATTGAATATGTTGCTCTTTTGTAGGCATTATCAGAAGTTGAGGACAGTCTGAAGGAGTTTGAGCTGAGAGTGTCTGAGCTGAAGACCAGAGCAGAAGGACTCCAGTCTGAACAAATCTCCAATCAGGAACTACTCAAACTACAGGTAATATTAAATTTACTGTGGAGCTCATTTCTTTTTCTCTCTCACTGTGGGTCGTAACCTTCCAGCACTTTTATACTTATACTTGACTGACATATTTTGTGTAGGATGCATATGAGGAGCTGATGCTGATGGTGGGCTCTAGACGTAGTAGCCTGAACCACGGCCTGTCTCTCAAGGCTCAGTACGAAGCTGCACTTCATGACCTCTCAGACCTGGTGGACACCGCTCAGGACAAGATGGCTGCTGACCAGAAGATGACAGTGGCCTCTGTCATCGAGGTCCAGATGTTACTGGACAAACACAAAGTAAGGAGGGCAGTGAAATGGAGCAGTATAGATTTTAATCATCGAACTGCAATGTTGTTGTTGTTGTTGTTGTTGTTGACGTGTTGTTGTTGTTGTTGTTGTTGACTCCGAGAGTATTGTGTTTGAAATATGTTTGTCTTTTGCTCCAGGAGTTCTTTCAGGGTCTGGAATGCCATATGATCCTCACCCAGACATTTTACAGTAAAGTGTGTGGTCTGGTGGCACAGAGGGAAAGCCAGGCCCTGGAGGAGACCATGGCTTTAGCGCACAGTGTGCTCAAACAGGCCCACAGGAGGGGAGTGGAGCTGGAGGGCATACTGGAGGTGGGAATTAGTGATTGATAGAAGAATAAGGAAAAGGAGCAGTAACATTTTATTATATACTGTATATATACATATATAAAAATTTAACATCTGGTGGGAATGAAATAAATAAGACACTCTATCCCTCCTCCTCCTCCTCTCTCTGACAGTCATGGAGCAGGCTTGTGGAAGACTACCAGGCTCTGTGTAGACAGCTGGAGGCTGTGGAGTGTAGCATCCCTACTGTAGGTCTAGTAGAAGAGACAGAGGAGAGACTTACTGAAAGGATCAGTCTCTACCAGGTAAGCAACTGTATACAGACTGCTCACACATAGATACACAAACAAAACTATCCATATCGTATCAAGACATCTGACTTACCCTAAAACCTGCAGTCACTCATGCTTGTTAGGATATTGAATTTTTAATTGATGAGTTATCTGTCTGTTTTTCTCCTCTAGCGTCTGAAGGCCAGCCTGACAGAGCATCAGCCCCAGCTGTACCAGGTTCTGGAGGAGGGCAAGAGGCTTCTTCTGTCTGTTGGCTGTTCGGACTTAGAGAATCAGCTGACCCAACTGGGTGAACACTGGCTCTCTTCCACCACCAAGGTCAACAAGGAGCTGCACCGCCTCGACTCCACGCTCAAACACTGGAGCAGGTCAGGCCCTGGCAGTAGTCTGAGTTTGATTTGATTTGTCATCGTCAGGAATCAAATCTCAAATCAAATATTGTTTTGATACCTGGAGGCTGAATACTTTAAAAATGATCCCCTGAATATTTTCTGAATCTGTCAGAGCTAAATTGAAATATTATAAATTTCAGGTACCAGAGTGAGTCAGCAGAATTGAGCCACTGGTTGCAGTCGGCTCTGGACCGGCTTGAGTTCTGGACCACCCAGTCAGTAACGGTGCCTCAGGAGCTGGAGACGGTTAGAGACCACCTCTATGCCTTCCTGGTTAGTTGGGTTATCACATCAGCAGCAAACACACACCACAGACCTAATAATAATATCTATACACAATATTCACATCATTTTTATGAATGTATGGTTAAAATCCAACTTCTTCTCACTTCTGTGCCTGATAGGAGTTTTCCAAGGAGGTGGATGCTAAGTCATCTTTGCGTTCTTCTGTGCTAAGCACTGGAAACCAGCTTCTGCGCTTGAAGAGAGTAGATACAGCTGGTCTGAGGACGGCGCTGGGCCAAATCGACACTCAGTGGGCCGAGCTGCTGACCCGTATTCCTGTAGTACAAGAGAAGCTACACCAGGTCTGAGAACAGCAGCTGTTACACTTGAGTGGTTGTTGTTTGTCAGCTCTTTTTGTTGTAGCCACATTTTTTTTCATCTGAGAGATTTTTGTAAAAATCTTCATTGATGTTGATGCTGTATTTTGGATTGTTTGTACCCTCAGTTGCAGATGGAGAAACTAGCATCACGGCACGCCATCACAGAGCTGATGAGCTGGATCTCTCTCATGGAGAACATCATAGACGAAGACCAGGACAAGATCATGGGAGCCGTGGGCTCTGAAGTGGTCCAGAACTTCTTGCAGAAGTATAAGGTACAAAACCTCAGATCAAGCTGCGAAAGAACTTCATGTGTTATACATCAAAAAGTTTATTAACAGCCTTCAGCTCTCTGTTACTCCTCTTTTATCTTCCTCATCACAGTCTCATGATGTGATATTTGTGTTTCACAGGGTTTCCGGATTGATCTGACCTGTAAGCAGCTTACTGTGGACTTTGTGAACCAGTCCGTGCTGCAGATCAGCAGTCAGGATGTGGAGGGAAAGCGCAGTGACAAAACGGATTTTGCTGAGAAGCTGGGAGCTATGAACAGAAGATGGCAGATACTGCAGGGGCTCATTGCTGAAAAGGTAATGTTTCAGTTACAGAGCAATCAAGAATAAGTTTAATTTTTGACGTTTTCTTCATATATTCTTAACTTTCTGAGTTGTTAAATTGTTCTGAATTGTTTGTATTTCAGATTCAGCTGTTAGAAGGACTTTTGGAAGGTTGGTTAGAGCATGAAAATGGAGTCCAGGCCCTGAAAACCTGGCTCACACTACAGGAGGAAAAACTGAAGAAGAGACACAGGATAGAGGATGTAGCATCAGTGCAGAATGCACTTAAAGACTGTCAGGTATAAATATAGCAATGTGCCAACATACAGTATTTTAATTATATCTTAATTTTCTAAAAATAAATTACATTGTTCTTGCAGGAGTTGGAAGAATTAGTGAAGGAAAAAGAGAAGGATCTAGAGAAAGCAGAGGAACGAGGAAACGCTCTCATTCAGGATAAGAAAGGAGCAGCCTGCTCTGTCGTCAAGGAGACCCTCAAATGGCTGAACCAGTCCTGGGCTCATTTGGACCACATGGTGAGCTTCTTGGATCCTTCACCCTCATGGTTGTTGCCTAAATTTTGCTTACACACTTACACATTTTGTCTCCCATTCTTTCTATCAGATAAGTCAGATGAAGGTCAGCCTGCGGTCAGTGCTGGAGCAGTGGACACTGTATCGGCGAGCTTCAGAGGAGATTAATGGTTATCTGATGGAGGGGAGGTACTCTGTGTCCAGGCTGCTCCTCCTTAACGGGTCTTTAGAGGCAGTGCAGCAGCAGGTGGAGAGTCTGGAGGTGAGGAGAGCAGAAAACAGACTCTTTATTATGCAAAGTGGGACACTCTTGGGGAAAAAAAAAGTTTTGAACAGCTGATGCATAAATTCATCCTTAATGTATTTCACTGAGTACTGTCATTGTGAACAGGAACATCTAAATAATGTTCAGACACAACACAACAAACACTAAAGATGACAGTAGTTTTTAGTGGATGTCTGTGTTTTTAAGAACCTGCAGGAGGAGATGGATAAACAGGAGAGCAGTCTGAGGAAATTTGGCTCCGTCACACACCAGCTACTGACGGAGTGCCACCCATCTGTGGCTGAAACACTCAACAGAGCACTCCGGGACGTCAACATCAGGTAGGGATAACGAGAACGTGTCTCCGAGTGACTTCAGATCAAATTGCACCTATAACCCTCAACCTAAACCAGATGCAGACCTGAGCTCCAAAATGAGACTTCTTTCTTTTTCCTCTGTCGTAGGTGGAACCGCCTACTAGAGCAGATCTCAGAGCAGCTGAGGAGCAGTAAGGCCTTGTTGGGGCTGTGGCAACGCTACAGGACATCATATGGCCAGTGTGTGACAGCAGTTCAGAAACAGCAAGAACATGCCGATCGCCTGCTGAAGAGCGCCACCGACAGGGAGATCACAGAGGAGGAGAGCATCACCTGGATAGACGACTGCAATGTGAGTAGAGATGTGTCAATTTAATGTTGGCCTCTAGCACATGATTGGGTCAACAATTTTCATCAGTGGTTTTGTAGTTATTGCTTCTCAGTACCCGGGATTAGTGTTAGTTCATTACTAAGTGCACATATCTGCGGTTTAAAATATGCATTTTTCCTCATAGTGTAACAGAATGCTGAAAACCCTTCTTCCCCCCCAGTCCTCTTTTGGTTTCTAAGACCTTGTGAATAAGCTCTGAAACAGCTTGTCAGCTCACTATGAGGATTCACAAAGCCTCTATCCCCTCTGCAGAATACCAAATTGCACCCTGTCCTTTTGTCTGCTTGAATGTAGACTCGCTGCATCTAACAAAAGGCTTTTGATCATGAGACTGCAACGGACGAGACAGGCCCCTGATTTACACTACAGGGGTGTCCCACTGTCACACTGGGCTTGTAGGGCCATGCTGGGCGATGAGTAGAGACAGTCTGTCCTTCTACTGTAAGCAGACAGTTATTTTGACTGAGGATCACTGATGCACAAACTGCTGGTAGACACTAAGTGGTTAAGAATTCAGCATTCTTTACGACTTACCAAAACCCACAGAACACACATCCCTTGTTTTACTAATCCTGAATGTATTTATGAAAATGTGATTTTCATGACTTCAGCAAAAGGATGGAATCGTCCTCTTTGGGTTTGGAAAAAATATGCTATGCTTTGATAAGTCTAATCCTTTCAAAAACCCACTGGATTAACAGAAAAATATAGAAAATGTGACAGTTTCTCCCAAATGCTAACATTTTGAATGTGCCTTTTTTTTTCTTATGCACCACTACATGCCTTCTGTGTCTGCACAGGCATTCAGAGACTGTGTTCCTAACTTGCCTCTCTGTTGCAGGCGTGCCTTGGTGACCAGGCCTCAGTGCAGGATTCCCTCCAGCAGCTGCAGGCTTTAGGGGAACAGCTGAAGAGCCAAGTCGACGCCTCCTCCTCTGCAGCCCTCCAGTCAGACTACCTTTCGCTCACACATCGTCTAACAACGCTGGAGCACGCCCTTCACAGGCAGCAGGAAGTACTGCAGGTAGGATAGTGGGGATGGGTAAGCATGGGGAGAATTACAAATATGTTCTCTCTCAAACATGCCATCACTTCAGTGTTCACTCTCTTATTTATTGTTTTTCTTCCTCTGTCCGTCCGTCTGTTTCTAGTCTGGATCCCAGGCCTGTGACGGTTTCAGAGAGCAGTTGGACATATTGATACGTAAGGCTGAGGAGGCTGAGGAGGTGCTGAAGGAGTCTGACTCTGTCGGCTCACCGGAGCTCCATGTTGTCCAGACACGTATGGAAAAACTGAAGGTACAAAAGATGATGCTGCCTTGGCTCTTGTTGTATTCTGTGTTTGAACCAGAAAGACGTCTGATCATAGTACACCGTATGTTACTCAAAAGCAATACATTCAATTCTATAGATTCATTTTCTTCTCTCTCTTGCCTTTAACTAGCACTGTCCTTCTGAACATGTCTGATAATGTATTTCCAGATTCACCTGTTGAAGTTGAGCAGTCTATCTCCAGATCTAGAACGGGTTAACGAGTTGGTGTACAGACTACCAGTCAGTGACAGAGATGTTAAACAGCTGCAAAGTCTCAACAGAGCCTGGGCCGCTCACTGCGCTCACCTCACTGAGAGGTTCAGGTACCTGAGCTCTTCATATTTCACTTGTTTGTAGTACCACTAACACTAACCAAAATAAATAAAAGATATACCTGTATTTTTGAAACAGAATTGATTCCCTTTTTGTTTCTTGAAATGTAAAACTTTCATCATCAGTCTATGATTTTAATGAGACATACTTTAAGAACATGTTTATAATTTGTCACTAATAACATCATTAAAATTTAGTGAGATATGATTAACACATTCATAATAAGACATTATAATGAATATGTTACTAATTAACTGAGTTATGTAGGTTTTGCTCTTTACGATCAGCCGTAAAGCCTGGAGTTATAAATGTGAAATTTCTTTTTACCATGATAATCTGCAGCCGTCCTGCAGAAAGTGTGAGGTCAGAAAGTTCCTGGGGTCCTTATTGATTAATAAAGAGATTACTAAAAAGTTAAGGTGAGATATATGCAAATGTGACAACTCATAAGTTCTTTTTACTTATGAATTATAAGGGTTTATAACTGATGTGTAAAATACACATAAACTGTTTATTACATTATAAACTAACATTAGAAGTGACAGCATGTAAAATTCTTATTATAAAGTGGTACTAATCTTAATGCTGTGTCTGAATCTTTATCGTGATGTTAATGATGTTTATGTTCTGAGTGACGTCCCTCTCTCCCTCTCCAGTAAACTGCAGGCGGTGTTGCTCCAGCAGCAGAGCTTCCTCCAGAAGTGCGAGGCCTGGATGGACTTCCTGTCTCAGACTGAACAGAAGTTGGCTGCTGAGATCTCTGGTAACCACCAGAGTCTGCTGGAGCAGCAGAGAGACCACGAGGTGAGAGAAGCATTAAAAGTACACGTGTACTGATCGCTGTCCTTGTTATGTGCGGTGTTGGATCATAATATGTGCATGTGTTCTTGCAGTTGTTCCAGGCAGAGATGTTTAGCAGGCAACAGATTCTCTACTCCATCATCAGTGACGGCCATCGTATGTTGGACCAGGGACAAGTGGATGACAGGTAAACGCTTAAAACAAACACAATCCGATTTAACAATTCTCCCTGTCTCATGAAAATACAGATCATCACTCTTGTCCCACCAACAGAGACGACTTCAGTTTGAAGCTGGCCTTGCTGAGCAATCAGTGGCAGTGTGTGGTGAGGCGAGCTCAGCAACGAAGAGGCATTATTGACAGTCTGGTCCGCCAGTGGCAGAACTACCGGGAGATGGCAGAGAAGCTGCTGCGATGGCTCCAGGAGGTGACCCATGATTCAGATGTTCATCAGCCAGGAGAAGCGGTGGCCCTGCAGCAGGCCCGGAACCTGTTAGATCAGATACAGGTAGGTTACAATGGTGTATAAGACCTTTTTAAAGGCCTTCACTTCACACATTACATCATTCAAATTTATAATCTTATAAATTCATACTTTATTATCTCCTAATTAAAATTTGTTGCAGGTGGAGTAGATTTGGAAAGCATTGAGTGAATCACACCTCCACCCTGAACTAATTATTTTCTCATAATACTTGTTTGCATGTTTTATAACCCTAAACCCTGCACTAATAAACCCCCACCCCCTTCTCCAACCATAGACTCCCTTAGTTAACCTGTACCCCCTCTGCCATTTGTCCCTGTCTGTGCTCCTCCAGCTGAGAGAGCGAGTGCTCCAGAGGCAGCAGGGAGGCTACATCCTCACCGTGGAGGCTGGCAGGAGCCTGCTGCTGTCAGCCGACGCCAGGGCCGAGTCCACCCTGCAGACAGAGCTGATGGAGATTCAGGAAAGGTGGAGACACGCGCACCACCGCCTGGACCAGCAGAGGAGGGAGCTGCACGGCATGCTCAAGGTCAGAAAAAAATACAGCAAGAATAATAGAGAAGTTTCATTCATGTTTCTGAAAGACTATTAGCATTATAATAACTTTGTGATGGCAGTTTGTAAGTTTAAAAATATTATCGATCAAGCATAGTTGCTTTATAAGACATCCCTAAGTCTTGCAAGTATGCAAAGCCTCATGGAGCACAGTCTGTGTTTGCAGGCTAAGCTGTGTTTCTAACATGCTTCAGTGTAGAGGTGCCTGTGAAGTGTGCTGAAGGGCATTTGCCCATCTGAGCCCTTAATGAGCCCACATGCAGCAGTGAAACCAGGTTATCACATGAATTATGCAGCATTGCACATTAAGTCCTGAAAAGAAATCAAGGATGGAGATGGAGTACACTCACTTAGATTTCTAAGCATCATATAAACATGTGCATGCAAACCTACACACACTCACTGATGAAATATTACAAAATGGCACAAATAAAAAAGGATAAAAGTGCAAGCTCAGGGTCCACATCTGCATAAACACACACACATAGAGCGTGGACACTGTGCAGTGAGATGTAATGATTTGAACCCTGTGAATTAGATTTTACAGGATGAGATACTGTCATGTTGTGATACAGGCAGAGTGACGCAGTTCAAAAGATTCATCCGGAAATTTGACATTTTTGTCGAAGGTGGCTCTCTCGTCTTTTTTTTCGGAATCTCACTCTCCTGCAGTCTTTGTGACTTTCTCGCTGTCGTCCTTCGCTTGCACTTAGAGAACAGCTTCTATTCTTATCCTCATCCATGTCCTTTTACCATGACTCTTGCTTCAGGTATGCTACTTGGCCGCTGCATCTCTTACCAAATATTACCCTGTTTTACCCTCCAGTGGATCGTTATTCAGACTCTAAAAATAGCTGTAATCTGTGCCCTTTGGAGCAGAGCCTCGCTCCTTTGTTATGAAGCTGTGTTAATTCTCCTCTTTGGTTGCTGGATTTTTGCTGTATCACTGTTTAGTGCCGCTTGTGATGTCCAGAGCTAAGTAGGCTATCTATGGCATGGTAATTGATGTGGCCTGACTGCAGCTTTTGGCAGATGTAGTGTGTGTGTGTGTGTGTGTGTGTGTGTGTGTGTGTGTGTGTGTGTGTGTGTGTGTGTGTGTGTGTGTGTGTGTGTGTGTGTGTGTGTCTCTACCAAAAGCTGCAGTCAGGCCACATCAATTATGTATACACATGCGTATACACGTGTGTCAGCTTATGATTGTCTATTCTGTAGCTTCCTCTTAATGATCTACAGTCTAAGTGTGTGTTTGAGTGCATATGGATGTGTGTGTTTTATGATCTCATTCTTCTTATTGTGTGTGTGTGTTTTATGAGTTTTTATGAGTGTGTGTTTTCATTCTTCTTATTGTGTGTGTGTGTGTGTGTGTGTGTAGAACTGGGAACGATGTGAGAAGGGCATAGAAGCATCACTGGAGAAGCTGAGGGCCTTCAAGAGGAAGCTGTCTCTGCCGCTGCCTGACCACCATGAGGAGCTACATTCAGAGCAAATCAGATGCAAGGTGAGGAGAACATAATACACACACACACACACACACACACACACACACACACACTTGTCCTCCCTCTACCCTTTTAATCTGGCTATGGGGACAAACAGATAAACAGACCGACCAGCGGCCAAAAAGAAAACGAAACATCTTTATCTATCAGCTGCTGTTTCATTGTGTGATCGTGTTTGTTATATTTTGTTTATTCTCCTGTGGAGGCATAGTGTTTCAAGTCTAATTGAATTTTAAAAAATTATGTTTAGTGTTTTTATAATTTTGTTGTTTTTGTTTTTTAAAAACAACATTTTTTTAGTAAGGAATCATCAATATGGCTCAGGCAGAAGGCAGGAGGTTGCTGGAATGAGAATGAATATTTTTTGTGTGAAAAGTCACAGTATGATTCCCTGCGTTTTGTGTTAACCACTGGACACTCTATGCCGTCATATTTCATTCCTGACACATCCCCAAGCTCCTCAGAGGGGGGAGGAGGGCATTGAGAGTAGCTGCACATAGTTAGCATCAGCTGAGGAGAGAGAGGGGGTGGGGAGAGAGGCTGCGTGCGCATGAGAGTGAGCAGAAAAGAGAGAGAGAGAGAGAGAGAGAGAGAGCATCCCTGCTTGCTGTGGGGGTGTGTGTTTGTGTATGTGTGTGTGTGCATGTGTGTGCTTCCTTTTGTGCGTGTTGCGTAATGGAGACATTCTCCGGGTCCACAAATGATTGCAGAGCAGAAAAACCGTCACAGTGACGGAGGAGGAGATGCAAGGTTAGATGCCTCTGTTACATTATTCTGAATCCATATCCTTAAATGTAGCTGATGTATTTTCATCATTGTGTTATGTTACTGTTATTTTTACGCAATTTTCAGAAAACCTAAATCAAATTCTGGCATTTGGAGGAAATATTGTGTCTTTTTAGGAAATGCCTTGCTGTAATATTCAGTGTCAGTTTGCTGTTTTGCTTTCCCTCGTCGCTGTTACTGAGGTACAGCTACAGTTGAGCTCCAGTAATCCTGAGCTGTGGTTTTCCTCCTCTCCTGTGGCTGTTTATGAGGAGAGAAATCCCTCCAGTCTGAGAGTAGTTACATTTAAGGCTATGCATCACCTCTCTGTGTTGTTGTACAAAATTTCTTGTAATGGCATAATTTCATCCCATGTGGATACAGGAGTTGGAGAGCAGTGTGGAGGGCTGGACTGATGACCTCACTTCCTTGTTCCTTCTGAGGGACTCCTTGGAGGGCGTGGTCAGTGCAGATGACATCACTGTCCTACAGGAACGCCTCCAGCTGCTACAGCGCCAGTGGGAGGAGGTCTGCCACCAGGTAAATACACAGTACTCTGTACATGTGCTTCTGATGTTTGTTTTTTTTCTTGGGTGTTTCGAAAGTGCTGATGTTAGTTCATTTCCCCCTTTTACTTGCTCAGTGTTTTTGTCTCCTGTCTCTCTGAGACAAAGTGGATTGAATTTTGCTGCCTTGTGCTCTTAGCATTACTAAGTCAGCTGAGCCATGCAGAGGACAGATAAGATAAAGAGAGACAATATCTATGTTAAAAAATGTTGGCTTGAGCAGTGTGCATATTCTCACTCAGTGCCCCTCCTCGCTGAAGATAGACCAAGATAACAGCTGTGGTGCATTTGACAAAGTTAGTGTTCAGCTGTGGCTAGCTTTCTGTAGCTAACACTCAAACACAAGTTTGAGGGGGAATTAGAAACATTAAATGAGTGGGCTTTTGTCTTTAGCTTTCCCCAGTTAATTTTAGCATATACTCTTCAATCCAAATTATTTTTATGTCTTTTATCATCACCAATTATATTCTTTCTCTCAATCTTTGCACCTCCTAAATTGGCCATCCATCACTCTTTTTCATGTTTTGACTATTTTTGTCATCATCCTTCTGCTTTCAGTTGCTACTTATTTTCTCTTATATTTTCACTCTCACCCTTGTCTTTTCCTTCCTTCCAACAATCCCCTCCCCCCGTGTCCCCTCAGCTTTCCCTTCGCAAGCAGCAGGTGAGCGAGAAGTTGAATGAGTGGGCCGTGTTCAATGAGAAGAACAAGGAACTCTGCGAGTGGCTCACACAGATGGAGAGCAAGGTCTCTCAGAATGGAGACATCAGCATTGAAGAGATGATTGAAAAACTGCGCAAGGTGATTTCAGCACACAGACTTAACAAAAAGACATACATTAAATACACATACGTAGAAATCAATGAACACAACACATTTATTCACGCAGGAGTTAGAATAATAGTTCAAAGTTATTTGTTAATGGCACAGTTGGAACTGGGATTGCTTGTTTAAAATCACCTTTTAAAATATTGCATTACTTTAATGCAGCTACATGATATTAAAATAACCGGACTCTAACGCACTGCTGCGTGAACACACACTCACGCCTTACACCACAGCTCCCTGTGTTTAACCTGCTTGGTGTTTCTCCACCAGGACTACCAGGAGGAGATCAGCGTAGCTCAGGAGAACAAGCAGCAGCTGCAGGTGATGGGTGAGCGCCTGGCCAGGGCCAGCCAAGACAGCAAGGCGGCCGAGATCCAACACAAACTCAGCAAAGTCAGCGAGCGCTGGCAACACCTGCTGGACCTCATTGCTGCCAGGTGGGTGCACGAAACTCTCAGGTGGAGATCGATATTTGATAGTAGAGTTTGTGTTGTCTCTGTGAAGGTGGGAAGGAAATTTTCTGACGAACTGGAAACGAAAGGAAAAAAAAGTCAAACCAATTATTAATTGTATAGCACATGTGTCCTATGGCTAAAGCAGTTCAGGGTCAGTACTTGATATTATGGTTAACATCAATTGGATGGATACAAGAACAGAAGAGCTGTTTAAAAAATCCCTGCAAGAACATTTAAAGACAGGCATCTAGTTTGGCTTTAGTTTGTTCTCTGATGAATTGTGTCATTGTGAATGAAAAATATAAGATAAATATATGATCTTTGTTCTGTTGTTCATCTGCTTTTGAAAAGCTGAGACTGAAAAGTACTCATCAGTGTGTTTGCACTTCACCCTACACTTTGTGTCACTCCTCCTAGCGGAGAAGGGTTTACATTAGTGAAGGCATGCTTTGGCCTGACTTCGTTTCCATGGTATCCGTCCTGACACTCCAGGACACACGTGACGAGGGGAATTCTTTTTCCCACAATGCTGCTGAGGCATTTCCTGAGCTCCTTACTGGTGTCAGTGGGACTTCTACTTTAGTGGAGCCGCAAACCAAGCAGAGAGGTCACATTCCTCATCGCTCCTCGTCTCCTCTCTTCTGTCTCTTTCTGCCTTTTTGGCACTTTGGACACTTCTGCTTAACAGAGTTGGAACCAGTTTGCTACCGACTGAATCAAATCAAAAGTGCACTTTGAAACGGCTGTAGACTAGTGAGAGACATAGACATTCTTTCATTATGTTGATTAAATGTGGAAAAAGAAAAACTCTTTCTGTATGTTGTGAACTTTGACTCTTACTACCTCGGCTACCCCTCCTCCCCCAGCCTTTTTTTCTGGCTGTTGCCCTCTGGGACTGCCTTGGAGGAGGGAAGGGAGAGAGAGAGAGGACAATATCTGACCTCATACAGACAGCTGCACTCTCTTTGTCTCTTATATCCGTCCGTAACTAAAACAACAGGAACAAACGCTTTGCAGCTGTCACGGGAAGCAGAGATCCTCACAATGAACCGTTTTCTTTAGCATTTTGTTATCTTGTGAAAGAACCTCTTGACAATTTCTTGAGTTTTTATTTTCTGTGCAAACGAGGATCTATTTTTATTCTCCTGCAAGCATATTATCATTATTGGAAAACTTTTCTTCAAGTTTGTGCGCTGTCCACCGAGCTTTACTCCCATGCGTGGAGCCTGCAGCCTTTGCCTCTGTCCACACTCTCTGTGTGTATTTGTTGTCTGATTTTCCAACACAGGCCAGCTCTGCGGCACATGCCTCTGACTGTAAGTCTCGTTTTAGAAACAGCAGCACTTGTCACTCTCAGGCAGTCACACACACACACACACACACACACACACACACACACACACACACACACACACATACATATATACACACATGCCTGTTTGGAGTTCTCTTTTTTTAACCTTGGAGAGCAACAGTTGATAAGTCACAGTTGTACCCCACCACTACCTGCTGGCCCTCCCCCCTCAGCACAGACAGAGTTTAGAGAAAGTCCCATGTGGAGCTCGCAGACGGAAGAGAAGAGTGTTTGGATCAACACCGTAACACTTTCCGCCGTTAACGTTGTATTTGGGAATTCCGCACCCCCATGGTTTTGGATTTAGGGACGGATAATATGGCAGGATGCTCGAGTGAGGAGGATCTGCCAGACTGCGACTGTGATGTCAACAGGCAGGACAAACTTGAGAATTTATGTTGAAGTTGTTGGTTTTGTTTTTAAGGGATTTAACACTAAATTAGCCTCATGCCGTGTTGTTTTAATCCGTCTGTGTTCCCAGCATAGGGTGGAGATGCCACAGTACAGTAAGTTCCAGACAGTTCAGACAATAGCAGGAGTGTTAATGCTAGTTTTCTGACTGACATGGTAATTGACCTGACCTGATGGAATGAAGCTGTACAAGCTTTTAAAACGTGCAAGTTAAAGCAGTGAGTGTCCCAAGTCAAACTACTGTGTCCCACAGTATTTTGCATTGTGAGATGCTTAACAGCAGGTTTAGTAAGATTTCGAGATGTGGTGTGCAACTGATATCATGCAGCATCTAATGCCACATTATAGGTGCGGATGATGTGCATCTTCACTTAGACCACCGCAGTCAGTGCTATAGTAACGCGGAGAGTATAAGGTGGAGCAAACCTGCTGAATGTGTCTGTTGTAGTTTGTTTATGTAATAATGAACAGCCGCCGCCTTCATGCTGATCAAGTCTGACAGTGAGCGTTGCATTGCTTTGCAGGGTGAGGCGTTGAATGTTGAGCTAGCTGGGCAGACTGATGTCAGAGCTCGATGCTTGCTAATTTAAACATCATTCACATATTATAGATTGCAGTGGTCAGAGTTGGGAGATGTCTGGCGTCTGCAGATCCAAAACGGTTCCCAGTTGTTGTGTTGGGGTCAAATAAGGTTTTCATCGCTTCCCAACAAAAATATCTGCACAGATCTCTAAAAAAAAAAAAAAAAAACTCTCCTACTCATATTACTCTTCTGCTCTGTTTGGCTGAACATGGCACACAGTAGCTCTGTTATTTTGTGTCCACTACATGGATGGAGCTAAAGAATGCTTTCTGTCGTATTCAGACATTCTTACCTTAAATTCACAACCAGATCAATAATGTGTTCAGTATGCGTCGTCGATTCTATTTCCATGCTTTTCAACAACTTTTCATGCCTTTAACACTGAAATCAGCTGAATGCACTTTTATTTGATCCTAATGTTATTTGATTTACCAGTTATATTTAAAGTATGTCTTATAGTATGTTGTTACATTGACTGTGTGAATTGTCTGTCAACATATTTCTCCCATACCAGACTGTCCGTTGCTGTTTACAGCTGTCCCGTGTGTTGACTCTGCCTTTGTTTGTCTAACAGGGTGAAGAAGTTGAGGGAGACCCTGGTCGCAGTGCAGCAGTTAGATAAAAACATGAGCAGCCTGCGGTCCTGGCTGGCTCACATCGAGACGGAGCTGTCCAGGCCCATCGTCTACGACACCTGTGACGACCAGGAGATTCAGCGGAAGCTCAACCAGCAGCAGGCAAGTAGAACCCCCTTCACAAACAGTGCTGGGCTACAACAGTGAGAAAGAAAATTACTGATTTGTTTACAGGCCTTACGAGGGATGCAGTGGTAACCGTCAAACTCTCTGTTCATGAAATTTGCATCACTTGACCAACGTGTGGTAATAACATCCTGTCTTGCACCAGTACTGTATGCACACAAACAAGCACACAGGCACATTGTTGGTGGAAAATGAGTGACACTGAAGCACATGAGGAAATCATAGCATGACTCATGCATATATCTCTGCTGTTTGTTTAAAACTAGCCTACAGTAGGTATCAGTATCCTTCCTGCTGCCAAGACGCTGCTCTAAATCTGGACTAGATTCTGAGAACCCACTGACCTCCTTTCTCTCCAGAACACGAACATTTAGTTTACCAGGCAGACTATGCACTTCCTGTTTAGCGTAGAGACACGTTTGCTGAACTGCACAGCGGGAGAAGACATCAAATCACACCCTCTTTGCAACTTGAAGCAACAGAGGTTTATGTGAAGTGCAGTTTTCATTTAAAGAAATGCAGAATGCTACACATACAACCTCTGAGTGCTGAAAAAGTCAAATTGTAATTCTCACCGATTTGTAGGAGCTGCAGAGGGACATAGAGAAACACAGCACAGGCGTGGCGTCCGTGTTGAACCTGTGTGAAGTCCTGCTGCATGACTGTGATGCCTGCTCCACGGAGACAGAGTGTGACTCCATCCAGCAGGCCACCAGAGGGCTGGACAGACGCTGGAGGAACATCTGTGCCATGTCCATGGAGAGGAGGCTCAAGTCAGTGCATCTTGGATAAATTCAGTCCTATATACCGTGGTCATATGCATGCACCAGTGATAAAATCCAAGCATTGTTAGCCAGCGCTAATTTTGTTGTGTGTTTAAAGAGTTGGAAACTTACATGTAATCATAGATTGTAATACCAACTAAATCCCATTGCCTTCTGCAGTATACTGTCCCGCTACTGACCGTACAATCATATGTTTATATTTAGGAAGATTTAGCCATGACGAGTGATTTTTCTTTGCAGGATCGAGGAGACGTGGAGGTTGTGGCAGAAGTTTCTGGATGATTACTCCAGGTTTGAGGACTGGCTGAAGACCTCAGAAAGGACAGCAGCTCTGCCGAACTCCTCTGGAGTTCTTTACACCGTCGCTAAAGAGGAGCTGAAGAAGTTTGAGGTGTGTTTATTTCACTTTTATTATCAGAATGTGGAGTAAAAAAGACACTGCTGTTGCACTGTGTTTGCATGGAACAAAGTGTGTGAGTGAGGTAACAGTATGGCTGTTTTTTATGTAAAATTCTCATATGTGCATGCTTTGAAGTTTGCACATTTTTCTGTCGGATATTTAAATTCTTCTTTATGAGCAAAATAAATCAAAGCAAAGCAAAATCACTGCAGGATAGAGGAAACAGAGAGAAAGAGAGAAGTGTCATGTTACTGAAACTTGTCTGCACCGGTCTGCTCAGCTGCTGCGGTCCATCAGTGTGCACGTGCACATTCCTGCTGGCTCACTGTCTGGCCTGGACCGTTGCCATCTGCCCTGCTTGTGCCTGACTGAAAAGTTCATTCAGTGAACAACATAACCTTTTTTGACATATTTCGGGATTTTAAGGGTTAGCTGTGGTCCTTGCAAAGTGTTTGTTTTCTCTGTGCACGCATGTGAAAAATGTTTGAAGGAAAGAATTTAACATTGCATATATATTTGCAAGAAAGTGTGTGTTAATTCAGAGCTTTAATTAATGTGTGTGCATGTATGTGGGTTTTCATCGCAGGCCTTTCAGCGTCAGGTGCAGGAGTGTCTGACCCAGCTGGAGCTCATCAACAAACAGTACCGCCGCCTGGCCCGCGAGAACCGCACTGACTCCTCCTGCCGTCTCAGAGAAATGGTGCATGATGGGAACAAGCGGTGGGATAACCTGCAGAAGAGGGTGGCTGCCATCCTACGCAGACTCAGGGTAACATCACATGAGGCGTTAGCAAGTCACTGTGAAATATATGGAACTAATCTAACAGCTGATGCGTCTTCCTCTCCGTTAGCAAGCTCTTGTTCTATTATTCCGTGAATAATAATAATAATAATTACTGCTTCACTCCATTTACATTTAAATTCATTGGGAAGTAAGCTAGTTCAATTCAGATGGAGAAAAACTCAAGTAACTGAAGAATCGTTGTTTGTCTGGCTGTGTTCTTGCAGCACTTCATCAGTCAGAGAGAGGAGTTTGAGTCGGCACGAGACAGCATCCTGGTGTGGCTGACGGAGATGGACCTCCAGCTCACCAACATAGAGCACTTCTCTGAGTGTGACGTACAGGCCAAGATAAAACAGCTCAAGGTGAGGCGGACGGACACAATGTTTGAATACTGTGAAGAAACTCCATGTGTCAGTACAAAGCATCAGTCACACTTTTTATTTTCAGCCTTTTTTAATAAAGCATCTGCCACAGTATGAGGTGAACAAATTCCTCTGTAGTTTATCAAGACAGAAACTGTTCTGTTCTAGGAATGAGATGAAAATTGATTAGATGAGGCAAAAATGTAATAATTGGAAACTTCAGCTTCTGTAGCAGCTAAAGTAACAGAATACAACAAAGAAAAATACAGTGTAATGTAATGATAGAAGTGGATTTTAAAAAACTCCTTTGCTGAAACTTTTATTTGGATAATTGCTTAGTTAATAATAAGGAATTAAATCATTTTAGTTACTTATCAAAAGAAATATGAAACATTTGTTGGTTAAAGTTCCTCAAATGCAAATTTTTGATTGCTCTTGTCATGTTTTTATCACTGTAAATTGAAATTCTCAAGTTTTTTGACAATTTTGAGGCTTCACTTTGAGCTCTGCAGCAGTAAAGGTGAATGTGTGTGAATTTTCAGGGGTTTTTTTTGTTTGTTTTTTTTTTACATTTTATTGTTTTTTTTTAAACATTTGATTGAATGCATGAGTGATTATTCAATCAATAGATTATCCAATAATGAAAAGGATTGTTAGATGCAGCCCTCCTTCGCTCTGACCTCTGCTGTGTGTGTTTCTCAGGCGTTCCAGCAGGAGATCTACCTGAACACGGGGAAGATTGAGCTGGTGTTCAGGCAGGGTGAAGCTCTGATCGAGAAGAGCGAACCTCTGGATGCAGCCGTCATCGAGGAGGAGCTGGAGGAGCTGCAGAGATACTGCCAGGAGGTCTTCGGACGAGTTGAGAGATACTACAAGAAACTCACGCGTCTGCCTGTGAGTACAGATACACAGATGACACGGCATGTAGCATTAAGACACATTGTCATGTAATAAATGAATGTAACTGGTAATGTATTTGCTGCTGACTGTGTTTCACTGCGAGAAGTGAAACTGGCTGCAGAGCTGTGATGTTGTGACAGTGAGTAGTTGACTCGGGGAACTCGAAGCGCTCTGTAAACACATAACGAAATGAACAACTACAGCTGTCCTCCTTCACCTCCTGTGACATGGTGCAAACATGTGTCAGACATAGTTTCACACTGACAGCTGGTGAGGAACAGAATACACACTCATTATATTAGCATGGTAACAGTCAGTACGGCGCACACGCTCACCTCACTGTGCCTCACAACCCGCATTCTCACACTTCTTAGTTACACATACTTAGAAATTTGATAACCTCTACCATGTCCGACCCTCCATTTTCTGCATGTACTCCCTTTCTTGCTTGCATTATTCTTTCTTTCATTTCATCCTTTTCCTGCCCGTCTCGCGCAGTTGGCTGACGATGAGCTCGATGGCTCAGACAGAGAGCTGGACGTGGAGGAAGGAGGCGACCTCTCTGAGCTGCAGTGGGGCGACTCCTCTTTGCCCCGGACATCCAGCCGTCAAGCCTCGGGTACGGCCACCCTCATCCGGGCCGACCGCTCGGGACGGGACACTCCGGCCAGCGTGGACTCCATCCCGTTGGAGTGGGACCATGACTACGACCTGAGCAGAGGTCTGGAGAGCCCTGGAGGACGAGGCCATGGGGAAAGGAGCAGAGGGCAAGAGGAGGAGGATGAGTATCTGAGGACGGCTGCCACAGTGCTGTCAGGTTGGTCCAACTTCAGGGACTGTGATTGGCTTAATTTATACATGCTGATTTCTTGTGGATGTAACTATAAGGTCTGTGAAACAAGTATTTCCTAGGAAGTTCCTTTGAAAGAACCATTAAATTTAGTTCTATATATATAAAATAGTGACAGCATTGCATTGGTACTTATGTAATTAGTTACTTTAATTTATTTTTACTACCATAACTGAGTCTTTTTTTAATATGTCTAAATAAAATAAATAAAAAATATAAATTTGTCTACAGTAAAACACACAATGCTACATAGATGATAAATTAAAATTTCCTATTATGAATGAAAAAAAACTTGGATTGAAATCGAAAAGTTTATTCAAAGATATTCTCATCTATAGTAAGAAGTCATTTGAAAAATATGTATCTGTCAGTGGGTATATAGCAGCTGATGTGTGATTTTGAAACATGACACTCAGTCTGCCACTGGAAAAATATACATCACAGAGCAAGAGATTATTACACAAGTATATTTTCCCAGTATTGTAACATTTTGCTCTTTAAGCCATCTTCGCAAAAAAGGTACTTACGGTATCTTTTCAAATAAAATCCCAACCAAGTATTCAAGTAAAGTCCTGCGATTTCTATCAGTCTGGTGCCAGTTAAACTCACATTTTGAAATAATAAATGAAAACAGCTCTCTGCCATGATGGGGGGAAAAAGTAGAAATCTTCTACACAAACAGAGATCAGTTGAACATCCAGATCCGGCACGAGGACATCAGTGCCAGCGCATTCATAGATTAGCAGAGAAGTCACATTCAATCATGCCCACATTATAAGCAGTATATGTTCTATGTCTCTCTTCCCAGATGTAGTTATCCCAGAGAGCCCAGAGGCCTATATAAAACTGACTGAGAACACACTGAAATCGTCCTCTGGTAGGCAACAGCAGCCCTCTGGTGCTGATAAGGAAGAGCATGCCTACAACTAAAACAGGCTTCTTTTTTTTTTTTTTTAACAGAAGTCTACCACCATACTAAGAAACTTCATCAAAGTTGCATGCTCCACCATCTAGAAAACTCTTTGTTTATCTCCTTGCAGAGATGACACCATTGCATGCTGAGGCCTTGCTCACTAAATTCCCACTTCCACCATCGCATTTTTTGTGTTGTCTTTAGTTTGTGCTCCTTCATTTAACAGTTATTTTCATTGTTTAACATGTTAAAACTCGACTTCTCTGTTCTTTTTGTCATGATGTGCCGTTATTTTGCATTTCAGACTAATGCATGCCGTCACAGCATCGGTCTACACCAACTGCCTGCTAACGAAAGCTTTATCATTGCAAACTTCACCCCTTATATTTCCTGACCCTGTTGCGGTCTCTGTGCAGGTGAGCCAGGCCAGCTGGAGGCCAGTCTGAGACAGCTGGATCAGGCTCTGGACGCAGGACGATATCACCTCCAGCAGAGAGAGGCCAGTGCCAACCGCTCCAGCCCCGACATCGACTCCTCATACATGGGCTATGTGAGTCCTCTTCTTCCTCTCCCTCTGCCTTAAATCACACCTCTAACATGAGTGAGAAGTACATCAGGCAAGATTTTGGTAAAAAGGGCTTTAAATACTTGTAACTCTTATTCCAGATGCGTCTGATGGGAGAGTGTCGAGGCAGTATAGACGCCGTGAAGAAAACAGAGGGAGAGCTGACTGAAGATGACGATGACATGCCGGGGCTCACCAACCCCACCAGCACAGACACTCAGAGTGCAGGTCAGTTACACACACACACACACACACACACACACACACACACATATCAGATTACCTCCTCCTGTAAATACTGTGTGAGCTGTTTGAACTGCATCTGTGTTTTTCCCACTAGGTGTGATTGAGCGCTGGGAGCTGATCCAGGCTCAGTCCCTGAGCGAGAAACACCGACACAAACAGAATCTGCAGCAGTGGCAGCAGCTGATCACAGATCTGCAGACCATGAGGGCCTGGCTGGGTCAGTCTGAGGCTGAACTCAGCCAGCTGCGAGGGCTCGATCTCAGCACCGATATACACACCATCCAGCAGAGAATCAAGAAGCTCAAGGTTAGTGCATGTTTTTGTGCGTCTGTTTCAATCACTGTATTAGAAGAGCAAACGTTAGGAAAGAAATTACAGATTTTTCTGCACCACTTTGTTATGAACATTTTTCTCTATGATAATTTACCTTTCGCGGAGTTGGATATTGCACTTGCAGTTATTTTGTGCACATTTATTTATGTGTATTAGTCCCTATACAGTAGAATTCACTACTCTGCAGTAATTCCCCCCACTGGCCTTGTTTTAATGTCCTACTTCATGTGCAGGGCTCAAACAACTTTGTCCCTCAACTCACCCTCACACACTCAAACACACACTAACAACACAACACACAACCAGTCCAGCTGTTGCTGCCTGTATAGCATTAGACAAGATATCACTAATCTATAAATACACCCCTCTGAAGTCTAATGACTTGCATCTAATGTGTCCCGACCACCTCAGCCTAATCCTCCTGCACTTTATCTGTTGGCACCTCATCTATTCCCAGCCTCCTCTCTAGTAGCAACATAAAGTCTGGCCGGGCTCATGGTTCGCTGTAAGCAATCTCTTGACCCATATGTTTGGATGCTGCTCTGAATACTTTCCTCTTTGACTCTCGCTCTCAGGAGCTGCAGAAGGGGATGGACGCCCACAAGTCAGAGGTTCTGTCCATCAACCTGAGCAGCGCAGACTTCCTCCAATCAGATCCCGACTCTGAGGAGGCCTGGGAGTTGAGAGACGGGCTGAAAGAGATGAACTCGCGCTGGGATCGGCTCGGTACCTCGCTGGAGGACTGGAGGGAGGAGCTGCAGAGGGCGCTGATGCAGTGCCAGGTACAAAAAACACACAAAATACTAGGTTTAACTTTTTCTCTATCAAATTGTATCCACAGTGTCCTGTGTGATTATCGCCTCAGCAAAAATGAATTACCAAACCAGAAAGAAGGGATAAATAGAAGAGTAATAACACACACCCACTGTCAGTCATACCATGTTTCCTTTCAGGAGTTTCATGAGATGAGCCACGGTCTGCTGCTGTGGTTGGAGAACATCGACCGCAGGAGGAACGAGGTGGTGCCCATCCCTCCCAAAGTGGATCGTGAAACATTACGAGCTCATCACAAAACACTGACGGTACTTCTCTCTGCTACCAGCTTTGTGTACCGCAGACTCGTATCTGGTCAGGGGAGTTTCATCACCTCTGCTTTAGCCTTTTATATTAACCACTGTCACTTAATAAACCTCCTTTGGTGCCTAAAGCTCACTTTGGGTTTGACTGCGGAGTTTCTAGAGCAAAGTGGAATCCTGAGCAAAACTAAGGACAACAATTACAATATGTTGTGATCGTAAGGTTTCTTTGATGTCATTACCCCTCAATCTAGGACATAAACAATAGCTCTAATAATAACAAATAGCTTTAGTTGTGTAGTAGCTTTCATGCAGAACTGAGCCCTAAATTCTTCATAAATGGGGCTAAAACTAGAACAAATCAAACTACAACAAAGATAAAAAAAGAAGAAACAACATCAGTGAAATATGTTAAAAATATAGAACTAAGAAAGATTAAAAACATAACCCTGTCTCCCTGTCCTGCAGCAAATCAAGCGTGAGCTGCTGGACTCGCAGCAGAAGGTGTCGTCCCTTCAGGAGCTCTCGGCTCAGCTACTGGTCAACACTAAACCTCAGACCCTGCCGCCGCCGTCAAAGACCTCAGAGCAGATCCAGGTTCAGGGCAGCGAGTGTCTGGAGGCCCAGGAGAAGGTGCACGTGATCTGGAACAGGCTGAGGCTGCTCCTGAGGGAGGTCAGCTCAGACCTGGAGGGGCTGGAGAGGAGGCTGGAGACCGTGGACACACAGCAGGTCAGACAACACTGAATACAAAGTGAATGAAGGAGCGGCCAGTTTATGTTGAACCAACAAAACGCTCCTCTCCATTAGCAGCAATTTTATTTATGTAGATCTAAATATTAAAGTGACTGTTGTTTTATTTTTCAGGATTGCTTGCCGTTGCCTCTTGGCATAACAGAAATCTGTGAATCAGCTGCTCCTGTGTCAGAGGTGACCCTCGAGAGTCGCAAACGATTGGTAATGTTTTCCCTCATAATGTCCAGTGGGGAGCGGGAGGGTGGGGGAGGGGCTAGCGTCTGTGCTCCGTAAGAGAAAGTAAATCAACATCACCGTCAACCTGCCGTCTCATAGATATTCCCACCCTACCACTTTACTTTTATGGTCAACATAAATGTTTTTCCCTTTTGCAACAGCTCTGCTAACATGTACATGAAAAGACTTGTTGCTGCCCTCCTCCACCCCCACCCCTCCCTTTGTTTGAGATGTTGTTTGCCGCCCCACACCATGTTGATCTGCTAAAAAAAAATGTACAAGAAATCCTGGCTTTTCGTTTTATATGATAAAACTGTTCTCTAATGGATTCATCGATATCGTATTTTAGAAAACATGCATGAAAAAAAAGTTGTATTGTAAGTAACAGTTAAAGATATTTAATTTTATCAGTTTCTTTTAATGTGACTCTTCAGGATTTAGTCTTGAGAAGCCAGATTTCTTGGTTCTGAAAGTCAATCACCGTCATTGATTATGTTGCTGCTCTTTGGTTGTTGATGATTCTTTCTCTAGCGATGTTATGGCTCTTTTTATGTTATTTGTTTTTTCTCTCATCTGAGGCTTGGTCTTTATTTGCCCTTGACTGAAACATTCTTTTCTTTCTTTTACCCCTCCCTGCTCATTACGTGATACAGCCCCGAGGCAAAAGTAGTCAGGCCCACCCAGGACACCCTGAAAGCGGCCCGCGCCACAGGTACCTCTCTCCTGGACTCTAGAAACACGGGATGATGATGGAACAAAAGCCACGCCCCACTAGACACTTGATTTTTATTAATTCAACTCATGAAAAAAATCAATGAAACACAATCAGCCATGTTTTACACATTGGGCTTTTTAATTAATTTATAAGGCTTTAATCCTGCGTTCCATGATCCTCCCTCACTCTAGAGACCATGTTACCAGCTCTTAAACGAGTGGGGAATCGCCTACATCAGGCCGCTCCCTTTCTCCTTTAAATGTTTTCTTTCACTGCTTCTCTTTGCCCTGCTGCTTTTTGAATGGCATCATGAAATATTGCCTTGTCATACTTTTTGCTTCTCCTTTCTCAGAGTGACTTTGTAGCACCCTCTTTGCCCACTAGATGGCACTATCTGAATCCCAGTGACCCCCCTCTGCCCTGCTTCCTCCAGCTCTGTTTTTCTTTCTCATGCTTCCTTCCTGTTTCATCCTCCTCATAGTTTTAAAGCAGGATATGATGCATAAACTCCTGCGGCTTTTCCTTCTTCCTTAACTCCCACTTTCTTTCCTTTGTTTCCTTTCCAGACCTCTAAACTCACCCACCTCTGACCTCTCATTTCTGATTCAACTTTCCATGATTTTTATTAACTGCCAACAATACCTGGCGAAGACTCAGCCTAAACTAGTCTTGCCATGAGTGTGTGTAGCAGAAATAATGCGTTTGTTTTCCCCTGATAGCATCCTATGTATGAGAAGCAGGGACCCTTAATCACATTCTATTGGGCTGTGGAAACAGAAATCCAGCAAAGCAGGAGAGGTTGCCTCACACATGATGTGCACATGTTGCTTACGCATGTTCACAGCAGCTGTTTTGTAGGATGTAGGAGGACTGAATGAAATTGGCTGGGTGTCTGACCCTCTTTCATCCTCCATGAGGATGAGTCGCAGTAAGAACATGCTGTTCCCCCCCCCCCTTGAGTCTTGGCTCTAACAGTGGAAATCTCCAGAGAGGCATTTGGCATTTCTGCTTGTTTGGAATAAAACGTGGCATTGAACTCTCACACACTCTGCTCTAAATCCAGAGCATCTCCCCCCCAGTGAGACACAGTTGGCTATTTACAAATGCTTGTGGTTAACTAACTGTTTTTTTTTTTTTGTTTTTTTTTTTTGTGTGTTTGTGCCTGTTTTGTGTGTGTACGCAGATCTACTGTACATGTGTCTGTGTTCAACTTTTGACTCTCTTGATCTCTACCTGCTGGATCTGAGTCTATTTGCTGCATTTATGTATTTTTGCTTTCCTTCCTCTTAATTTTTTGTTGAGTGCTCATTCTTTTGTGAGACATGGGTAAAATAGTATTTGCAAAGATGTCTTCTTAACATTATTTAAAACATCAGAATTTTCAGATTTATTTGAGCTAAAAATTATTTTTCCTTATCAATTACTCTGAAGATTATTTTCAATTAATCACTTGGTCTTTAAAAATGTCAGAACATAGTGTAAAATGCCCATCTCAGGTCCCTAAAGCCCAAGCCAACAGTTTAAAACCCAAAGATATTTAATTTACATTTATATCAAGAATGTTTATTTGTCCCCAGGGGGCAATTTAAAGGGCACATAGAATAGACGTTTAAAACCCACAAAAAACACACAACCAAGAATGTGCGCACATTAAGAAAAATGACATTACTAGTGCAAATAAATAACTACACATAAATGACTGCCTGACTGTGCACATTTTGTTAAGAAATTTGCTGAATGAGAAGATAATCTCAGTGAAACAGAAAAGCATATTTGAGAAAGTTAAAAGAGGTGCTTTGTAGTTTTTGCTTGAAAATAATTTATATAAATATAATAATAAATATAAATAACCAATTACTGAAATAGTTCCCAAAAAATGTTCTGTCAATTGATTTATCATTTAATCAAGCTCAGTTTTCCATTGATCATTTTAGTGTTCCAGTACTTAGACAAACTACTTCCCAGCTACCTGGAGATATTAAAATCAATCCTGAAAAAAAGATTTGATTTAACACAAAATAATTGTATCTTGAGAGTCATGCATTTCTGATTTCCTTGAGCTTGGAGCATTTTTCACTATACAGACAAGCATACAAACCTCAAATTTTAGTTAATAATGTAAATGTTAAAAGGAATTTTCACAAGACAGAAGTGATTTGCAAATACTAATGAACTCGGGTCTTTTCTCTGCTGTGTTTAACTTGTGTGTGTGTCTTCCTGCAGCCGGAGCAGATCACCAGGCGCCGCTGGCTGCGTTTCCTCCCGTTCTGACCTTCCGGACGGCATCTCGTCGACCTCCTCCTCCTCCTCCGCGAAGGGCCAGTCCTTCCTGCTGCGGGTCCTCAGGGCTGCGCTCCCCGTCCAACTGCTCCTCCTGCTCCTCATTGGTCTGGCATGTCTAGTGCCCATGACCGAGGAGGACTACAGTTGCCACCATGCCAACAACTTTGCCCGCTCCTTCCATCCAATGCTGCGCTACACCAATGGACCTCCGCCCATATGAGGAGCAGCTGAATATCTACCTACTGCTTTGCCAAGGACTCCACTGACTCCTGTGAATGTTTCCTCTTCACCCCGTGCCCTAAAGCTACAAACTCTTCCCCTGCTGGGGAGCCACATGCATTATGAAGTGATTCAGAGGTGATATGAAGACTTCTCTCACTAACATTGCACACCCACTCTCCTGAAATCACCTCAACCCTTTAAAACTCTAACTCTCCAGACTAAATGGACCTTCATCTGGAGACCACCCTCCCCCAATCCAAATGTTTCATTGTTTTAACTTAAATGTGTATATTATTTTTTAAGGTTTCTGAAGAAACCTGTGAAATCAATGAAAAACAAAGCACTATTTATATACTCTATGTTGGGAGCCAAAGTCGACCGTGCTTTTTGTCCATGATATCCAGTGCTGCTACTATTTATTTAGTGTTCAATCAGTTCATAGATTGTTAGTATTGATGAAGCTAAAGCACCACCAGTGTGGGATATTGTACCGGTAAGTTGTAGAGTAGACTAGAGTAGCAATCATTCACAGTCTTAGAAGTGAAGAGTTTCTCTCTGAAAGCACAGCAACAAAACTCAACAGGAAGATGTAGCTTAGTGTTTTTTGCTTTACACATTTCAAAAGAACCTGCTTAAATTTTGAAATGAAGTCTTCATATGACGTTAAAGCTAAAATCTAAACGTATAGCACTGACATAAGCACTGTCGAAGGTACTGCACTGAAGCCGTCCAGCCAAGATGGCCGACTTCTTTCCCCAAAAGCCAAGGCTTGTATTCCTGTCTTTAATTTAAGTATTTAATCAACTGGAGCCAATAGAGAAAGACATGAGCTCTCTTGTTTTAAAAAAAAAAAAAAAAAATGAAACTGATTTGTATATTATAGTTGAAATGCCTTTGAATACAGGCAGATATTTTTTTATCTTTCTGTTTGAGCATGCACTTGAAACTCCCCTGCTTTTAAGAAAGCCAAACAATCACTGGTAGTGTTTTAGTAGACGGCTGTGACATTAAATAAATAGTGTGCTTTGTAATAACTGCGCTAATTACTCTGCAGTGATGAGACATCAGAATCACTGCGTTGTTGAAACAGAATCTGTAAAAAATGATGAAATATGAAAATGGTTATTTATGTATGTACAGTTTGCTAATGCCGACTTCATGAAGAATACTCTCTTTGCAAATAATAAAACATGAAATATTGACTTCTGTGTGTTCTTTTGAGATATAAACTCAGGAGAAACATGGTGATGAACGATCTTTTCCCAATCGATACTTTTATTTTTATGCACAGTAAACAAATGACAGTCAGGTTTGACTGGATTTACACTGAACGGCTCAAGTGGCCAAATCCAATTTTCTGATCATGGTTATATATGGAGGTTTTCCAAATACATCTGTAAATGGCATCAGACTGGACAACTTAACTTTTTGTTTATCGCTTCTACCCTGGCAAAATACATTTTAATTACTTGCAATATCTACGTGTCAGTCAACTGTCGGCCAGTTTCACAATATATTTAATGTCTGTGGTCAACCGTACTGAGTTAGAGAGTTATTCCAGTTATTTAACATATTACAAATCGGCTGCGCTAATTACTCTGCAGTGATGAGACATCAGCACTAAATACATGCTTACACAATATCTTGAAACAAGCAGAAAGCAGCTTCAATTAGGAGCAGTGTCTTCTTATCATACAGAACTAGTTTTAATAATTGTGACCTGTGTTGAATTATAATGTAATATAGACTTAAACCATTTGGACATTTTTCAAATTACATTTTTTTCTCCTTGGTTGTTGATTGGAGAGAGAGCGACTGAAAGAAGGAACCAGAAAGAACTGGAGATTCTAGCGAGGTCTGAGTTCAGTCAGAGGCTGAGCTGAACTAAAACAGTCACATTCTCAGAGACACGGTCAGTATTTGTGTTGCTGGCTAACTTTCAGCTAACAGAATTTGTACATTGACTGTTTGGGGCAAACAAACACAAACAGTCCTAGGGGTCTTCGTGTCTGAACATATCTTTTCTACTTCGCTTTGTCGTTTGTGATAGTAAATTGAAAACATTTGGGTTTTAGATTGTCGGTTGGACTAAAATCAAAAAGCTGTTTAAATATGTCACTTGGCTCTGGGGACATATCTCACTATTTTCAGACATTTTTAAACCAAAACAATCACACCCGATCATGTCAATATCAGATATCTTCTGTACAATTGGATCAAATTTGGTCCATTTAAAGAGGAATAAAACTATTGCATATGTGCACATACAGTACATTATGTTATTTCGGTTCCTGGAGGTGTGTAAATCCAGCCAAACTCAACATGAAATCACAGAATTAGTGGATGAATAATAACTGGTTGTAATTTTTACATGGTTGAAATGTTGGACAAATGCATCAAGACAAAGATCTATGCATCAAATCAGCTTGGAGCCATTAATGGCTCATTGCCTCTGACTCTCTCTGCCACACACACACACTCACACACACACACAAACACACCACATTACAAATTCAGAAAAAAACTTTGGTGCTAGTAAGCATAGAGAACAAACCTACTGTACACAAAAAGTACACGGGTGAAGTTACCCGACAGTAAAGCTTGGCTTCCTTCATTATGTACACAGCGTTCTAGGATTTGATCATGCAAATTTAGGTATTCAAAATTTAACAATTATGTCCTCAGCCACTGTTAATTTTATAATTTAAATATTTTTTCCCAAATACATCAAGTTTAAAATTGTGTGTGTTAAGACACAATACCTGTCATTTAGTCTTTAATGGTGTAAATAAATTACACATTCAGTTAACCACTTTTATAATAGGTTAGTTTGTAATCACTCTTTACGTGTAAAAGTAAAAATAATGCCCAATAGTCCTTTAAATCCAAGAGGAAGTGCACTTTGGTTGAGGCAAATGAAAAGAAAAATTAGCTGCTCATCATTTGAAATCACCATAGGTAACAGAATGTCACAATAAAACCTAACACTGGCCATTTTAGAAATAGCTGTAATGTAAATCTGTTAAAGACTGAGTCAAAATCACAGATCTTCTGAAAGGCAGCATACAAGATTAACAGCACTGAAGCTCAGATTGTAGTAAATTGGACCAGTGCAAAGGAATATTTTCTCCCTAAACAGCTAGGACAAAAAAAATCATTTAATTTATAAATAATTATCTCATTATCGCTTTCATTCTGCACTACACACATCATTCATAAAAATGACTTGACCTTCAGACGTACTTGTTGCACTCGGTCTCATAGGATGTGGGTGCAGTCGGAGCAGGACCCTCTGTACTGCAGGACACCTGGACCTGTCGGGGCTCTGCTCAGGCTCTCATGGCTACCTCGGGGTCCTGAACTGGAGCCAGCTGAAGAGGAACCGCTGCTGCTGTTGTTGTTGTTGTTGTTGTTATTGTTGTTGTTGTTGTTGTTGTTGTTGTTGTTGCTGCTGCTGCTGGTGGTAGAGGGCTCTATGTCAGCCAAGAACCAGGACTGAGCTGGTTTTTCAGGGCGGTTGAGGCGGTGAGCATCCAGCATCTCCAGCAGCAGGTCGTACAGAGGCACTTTGTTCTTGCACTTCATGCTGTAGAGGTGCTCCATGCCTTTGTTGCTGCAGAGAGCAAAAACAAAAGAGAGATGAGGAATTAGAGTGGCTTAATAATGAGTGATGCTTGAGACTGCTTTCTGCATCTACATCTACATAATATATACATAACACAACCGTTTTGAAGCATTTACGTTTTAAGCTCCTTCCACCTTAAGCTATCACTGTTGGATGGTTTAAACATGAATTTAGTATTTCTAATTCAATTTTACCTCATGTGCCTGATGTGGGAGAGCAGGAGGAGCAGCTGGGCCTGTCGTCTGGACTGCTGCTGAACAGAGCATCCTGATTGGCTGATATGATGTATGAGAGCGTCTGTGATAGTGTCCAGCATGTCCTGTACCGCCGTGCCGTCATGTAGTGGCTCCATTGTACCAGTGCAGAAAGAGAAAGAACCTAATAGAGAAAAAGAAAACTCACTCAATTTGCTACAGAGTTGTGTAAAAGCCACCAAATACCAACAATGCCAACTAGGCATTGAGAAAAAAAAATCTGACTCAAACATGTATGTAAGAGCAGAAAATTAATTCCAGTTGCAGTATTGCCCACACAATAATCAAAAGTTCATCCAGCTCCAGCAGCTGTGCCGGTAATGATGTCATCACACGGGTATTTCAGATGACTCAGTTTCCCATATAGAATACATCAATCCCCAGGACAGAAAAAGGCCTCTGACCTGTCTCATGTTGTCATGGGAACGGTTATTGGGCATATTGACTTTCCAGAACACTCTGTTTGCCTGATGTGCCTGATGCAGCAGAAGCAGCCACCTTCTATATGGAAGGTATTGTGCATTTTATGACTAAAGCATGAAACTTCCTCCTGTGTTTCTATAAACCATGAAGTTTTTTTTCAGACGTGGAGGCATTTCAGTTGTGACCTCTGAGACAGGGCAGAGCCCCCTGGAGTGATGAGTGTGGTCCAGATGAAACTACCATGCTAGTCTCTGATTAAAATGTTATTTGACCAATGAAAGATTCTTTTCCCCACGTCACAGTTGTGGGAACTCCTGGTTGTGAACCAAAACATCTAGGACGTGTGGTAGCTCGGTGCCAGGCCTCAAGGCAGGTGGTATCAGCCTCCCAACCCAACAAAACACACTTGGGGGAAGAAATGTCCATGTTATCTTTGAGTGAGCACATTCAGCTACCATACAGCAATTTTGTTATGCATCAGCCAAAATGCAATTCTGACTTCACTGTCAGCTAACTCCAAATACTACACAGTTGTTGATCCATGCTCAGCTTTCTTCTCTATTCCTTTGTATCCAGACAGCCAGTATCTGTTTGCATTCACGTTCAAAGGCAAGCAGTATACCTGGAAAAGGTTACCACAGGGTTTTGTTTCAAGCCCTACAGTTTACTCGGCGGCGGTGAAAAGAGAACCTGGACGACCTCGAATTCCCTGGCGGCTCAAATCATTTACAGTACACTGACGACCTTCTGATAGCTTCACCATCGGAGGAAGCCTGCCGTACTGACTCCATTCTGCTCTTTAAGAGACTTGCCTAGTGTGGTCACAGAGCATCATTAGCTAAGTTACAGTTTTGTAGAGTGGAAGTCACATACTTGGGTCATATCTTGAAGAATGGAAAACGTCTCCTGTCATCAGAATGGGTGCCCTCGCGCTCTCCTACATGTGCTTGCAAGTGTTGCACATGGTCCATCACATGTAGGAAGAGGGGTGATAAATGACGTCATTCGTTCACAATGGTTGGCACCTACAAACACTTGTAGATGGTTGTATGATATACCAACAAAAGAGAAAAAGTAACAGCACAGTGAGATACGACCATTTAGAGCCTCCATCAGGTCCCTTTAGAAATATGCAAATAGATTTTGTACATATGCCGAGCTGTCAAGGTTACAAATATTTGCTTGTAATAACTGACCGCATCTCAAAAAGGGTGGAATGCTTTCCAACCCGAAAAGAAGACGCACAAACAGTTGTAAAGTGTTTGCTGAAAGAGGTGATTCCAAGGTTCGGAGTGCAACATGGAATAGATAGCGATAGAGGACCAGCGTTTGTGCCAAAAAAAAAATCACGCAGAATCTCTCAGCTATACTAGGAATCAAATGGCAAATACACATCCCATATCACCCACAGAGTTCAGGACAAGTTGAAATAATGAATGCTACCGTCAAAGAAAGGTTGATTAAAGCAGTAATGACAACTGGCCTGACATACTACCTCTTGTGCTGTACTCAATTCGAAGTGCACCAAATGCAACAACAAGACTTAGTCCTCATGAGGTGTTAATGTGAAGACCAATGTCCAAAGGGGTAAGTCCTCCTTTAAGACCACACAAAACCACATTGCTCAGGACGGATGAGTTCATGACTAACTATGTAAAGAAACTAACAAGAGATTTTGAGAAAATATGAAAATAATATGCAAAATACAATTTGCAGGTGGCTGAGAGACTCCCAAAGGCGTTGGATGAACCAATCCACCCTTTCAAAGAGGGGGATTATGTACTAATCAAATATCTGGAAAAGTATCTTTGTCTCCTAGGTGAAAAGGACAATATCAGGTGATGCTAACCACACAAACAGCCCTCAAAGTCAAAGTCAAGCCAGAATGGATTCACGCCACAAGGTGCAGGCTCACTCGCAGAACCGATGGCGAGGAGATGATCCATGGCAAGTAACCGGAGGGTTACTACTCTTCGTCCTCCTTCCTGGTGGTCTCTTGCTGTGGACGGTCCTGATGATCCATGGTAATGAAGAGCAGGGAGGCTTTCCTGCTCCTCGTACAAATAGTGCCACAGACCTTGCAGACCTTGAGCCCAATAAGAGGCGAAGCCTTCTACAGAGAACTCCTAAAGGACAGGAACTGGACTCTGACTCTAAGAATAGACTGACAAACCCCCAGGGGCCCAAGTGTAATGTAAGCAAAAACATCAGAGTATCATGCCTTATTATACTATGTCGTTTTTATGAGTTACATACTATGTCGTTTTTATGAGTTTTTATGACATTTTTATACCTTACTATACTATGTCGTTTTTATGACTTACATACTATGTCGTTTTTATGACATTTTTATACCTTACTATACTATGACATTTTTCATGGCTTGCTATATTAAGAGTAGCGTTCAGAGCTACACCTCTGTGGGTGTAGTTTGACACTGTTCAATATTTATTCCCTGGAACAGAAACAGAAACTTGCAACATAGTTGTGTGGAATTTAAAAAATGAACTTAAGGGCTGATGTTTTTATTGGAGAAATGTCTCTGCTGCCCACTGTCAATGTTTCTAAGCACAACGTGTGCTTTCAATTTAAATAAAATGTTTCACAACTAAGTGGCTTATACTGTAAACACAGGTAGACAATGTGAGACACACACACGTGCGCACACACACACACACACACACACCACACACACACACACACACACACACACACACACACACGTTGCCTCACCAGAGTTTAGCAAGATGATAGCTTTGAGACAGACAAACTCCTCAGGTTTGAGTTTGAGCATGCGGAAGCGGGAAGCTGTAGCCAGCAGCATGTCAAAGATCTCAGCCATGCCCTCAACACAGTCGCCTTCGTTCCTGGAGGGCAAAGAGAACATGAGGAATTCATAGGTATTTAAAATTCTGTAAGTCACACATGAATAAAAAAGATTCAAATCTTCTCCTTTTTTCCTCTTCATCATAAGAGGTAAAAGAACCAGACTAAATCTGTGAACATGAACTATCCAAAGAGTGGCCAGATAAACAACTAATGGACTGAATCGCTGCAGCTCTCCATTTGTCAGCACAGTTGAAAAGTGATGGAAAGATGGATAATATCCAGTGGTTAGAGTGCATGGTAAACTTGGACAGCACAGAGCCAAGGGAATTTGTCAACCCTGACCAACAGCGTTTTAGTCATCATGTCCAATTGGTGAGGACACTCATGTGGGGACCAGGTTTTCGAGATAATACTCTAATACAATTTTGAATCAAATGGCACCATCAAGCACATCAGACGGTAAAAGCTCTGTCTGTCTGCATGTCTCCCTCATCCCTCTCTGTCTCCACCTCTTTTCTCTCTGAGGTAGATACTGTGGTTTGGCCAGCTTGTTTACTTAGACCATGGGGTGAAATGGAGGGAACAGGCTGTGCCTGTAAAGCAGCAAACAGCTATGTCTCCTTGCATCTCTATTTCTCTCTCTCTCCTTTGCCTCCTTCCCCGTCATCTCTCCCTCCATCTTTCCCCTTTTTCCATCATTCCTTGCATTGAAGCTTTGATTAAATCTGTGTCCTAGTTGCCAGCTCAGCACTGTAATGATGAAGGGGTATTTCAGGTTAGAGAGAGGCTGCTCTCCTCTCCATGGGGAACATGTAATTAGTCTTTCACTCTATAATAGACGTGTTGGGATGGCACAATGGCTGGCAAGGTGCGAATGGAAAATCTACAATGCTGATCTATCACTCTTAACATCTGTGTGATAGTGAGAGGAAGACAGGTAAATATGGAGGAAAAGTAAGGACAGAGATATGAAAAAGTAAAGAAAGGTGCATGTCACAGAAAAGTAAGGGAAAGTATTCCTCGCTACCTGTCCAGTATGAGGTCCTGTGCGAAGATGAGTTTGCCAGGGCAGTGAATGGACCTCCAGATGAGCCCAATCATCAGCACCTCCAACCACGAGCTCTCCAGCAGCTGCACCTGATCATGGAGGGACAGCTGCAGGAAACCTAGGAAACCACACATACAAAGTGCTCAACAAAGAACATTTTGTGAAAGGACCAAGGTAGGGAAGCAAGGTGATCTACACCCAGTACATTTAACACTTCTGATAAGTTTTGAGCAGCGGTCCACACCAGGCTCTTGTCTAACAAGCTCTCAAGTCAACTACAAAAAACTGTCACTGAAAACTGGACAATATGTGTTTTAGCCTGATCCCAGCAGTTATTTGACATCAAGATCAAAACAACAAACAGAAAAATAAATAAAAATATCTGGTGTTTATAAGTGTTGTTTCATCAGAGCTGGTTATTTGGATCAGTGGGTGTTAACTATAATATGGTGTGGAATATTAGCACTCCCAGAGTTTGATGTTTTCTGTGCACCTTCATCCAACTCATAAATATACAAATATGCAAGCCCTTGTTTTCTGGCAGAGAACTTCTAGTTAAATGAAACCATCTGCAAACTCTCTGCTCTCATAAGAAGCCTTATCGCTGGCACTCAGCTGTCTCAATTCATATGTAATTACTGCCAATTCACTCCCATTGTACTCTGCTTGGGACCCCTCGCAATTAAAACTGTGTGCCTTTGGGCTTTTAGTGACGCACAAGGTTATAATACCTCAAAATCAGGATTTACTCTCTAAGAGAGCCCGTCGGGGTGTTTGTAAGTGTGTGTGTGTGTGTGTGTGTGTGTGTGTGTGTGTGTGTGTGTGTGTGTCTGTGCATGCAAAAGCTTGATGTGTCTTATACAGCATTTATGCTCTATGGGGTGCCAGCAGATTGGCCAAACAATCCTCTCAAAGGTGATGACTGTAATCACTGTAATGGCTCTGCATTTGTATGTGTGTGTGTGTGGGTGCCAATGTGTGCCTCTATGATAAAGGTCTCCCATCACCTTGCTGTTGCCTAAGCAGTCAAACAGACAACAATCGAGGGGCCCCCACCTTTGTTACACATGACATCTGTACATTTGAATGTTTCAGAAAGACACCGCTTCCAAGCTTTTGAAAATATCTCTTAATTTAGATGAGACATGTCATAAATGTCATGGTGCTCCAACAGAACTGACTCACATGTTTTGCACCTGCCCTCACCTATCTACTTACAGGGCAAGTATTTATGAATATCTCTCCAAAGCAACAGGCATAAGCTTGCATGAGGCCAAATGTTTGCACAGCTATCTTTTGGGTTCCTGTCAATGATCAGCCACGAGCACTGAACATTAAACTAAAGGATATAACAGTATTTACATCAAGCCATTCCTCTGATCTGATGATGTTTATGATGCTTGACAAAATACTGACAGACTTATTCCATTATATATTTATTTATATATATACTTTTCATCCCGTCAAAAGATTTTTTAATTTTTTTTCCTGTATTCATAGCAACTTTTGCGTTTGAAAAGAAAAATTGGTCATTTGACCTTTCTCTGTCTTTGGCAGAGCTGTAGTGCTGAGAAAATATCACACATGCATGTTCTTTCACAATCTACAACAGAATTGCTGCAATTTTGGAAGATTCTTCTAAAAACTAACACTGTCCACACAATATTACAATAAGACTGACACACTGAAGTCAGAAAGAAATAGCTTATTTTCATTTTGTTATCCACTATGTTATGTTCCCTATAGTTTGAGGGCAACTGTTTGAGATTTTCTGCTCTCACTTTGAGACACAATTTATCATTAACATTGCCTCTGTCAAGTTATTGGCTCATGTATGTAAAACATGGCATGTAAAGGATTATCATTCTAGATATTGATGAAAGGTGCACACCAGTGCTGTAACCAGTACTGTAATAACCCCCTACAGACTTTACAGCCAGGATATGTTCAATGTTATTGGCCCATGGATGTCACCATACATCTGGCATACTCCAAAGAAAGTCATAGCTACGAGAAGAGACAGGACCCTGAACCAGCTGTATGCAAATGTTCACTTACTGTGTATTTATTATCATTACTTTTTATAGTACTTTTTACTTCCTCTTTCCTAACTGTGTGTTTTGCAACTGTAACTAAGCAATTTCCCGAGGTGGATCAATACACTTTTCTGATGCTGAAAAACCAGCCAGTAGTAGGTTTTTGCTCCAAAACACAGGCAGATAGTGCATCTAGTTGATTTAACAAGTAAACACATCCTAACATGGGTTGAGATCATTTCCCCTAGTTCTAATGCAATTTCATTTAAATCTTTAAAAAATGTATATATGTAAATGTAAACGTAATTGAGGAGGGTTTGTACTAAAAAGAATTAAGAAAATGTACTGGTGGTGTGGCTACTTTAAGCACTTTAAGCAGTACCTGGAAGCTTCTTGGCCCAGGTGATCATGTGGACCAGCTCCTTGTCAGCCATGCTGGTGAGCAGGGTCATCATGGTGACCTCGGTGTAGGGTCTGCTCAGCTTCTGATGGGAGCACAGTATTGGGGGCTCTGCACCCTGGAGCAGCAGAAGCACCTGGGGAAGCAGCAGATAAACAGTCACACTGCCAGCCCATTCAACCTGAAAACTATAATATATTGTGCTTAAAACTGATTTAAAGCGACTGCAAACATTTTTCAACAACCAATAGCCAGACAGCCAAGAAATCTGGTATGAATTTTCATGTTTTCCCAGATGCCCGCTCTGGTGTCTAGGGCCACTTTCAGATCAAAATTTCCCCCTGAACAACAATTTGCACCACAACAAGGTATTTCAAAATCAAGTGTCAATTGCCTCCACATGAATCAGCACCTGGTCCGGTGGTGTGCCAGTGACCGATGATTTTCCTCCTCCAGTACTGCTGCTGCTGCTGCTGTGTTTCCTCCCTTCCTGGAGATGCACCCTTCTGTACTCTTGGTCCTTAGAGGCCTTATCTTTGTCACTGGTACCAGTCCGTCGTTTGTCAGGCCGCAGAACACGGCTGCGGTCCTTACGCATACCTTGAGAAAAAACAGCAGAGGTTTAATACAAACTAATATGCAGATACACAGAAAAGATACAGTATCCATGCACACAATCACACGCAACCTCCCAAACATATGCATTCATCAGGCTTTTCCCTCAAAACCACACACACCTCTATATCCTGTTCTTGCCATAAAAACCAACAGTGCTGATTATATGGATGCCTGTGATTCAAGTATGACAACAAAAATGTGGGTGTGTGCTAATCAGTAGTTGTACTCCTTAAGAGGAAATCATTTCAAGGTCACATTAAAGTTAGTCTCAAGCTTATCTTCTTTCACCAGAATTCTTATATTTGAGTCAATCCTCACTGCAACAAGCAGTGATTGATAAATGGCAATTAGTTTTTAATTTTGTTAAAAATCAAACTACCTCATTTTGCTGTCATCAAAACAGAAAATTTAACTGTTCAAAAGAAAAACAACAGGATAACCAATAATAACACAACAAAATCTAGTAACAGACAGCAAATTGCAAAAACACATTATATAAATGAAAACAAAATTTAAAAGCACATTTGTCTTGAAAAAAGAAAAAAGACGTTCTGCTGGTGTTTCTACCCACCTCCTTTCATCATGCCTACTTCGTAACACTTCCTAAGACGGCAAGCCTGGCAGCTCTTCCTCCGATTCCTGTCAATAGTACACTGATTGGTTGCTGGGCACATATAGTCATTGTGACCTGAAATGGAAGAAAATCTATTACCTCAAGCCCTCCACTCCAATGTTCAGTTCAGATTTAGGTTATTTACTAGCCAGGAACACTCTATTCCCATTTTAAATGAATCCGAAATGGAGAAAATTAAAATGTGGCATCTTGGCTTTGTGATTGCCATGGAGACTATTGTTTTCTTTATGAACAGTCTTTCATTGCAAGATTTTACATCAATGTGCTGAAGCAGCATTTCATAAACATGACTAAGCCACTGACAGCAGATGAAGCTTTGACCTGATGACAGTGGAACATAAAAGTTGTACACCCCGTTGTATGGCTCACAAGTAGAAATAATAATAAAAACTAACTTGTTGAAACATAAATTCTGTTCCCTTTATTTATGTCTGTTTCACAGTGCCACAATTCATAACATGTGTTCCTCTTTCTCTATTTTTATATGACAGCAATCGAGCTCCAGTTTGACAGCTTATTTCTTTGTTGAGGTTACCAGCAGTTCACTTTGGTACCATGACCTTCCAACGAGATAGCACACTAAATCATCATCCTTTAATATCCAAAATTTTCAATTTCTCTGTTATGGATGTTCTTTAGTTTTTCAGATGTGCCAAATTAAACCACACTAACTTTTCTTTTGTTAAAAGCCAAACTCATTTTTATGGAATGCAGTGCTTCTTGTCTTTCTATAAAAGATCAATTTATGTTTATAAGTTCACTGTGCTGTGCAGATTGTAATTCATTAGTAGAGTTTAAGGAATTTTAGATCATTTTTTAAAGAAATTTGAACACTAAACTATACTACTAAGACATGATCCTTAACAAACAGGAAACACTTTAAGATTTACATCCACTGGTCACAAATAGCAAAAGCAGACACTCAACCTACCCTGGATGCTTCTCTTGAAGAAGGCCTTGCAGCCCTCACAGGACCACACCCCGTAGTGGTACCCAGAGGCATAGTCACTGCACACGGCACAGAAGCGTGTCTCTTTAGCCATCTCAAACAGTCCGGCCCCAGACCCAGCACCTGACTCCCCCACACTGTATGACTCGTCACTGGTGCCACAATGGTCCTCTCTGAATGCTGGCTGCTGACTGGACCTATAACAAAGCCTGGATTTCAGCCCGGTTAAAAAATTTCACATATTACCTGGAACTTTTGTAATAAGTTAATGACTATAAATTATGAAGCTATTATAATAATATAAACACTATTTATCTTGCATAAAATATACCTTGACATTTTGTCATTAAATGCTCTACAGATGTCTTTTTTGTGAAATTTTGAGCCAACTTTAAGCACAGATTAATTGTGACATTTGCCACACTGACTTTAATTTAACAGTGGCTGATACAAGAGCAGACTGCTATTTTCCACCTAAGCCAGGAAACAATCTGTACTTCTGTTGTGCTTACGTATTGTTCCTTTCTCAAGGTCCTTGACAAAGTCCTTAATCTCTGGAATTAGAAACCAGGGCAAAGCTTGATCCTTTCTATAGTGATAATGGCAATGTTTTGTATAAAGCAAGAGATTACAAAAACAATGCAGTTATATAATTATATTTTGTTCATAACTGCATTTTAAATCTAGTTGTGCAGCAACATTGTGTCCTACTGCCACTCAATAGGAAACACAAGGCAGTAGAGTAATACAAAAATAAAATAAATAAATAAATAAATTTATGAAATACATAAATCAATTATTATAAACAAGCTAAACAGACTTATTTATGCTCTTTATGGATCACAATTTGTATTGAAAACATGATAGAGCAAGCCAACAGTGCTGTACTGAAAAAAAGAGTCTCTTGATATTTTGATTGCACAGCTCATATCAGTTACATCATCACCAAACTACAGCACAAACAATCAGGGTCAAGCACTGGAGTTGTTGGAGTTCTCTCTAAATACTTACCTTGCATAAGATACAATATAAAACTTAGAGAGTAATAGCCAAAAATATACCAACTTCACCAAATTATTCTAAAAAATTAATAAATAAATAAATAAATAAATAAATAAGAGGAAAGACTCAAACCTGTTGATTCAGTCTATAAAAATAACTTTTGTCCAAGCACACAACAGACTATTTTCACACTCTGGAGATAAAGAAAAACTGTATTCCCTCACCTGTAGACGGGTGTTGAGGTGGTTTCCAGATAGTGGTGGCTGGGCGGGTGCATAATGGGGCTGAGTCGGGGACTGGAGGGCACAAACACAAGAGGACTGGTAGGCCCGCTGCCCAAGGACTGAAGACTGCCATCAGGGGGTGGTCCGTGGGCATCCAGAGGAGCAGAGTAGTAGCCAGTGGTGGAGTGGCTGTAGAGAGGAGTCGGAGCAGGAGTGGGGGCAGCATAGTCGTACGTCCCTTCCAGGAAGTCCACAGTGGCTACCCCTCCAGAACCCCGGCTCTCTTCGGGGTACATGTCACTGAGGGGGACATGCGGCGGAGGCGAGAGACGTTGTGGGGAGAGGGTCTCCAGTTTTGAGAAGGCTGGACTGATCCTGGGTCTGAGTACTGGTCCAGAAGGCTGCCTGTTCTGTCCTGGGCTCTGCCTGAGCAACATCACAGCACAACAGCACTGATAAGCAACATGATTTAGACTTGCTCTCCCATTTGCTGGGAGGGGGAGTGGAGACGAGTGCTGCTCTCCCTCTCTCTTTACTCTTTCCTCACTCTCTCTGTCTTTCCTTTTTTTTTCCAATAAAGCCTGTCAGGCAACTTCAAGGGTTCACTATTCTTCCAGTCCCTTTTCCTCTGTATGCCTTGAGCTTACGCCCACCAAGCTGCAAAAAAAAAAAAAAGACATCCAAAAAGACTCCTCCCAACCTCACTCAGGTTTTTTTGTCAACAGAGCCTTTCCCTCTTTTCCTGTAATACATCTTCACTAATATGTAGGAAGGAGGTAAGGCGAGGGGAAGAAAGAGAAGATAGACAGAGAAAATGTGATTCCCAAAAAACTTCCCACAGCACTATAAAATGTTTTCCTAAAATATTTGTCTACTACCTGTGTATCTCTCTCTGAACATTTGCTGTTTGTTTAGTTCACAGTCTGCACATCACCAGGATGACGTATGACCAATCTATTTGTGGCCGGTTTCTTGAACACACCTAAGACTCTGCAGTGAATCAAATCACTGAGAAACATTAGGAGAGGGGTTTTAAACAACAGGAGCTAAAAGAAAACAAATTCTACCGTTATACATACTCACCTCTTACACATGAAACATCCTCAAATCTGCTGTGCAACACTGGGACTGTTTAACTCTTGTCTCTCCCTCTCTGTTTGCCTCTCTCATCTCTCCAACTCTCAGACATCTAGCTGGGCTCATTGGACACAATGGGAACAGTGGAAAGGTTTAAAAAAGGATAAACAAATTAAAGATGCAGCCAAATCGATAAATACGTGTGTTAAAGTGCCAGGTCACCATAACACAGCAAACAGAGCAGGAGGTCAAATCTCATTCTGACAGTCAATAATTTCACAATGAATCCCAAAAAATATCTGGTTATTTTAATTAGACTTTATATGGTTTAAATGTCATTGTTTGATAAACCTTATAAAGAAATGTACAGAAATAAAAAAAAAAAGAAAACCATACTTTCCTGCTATTTCATTAAACGGTGGATATATATTAGAGGACCACAATATGGACCAGTTAAACATTACTTTATCAGGTCAAGTCAAGGATGAAATAGAACACTATATATAAACAAGCAAATGTGCAGAGCATGTATGCAAATTAAGTTTCAGGGATCAATCTTTTTTTGTTTACAGCAATTTGCACGTTTGTGATTTTCAGGGATCCTTTTAGTCCTTGCATGTTTTGGGACCAGGCGTCAAGGTAAAAAAACAACCTTGTGAGCTGAAATGCTTTCTATAACAGATAATCCCTACATGTAGGGATTATTTTCACGTATTCATAGCAGGTGTAAAATGGAACCACAAAGGTAGATAAAAATCTAATTTAGAAATAATAGTAAATATTTAATGTACACAGCTGTTAAAAATTAAGTCAGATTACAAATTTCAGATCAATGAATAGATATCAAAAAAATGATTTGGGGCATTTGAATTAAAATCTATTCATTTCCATGTGATACTGTCAGCTGAGATGCATTTTGAATCATGCAAGAAATTCATGTTCAGAAAGATGATCACAAAGAACTACTGACGACCACCACAGAGGAAAAACTTGGCACAGAGGCATCATTTCCCCCTCTCTGTGCAACATCTTCCTTGAGTAAACAGCCCAATTTTCAGGACATGTCAGGTCAAGTGGAAAACAAGTAGCCCTGATGATGATATATATTTTTTTGCATTTCCCCTGGAATAAAATGAAGACATTGTTACATTAGAAAATAGGAAAATGAAGGGTGACACATTCAACAGCTAAATCACCTAAATGGCTCAAGATAGAATGCTTCATGCAGTAATTGACTTCATTTTCATTATAGACCACAAATTATCTCAGCAGCCTAAATGATGCTGTTCAAGTTCACCAGCTCATCCAGAATTGTAATACATGTTGCAGCAATTCCAGCTGTTTTGTTGGCTGTTTTTCTAGGTCCAACCTGACCCCAAAGGTCAACAGGTAACAACAACAACTGTCATTAAAGTCATTAAAATTCCACACTGGCTGGATCTAATGGTTGATTGTTTTGAGTGTGTACAGATGCAAGTTTTAGCTGGTTCACAATATTTAGGTTCATATGTATGTAAATACAATATTGTTGCACAATTGAGATGACAGAGATCAAAAAACTGTCTGGATGTCTGGATATACACTGGATAAAAATGCCACTATTTGAGGCTTTCACATAGAAAAAGATAACGCTGCGAAACAAAGTCATTATTACACATTTGACATTTCTCATACTTGTAAAATACGACTGGCAAAAGACGACCCGTCATTACAGTTCTTTATTAAATCAAACCTATTAATGAATTTTATATGGTTTCCACTAGCAGCACTGAGAAGAATCCAGTTAAGATCATCTCTGAAGTACTGAAACAGACAGTGATTTAGATGATTTAGATGACATAACAGTGTGTACAGAGAAATACACGTTTATCTATGAAGATACAGAGGTTTGGGTTTGCCATTTAAAACAAAACAAGTACATGTCGTCACTGTTATTGTTACACTGCCCCAATAACAGTCTACCAACTTTCAAACTGAGCAAAGTGGTAATCAAATGTTATCACCTGCCTTATTTAAATAGCTGTCTGCATGTTTTGATGCATGCATATCAATGATCACTGAGAGCAACAGTAAAACAACCTGAGCTGAGCGGAATTAACATAAAAACAACTATATTACATTTATCATCACTCTCCTCAAGTGCATGCAAAAACTAAAGTACTGCTTCTCTAGGACAGAGATTTATAAAGCCCAATGCTTACTTAATTTCACCTAAATAATTGTTAACAGCATCTACATTAGTCTGTAAACATTGTGACTTAATACATAGTGCACGCCACATAAGCTATTTGTGATAAAAAAAAAAGCAACTTTGATTTGTTACCTTTGAGGTTAATTTCTCACCGTAAACAACTGTTTTAAAATCATGGAGAAACAGATTCAAAAGTGCTAGCATTTTAAGTATGAGATGATACAAATCTGTATTGAAAATAAAGATTTTATATTTTTCTTATCGTGCATTTCTGTATCAAACATCATGAAGTGCTAACAAACGATGAGGAACAAATACACTATTTAACAAATTCTTTTAACTGAATGGTCTTATGGCTTAAAGGCATCTCCTGCTTAATGATACTTCTTATGAATCCACATCTTCCCACTGAGATCCTGTGGTCAGTCTTACTGTTTTGACTTTGGGCTGTAGAACTGAATGATAGCGTACTTGCCACTGGTCATCCAATCTGGATCTTGGGAGGTGAGCTTCTCCCCTTGGCCCAACTGCAGACCGACCTGAACATTGGCCTTGAGAGTCCTCAGGCTACACAGTGGCGCAGGCCCAAAACCTCGTAGTGCAGAATCAAAGCCCACTGTGTGGTCCCATTCCCTGTCCCCAGTCAGCTTCCTGTAGTTCAGATCACCTTTGAACAGCAACAGGTCTGCTCCCTGCAGGGTCGCATACAGGTCAGGAGCATCAGTTGCCATGTCACAGAATTCATGGGGCTGTGTCCAGAAAGGATGATCATTATAGGACCACACACCCTCCTTCAGGTAACTCTGCCACTGGACACCACTCTTGGACATCCACTTGTGATTGGCTGCCATGGTCTGTCGGATGGTCCACTGAAAATCGTTAGCTGTGACGTCAGAGACAAACCATGGGATGGATTTGCCATGAAAATGGATCTCACGTGCGAGGCCAGAGGAAACCAGGAAATCTGCTAAGACCAAGTCAGTGACTAACTCAAAGCCAGCATTGTCTAGTACAATGTCCACTCTGCCTGCAGTGATTTTCCCTGACTGTCCTGGCCTTTGGGCAGAAATAAGAGTTGACCATACCATGTTGGAGTCATCCACCAAGATGAAGGGTTGTAGGCTGCTGAGGGAATCTATTGGACTGGTCTTCTGTGAGTTCTCTTGGCCAGCAGATATAGACAGGTCACACTTGTTACCCCACAGAGAAACCTAGGAGGAGTCAAATAATAATATGAATGCCCAATAAGCAGTTTATGTTGAATAATATATATCTGTAGTACACCATTTATTTTGTTTAAATAATCCTTCGGAATGTCACACTGGATTCTACATCAAGTGTAGATAATAATCCACCATAGCTGTGAGGCACAACACAATTTTAACCCACTACTAATCAACCCCACACATGCTACGTCAGACAGACTGATGGACTAAAGTTGACTAATTGATGAAAACCCTGAGCCTAATCGCATGACAGATAAGTGCAGAATCACATTATGTCTTGCTTCTAACCCCAACATGGATGCATGAGAGGCCTGTTTTCACCATCACAATTAGGCTTGATTATATAATATAAATATTCTAAATAAAAGAATGAAGTTAAACCTGATTATTTATTCAACTTGAGTGGAATGAGAAATATGGAAAAGGAATGCATGAATTTGTTTTTACTGATTCATTCAAAGGTCACTAAACATTTTTCACTTGGCTGTGAAGTACTAAGAGAGAATTGAAGATACTGACCAGTAGTAGTTTGTTGAAATGCTCAAGCAGCTGATTTTTAGACAGCTCTTCCCTGCCTTTGTTGATGCCCTCCAAGTATGTACACAAGGTCATTACAGCCTGCTGAGACTCAAAAAAGCTCTGAGTCTTTCCCTCATTAAAGACATCGTAGTCACTGATGGGAGGACTGCAATAAAAACAAATAAAATCATAACCGGAGGAGAACTAGTGTACAATATAAAGAAACAAAGAAAGCTGAATTTACTTCTCCTAAGACTGGGCAACATATCAATACTTTCATTTTTTATCATTTACCAAATATTGTAATTGTTAATAGTGTAATTTCCTTGAAGAATTATTTTAACAATGAGAACAATGGCACTCAAATTTGCAGTATGACGTAAAAATATAAAGAAATTACTAGGGCAGATTTTCCAAGAATGATTTCAGGACAACTGAGAGTGAAAGCAGATCTTGATCTCTGATCATTCTCCACATCATAAATTGCCATTGCTTTGCACATCCCATAAAGAAAACTTGTCCTATGTTTATGCCTATCCAAACAAAAATAACAATATATTGCACAGTCCAAAAGACACATAATCAAAAGCAGGAAACAGAGCAGCAACAGATCCCCTTAAATGTTTCTCACTTGAGCCAGAGGGCCTCCTGTATCCTACGGTACATGTAGCACTCCACGTAAAGCCATGGAGACTTAAACCAGCTGACCGACTCCTGGTCTCCGTGCAATCCCTGGTGTCTCTGCAGGTACTGGTTCCAGGACTCTGTGTCTTGCAGGCCATCTGTCAGTGCTAGTATTGGCTTATCAGTTTGCAGCTCATTCCTCATCTTCGACAGCAGAGATATTGTTTGCTTCTCTGCCTGGATACCCTCCTGCGTGAAATTAAAGAGGAAACACAAGCAAGACCAAATTCAGATTTTCAAATGTGCCTCATAATTCAGGATGTAGTTGAAGAAAACAACTCGAATGATACTAGTGAAAAACAATTCTTACCTCTCCATATTCTTCAAAGAACTTGTTTTTGTTGCGATGTATTGTGTCTATAACTTTAGTCAGGATGGTTGGCAATCTGTCTTTTACAGTGAAATAGGCAAATGACCTGTAGAGACACGATATACCCTTTAATGTCACACAGCCACTTCTCGATACTGGAGCAGGTGCATGCACCAGTAAGCTAGCCAGCTAATTAGCAAGGTGTTCATTATTTTTGCAAACCTTTCGGCTGCAAAAATGCTACTTGCAAGTATAACGGTGCTGTTGTCGTGAACAAATATATTTGCTTTAAGTTCACTGAGCCTGTTAGCAAAGAGCTAATGCTACTGCTGGTTTTAACACGACAGTCCTAACGTTATGAAGCCGTTTTGAAACGGCTGTGTAGTTAAACACGTTACTTAAAATCGTGACAAAATTGTTAAATCAACTGTCAACATACCCAACCACTTTCGCAGACAGTGAAGGGGGAACTCCGTGCACAGTTTGATCGGCCGCCATCATTGTAGCAGTGGGAGACAGTCCGAATTCAAACTTTATCGATAAAATGTCCAGGACAGGACAAAGTCTAGGGATCTGCTTTAGGCTTGAAGGCAGTGTGAAACGTTTACTTATCTGTGGCCGTGACACCGTGACGCTGATTACATCAAGCTCAACTTCCTGTTTCTGAAAACAAATATTTTATATTTTAATATTTCTTTCCTGGGTCTCTGTAGACGATTTTATCTAGGACACGATGCTACCATCTAGCGGTCAATATGTAAACTGCAATGTCGGCATGTGGTGTGTTCAGTGCTCATGCCTGTTGTTACTGCCATTATATTTCAAAGATGCCGAACCGTGCCGTGTTTAATTTCTTGCGACTGACTTTCTGTACCCTCAGTTTTAAAGATTTCAAAGTGGGTCCTCTCTGAGGTGAATCAGAGTCCCACGCACTGCTGCATTGCGCATGGCATTTGCCGCAGCACCCCGAGCATCCCTCGTTGTCCAGGGCAACGGTCGTCATGGAGACATTGATTTGCCCTATCAACCCTTGGACCCCCCCACCCCCATAAGGCGTTTTGGCGGGAAAAGGAGGGGTAGAGTATGATTTTGGTAAATGAAATCAGTTCTCTAGTGAGTCCCTGCTCTATACACGAATACATATGTAATGTATAGTGAGCACAGCATGGTCAAGTTATATGTATTTTTTAACATAGCCTGAGTTTATGATGTATGTTATAATACTCTCCAAATTGCATTTATTTATGTTGCAGTGAGGCTGCTTGTGCCTATTTTCTTTGCAAAATGGCTGAGAAGACTGTTTTTTCTGCTTTAACCTTTTTTTTTTTTTGCTTCTCAGTTTCCACTCCAATATGAAGGCCTAAAGCAAGAGGATAAAACACCACCCGGCGCTTCAAGAAGGCCTACCCCATGACAAAATGAGAGCACAGGCAGCAAGGGTTGGGGTTGGGAACCGGGACGGGCTCTCGGCTCTTGATTCTCTTTTTGAAGAACATGACCAATTGATTGGCTGCACCCACGATTACTAGGCTGGAAAAATACGCATAACAGTTAATTCTGGCGGTGTTTTTTCCCCTCGCTCAGATCAGCCCCGGTCACTATGGGAACACGGCGGGCCGTTGTCAGGATGTGGGGTCCTTGGGAGTGGGAGTCCAGCTGCGTCCACCTCCGGTGTTCATCCACCGCCGGCCTCCCATCCCCCCGCCGGGCCCCAGCCTGGCCGGATCTGTTTTTCCAAACCGAGAGAGGATTGACTCACCACTCCGGTTTCAAAACAGGCCATGAACCGGGTGGGGGAGGGCGGCAGTTAACGTTAAAGGCCCTGTTTAAACAGGTGTTTCAGCTCACCACACAGTCGCATGCAACAGCTGGCTTACAGAGTATTTCATTTGTTATGTGTAAAGTTGCTTGAAGATATGCAATGACGTCAGGGTCGGCAAAATCAGACGCCAATCTCGCTGTTCTTTTTTTTTTTTTTTTTTTTTACGTTTTAAGCAATTTCATGCAGACTGTACTGCTGGTTTCAAAAATGCATCTTTGCAGTAAAAATCAATTTAGTGGAAATCAGTGGCAGGGGAGTCATGTGAAAGTCCAGTCTGTATCTCTATTGAGTAAGCTGTTCTGTGAAGAAAAAGTTAAAAATGATTAGAAAAAAATGAGATTAACAGGTCATAAGAAAGCCTTATGAAAAGAGGCAGACAGGAGTACATAATTTTTCTGAATGGTAGAGCATTATATACAAATCTATTGACTAGAATGTATTGATTTTAATGATGAAAAACATTGAGCTGCTGTGCTTATCTGCTTCTTTCAATAACCCCCTACTGTGGGCCTTTCAGCAAAGTAAACATGCTTTTGTTTTGCTGTCATTACCCTCTACTATTGCTCTACCACTGGTCTCAATCTATGTTTTGTTTGTGAAACATTTTGTTCTCCCACAGGCCTAGGTTTTTATTAGCTAATTAGTTTTAGCAACATTGAGGACAGGATCAGATCTAGCTCTGTTTGTTGACTGGACAGAGACTTGTAGGTCCCCAGGCCCTGTTTCATAGACATTTCTGTCCCCTCCCATGTCTTCCGTCTCCTCTTACAGACTCTCCTCCCATTCTCTGCCTGCCCAACAAGCATTTTCAGAGAGCTAAAACTTGCTTAGTCTGGTCCTTCTGTGGACTCCCTGTCCTAAGGCAGAAACACAACTCTGTAATGACAGGTCTGGAAAAAAGTGGTGTTTACACTGGGACAACATCCACCAACTCACTGATGACAAAATATTGATGTGACTCCAAAGTGCATTTGTGAAAAGGTCCTTCTATGTCCTATGCCCCTGCATAGGCAATCCGTGGTTGAAATCCATTTCCAAGATCTCCACTCCGTCCCTTTACTGGTATCTCTTGCTGTTTAAAAATTGATTTCCCAAAGACCATTGAGTGTATCAGATCCCAGACAGTTTGACAGGCAACTGTTTGTTGCAATCACAAAATAATGGCTGTAACTCAAGAGCTCATTCAGGACCTGCAACAAGCTGGCGTAAATACTTCTTTAAGTCTTTGAGTCTGAAAAATTGTGTTTACTGTTGGTGTGACTGGGTTATTAAAGGTTATTCAACCTACAGGGGGTTCTTGATACTGTTTATAGTGTGTATGCAGGTCTGACATTGATTGGGTATGGTATGCAATGTTGAACCCAGATTAGTATATATACACTGGTATTGCTTACAGTAGCAGCATTTGAGTCAAAGTTTGTAGATATTGGTAACAGCTAGCTTTCTCTGCCATTATTTGCACTCTTTTTAATAGCTTCTTGGACATGAGCTTCACAAATTAAATTAAAGACTGCCCATACAGCAGATAACCTGACAACAAAACGCTTACAAACTACAAACCAGTATTTACCAGTGACCAGTATAATCTGGTATAAATGGTCAAATGTATCTCAAATCTGTTTTCATTATTTTGTGTCATACAGTTCATAATAGTTATGTGGGAATTGGTTGATACATTTGTAAAACAAAATGGATGTATATTTCAACAACAACAACTTTCCAAACAGGAGGGAGTGTGTGGGTTTTGCCTTATTTGCACAGAGAATTCAATTCCAGCTTCCACAGGTAGCCCAAGAGTAAAATAAAAGCCTTATCAAGGGTGAATCCAAACTGTCCTCTAAAAATAAAACAAATGTTAAATCAGTCATCTATCCTTTTAAATCTAAAGTTTATACAAAACTCTTTGCAACTTCCCCAGACTATAAATTGTGACATATAAATAAACTTGCCTTATTTTATCATTTAATATGGTTTTCACATCAGTTACTGAAATTATGATCTCAAAGGCAAATAAAAAAAGCCCAGTCAGATTTACTTTGATACAAAAGCTCCCTGAAATAGTTTACAGAAATAAAAACATTTTTATGTATTTATTTAATTTATGGTAATATTTCAATGGTGATTATGTATTTTGACCATATTTTGTAGTATGGTTTTATCTCCTTGTATCACATAATTTGTGTTACTTAGTTATAAAGGATTCAAAAAGGAAGAAGTCATTTGATATTCATGTAGATTTTCACCCATAAGAATGTTTTAATATTCGTGTTAGTAAAGAGCCTTGTTTTGATATACTTACAAAGCCTAATGAAAATATTGTAAATGTAGCTAAGTACATGCTAACATTAAATATTTGTATACCTCCTTTAAACTTTGAATCTTTAACAACATCAACTTTGGAGCTTCAACAAAAAAAATGCAAATGTGAGACGACTGCAGGCAAACAGTGTCATTTCAGTGAGAGACGGTGAGGGACAGTTTGTTTTTTGTTTAACGTGTCGTTAACGGCAGAGACACAATGATTAACTACCACACGATGAGTCAACATAGCTGTTAGCCGTTTATGTTCGACCTCACCGGCTGTCAAAAAGCTGGCTAGCGGGGGTTGATCTCACGGCGGTTACACAGTGCGGGAAATTAACGTTAACTCAACCGCCCCTTTGCTCAACGGATTTTTACAACGGCCGTTTTTTTGGCTGGTTTTTACCCACAGTCATGTGATTGTAACGTAAAACCCCTAACCGGAAAACACCGACGGACGACCCTCTCCGCCGCCAACGAATGCAGCGTTTGCAAGGAACAGTACAAGCTGCTGCGAGCCCAGAGAGGACGGACGAGTCCCCGGTAACAAACAAACAACGGCGACACGGCAAACTCCACGGAATTAAGCGGAGTGCAGGTACGTTTGTTTAAAGCTACATACTCACCCACTCGTTCACTTGCAGTGTTACGTTATTTGGCTACTTGTGTACGTTTTGGCTAACTGTAATTGTCACGGGGAAGTTAAAAGAGACGCGTTCGTGACCAGCCCCATCCCCCTTGCGTCTCTCGCTCTCTTTCCCCGCGTGTGTGTGTGTTGTCTGGGCGCGCCCGCGTGCGTGTATGTCCGTTTTCTCGCGCTAGCAGTAGCAACCGAGAGACCCGAGGCAGAGGCAGGAGTCAGTGCATGCGCGCTCGTTTTTATGTGCCCACTGTAGAAGGCTTTACGTACTTAGCCGCTATTTTTTATTAGCATTATTGAACAGTTTTATTCCAGTATTGTGTTTACCTTCCTCACATGCCTCACTCACAGGCTGTTTTAACGGTGAATAACAGAAAATCTCACTACGGAAGTAACTGGTCCACGTGTCTACATCACATCAGGGGCGGTGCTTTATTGTTGCAAACAAGTTAGTATTGATTAACACATGGTACTGTGGCTAACTCACTGGATCATATGAATTAAAACTGGCCGATTTTGGCTGAATAATAGTTCCGTTTTTTATTTTTATTTTTATCTCTGTCATGCCAAACATCTGGCCCATCCCACATGGGATTTCAAGACTCCGCGGTTATACTAAACATGCATCTTCCGGAAACACATAGACATTAGCAAATTAGCAAAAAAAGTTACAATATAGTAAGTACTACTATATTCTTTCAAATAACATTCACGCGAAGGAAAACACAGAAAAGATCTGCTATATATCTACAGTTAATCCTGACTTATTAGAATTTCTCATATGTGAACAGCCACCTCTGTCTTTGCACATCATCTATATTCACAAAATTAGAATCTGTTCCGAGTAAAAAGGACAATAGGAAACCACATTAAACAAATTTTCTATATCATTCACTCAGCACATTGTACAAATCCCTTTTCCTCTGCCAAACTGACATACCATCCTGTTTCAACCACAAGTGGTAAAATTCAAGATCTCAGCTGGGCACATAGAGATCTTTGCTTTTTAGATAAATTATACTCTGTAGGCTACCATATAAATTTTCTATAATCCTAAATGTACTCAGTTTTGGTTGAGTCCATATACATGTCTGCTTCCTTTACTCGGAACAAACACAGATTCTCTGAATACACCAATAGTGAGCTTTTCATTACGATTAATATTGTTTTTCTGAATTGTAGCATTCAGGCACACATTCATACTACCTTTTCAGAAAACTGAAAAGACCTGTGTGGCCACCATCTTGGATGCTCTGTGGCTGATCTGGAGGCAAACCATAGTTTCTGGGGGTAGCACTAAACTAGCCTTTCTTGGACAATATAATTCAAGCAATAAAAGTCATTATGGAACATGCCATTCAAACAACTGTGCTGTAGTCAACTTAAGGAACATAGAGGTGGCAATTAGAGCTGAAATAATCAGTAAATTAATCAATTAGTCTATCAAGAGACATATAGTAACTTTTTTTTTTGTGATTTCACATGTGGTTTTCAGAGCTGAAAACCTAATCAAAATTTAAAGTGCATTAAAAAAGATGTGCAGCTTACCATAATCCTAATATTATTTATCTTCAATAGCTGCTACAGCTCTAGTGAGTTATAATGAAGGAATAGCAACACAGCACATGAATCAGTGCAAGATTTAATGAAAATGTATATTGTCTGTCATATATATTAGTATGGTGGAGGGAAGGGAAGAAGGGGTGCACTCAGTTGCCAGTTCATGAGGTACACGTACTGTGGATACAACTAACAGCTCCGCAGAAAAATCCTATTGTCAAGAAGGTTATAATGTTTTAGAGAGGTGTTGGTTCAACCTATGTTGGTACTGTTAAATTGTATTGTCTTGTATTGAATTTCTTAGGGGTTTAACAATTTTCAAAGCCTATGGTTCGGCTCAATTTTTGAAACACGTTTTGGTTCATAGCTTGAGTTTTTGTTTTTAATTGGGGGGCCAAAATGCTCCCACACTGCTGACTTGAATGTGCCCCAGGGAGCTGCTTGAAACGAAAAATGAGTTTTGTTACAAGTAACGTAATGAGAGCTCAACAGGCAGTGGGTTTGGGTGGGCAGGTAGTGTTTCAGTTCCATCTTCCGGTTTCAGAATCATTATTTGGTATTATTTACAATTGTTTTTATAACCTGTAACTCTAACTGTTTATTCCAACCATTGCAATTGATACATCAAGCTGAAGCAAATTTTTTTATTGTTATTATTTATAAACATTGTAGATATAACTGTAAATTAAAAGACAGCAGGCAAAATTGTGAATATGATTGTTTGAGTTAAAGAAATAGTTGTTGATTAATCAAGTAATCATGTCAGGTTATCCTCCTCAATATAAATGGGGTTTACAAAATATTATAAACCCTTATTGTGACAGGACCACAAACTACAGCCTCGAAAATGACCCAAAAAACGAATCAAAACCAGTTTAAAACAGTTTCAACAAAGGGAAACAAAGTGAATGTTATAGCTTTTATGAATTTGGGATTTATTGCAGAACTGTTGCATTAGAGTGAATTATTTGTAGATAGGTGTATTTAATAAACTAGCAACTGAATGTAAATTAAGGTTGTGGGGGACTAGGGCATGGTTCATATTGTGCCTGCTGTTGCTGTACCCCCCTTGCACAAGATGCGGAAACCTAGCCTTTTCCTGGAGTGGTGCAGTGCCAGCATCTTTGCACTCTGACCTCTCTTGATGAAATACATATGTGTAAAGGGCTGTTTGAGTGTTTTTATACGGTGTGGAGGTACCGAGAACTGAAGAATTCTCATCATCTTCTGTCTTTATACATTTCTTGTCTGTGTGGGGTGGAGAAAGTGTTGGAGAAAGGACAATCACCCTGCCCAGCCTGTGCTGTTTCCCTTCTCCACTGAAAGGAGGTAGAACCAGTTCTGCCTTAAGAATGTGTGCCGACACCCATAACCCTGATCATGTGATGGCCCGAAGCCCTCATAGTCCTCCGGTGACCTTTGAGGTCAACAATACCTATATCATTGGTCACCAGAGATCATGGAGCTCTTAAACATTGAGATTGGGGATGGATAGAGGATGTGGCCTCCATCAGAACCAAATCATGCAGTGTGGTGTTCCTCAATGTTTTCAGTGCATAGACAAGAACTGCAGAGATAATAAACCCTGCTTTACTCACTGCTTTCAGGGTCTCTCACTGACATTCGGTGGCCATCCTCTGCAGCTCAACTGTAAAAGCCTGATGTTGAAGTCAATTAAAGTTACTATTAAAGCAGGACGAACAAATGACACAATAGAGGTGTACATAGAATAGATTTTTCCCTATACCATTGGCATTGTAATCTTTCCTAGAAATCTGACAGTTATACATTTATTTACTATATTTATAAGGCTGTGTGTTATTCCATTTAAGCGATTATGTGAGATTATAGTCTGTAAATTGTCATAACAGGTCAATAGGGAACTAAAATGGTTTTAAAACTATTAAGGTAATCTGTACAGGAAGCAGCCGGATGACTGTGGTTGTGGTTTCTATTTAAAAAAAAAAAAAAAAAAAATGCTGTTCATAGTTAATTTAAAACAAGACTATTTTTAATATCTAATGTCCTGGAAAAACTTGAAAATTTGAATTCACAAATAACTTGTTTTAACTCTTACCATTTCAACATGTGTCCAAATACTCACTACTGCAATGCAATGAACAAAACAGACCAACATGTTTCTAGTTTTTCAGAGCCATACCATTTATTGGCATCATTTTCTGTTTCGTTTGTGTTAGGCAAATTGTCTGTTGTGTCACAAAATAATCCTTCACTGTTGTGTAGAGCCTTTACAAGGTCGTTAGATCACCCCTGTCAGCCCGACTGTCTGTGGTCACAATAAACTCTGGTCTCCTTCCAGACAGGAAACTCATTGCTGTGTGTGTGTGTGTGTGTGTGTGTGTGTGTGTGTGTGTGTGTGTGTGTGTGTGTGTTCGTCTTTGTGCAGGTTGAAGAATGGAGTTGGCCAACCATGGTCTTATCCTGCTGCAGCAGCTTAACGCTCAGAGGGAGTTTGGCTTCCTGTGCGACTGCACTGTGGCTATAGGAGATGTCTTCTTCAAAGCCCACAAAGCCGTCCTCGCTGCCTTCTCCAACTACTTCCGAATGCTCTTCATTCACCAGGACAGGTACAGGAGGAATGAAGTAACACTGATAACACTGGTCACATCACAAAATTTACCTTGTTCCAAATTCTGATGCCAAAACTTACATGTCAAAATAACATTGACTTGTTCTCATGTTGTCAAACATAGAAGGACTTTTTTTCTCTGTACTTGAGCACTGGACTGTATCTAATCTCTTTTTAGTGTGATGACCCACAAGTAATGTCATTGTTCATCAGTGGATCGGATTGAAGTGACAAATTGGAGGGTCTGTAAGGGGATTAAGTGCAAAACATATATGTGTTTCCCCAACAATGTGTGATGGTTCCTCCACTGAGCTCACTGCGTCCAAGATTTAACCATGTGTAGGTTTTCAACAATCCATGACCAATAACTTCCTTAAATTTTCTTCATACAGTAAAGAAATGAGCAGCAATCACATCTTTTATTGTCCCTTTCTGTTGAAAGATGAAACCTGTATCAACCAGTGCTGCCATTGATAATACACAACATTGTCTAAGATTATCAAACCATATCATTTGTCAATAGTTGACTGTTATGTGTTTGTTTTTCAGTGACTGTGTGCGCCTGAAGGCTGCTGACATACAGCCAGACATCTTCAGCTACCTCCTCAACCTGATGTACACAGGCAAGCTTGCACCCCAGCTGATAGACCCTGCACGGCTGGAGCAGGGGGTCAGATTCCTGCATGCCTATCCACTCTTGCAGGAGGCCAGCCAGTCTGTGTATTCACACCCTGAGCACAGCATCAACCTCTCCACCTCCCTCTATGGCATCCAGATCTCCGACCAACAGGTTGCGCTGTCAGCCCGACTGCCAACTCGACGGCAGCTCTCCTCGCCCTTTGATGTCGAGCAGCTCGTCTCAGAGGGGAAGTATCCATCCACACCAGCTGTCACAGCTTCATACGCAAACTCCTTACCGTCCAAGTTAGCTTCCTCACCCCCAGACACGGAGGCCTCAACAAGTGGCACCAAGCCTACATCTGAGGAGGGGGTAACCGACTTGCTAAGTGCAGGCGGTTCCTCAGCCAGTGCCATCCTCCATGTAAAGCCCAGCATCATGAAGAGGAGTTCCTCCTTTAGGAAGCATTACTCGTGTCATCTGTGCAGGAGCCGATTCAACCAGAGATGCCTGCTGAGAGAGCACCTCCTGCAGCACACCCAGGGTCTTCAGCAGCCCCCAACTGAGCCCAGTAATGCACTCTCACCGGTCATGGCTGGAGAACAGAGTGTGCTAGAGCTAGAGGGGGTCCTGAAGGGAATCAAGCAAGGGTCAATTGCCCCGGCTGCAACTACAGCAGTCGAGATAATCAGTGACAGCGAGCAAACACCTGTTTCAGGTACCAACTCGGACTCTCCCCGAGCAGAGGTGTCCACATCCAGCTGGGGATTGGGGGGGTTAAATTCTCAGGCAGACACACCACCTCCGTCAGACATTGCGGACATCGACAACCTGGAGAGTGCCGACTTGGACCGGGAAGTGAAGCGGCGGAAGTATGAGTGCTCCACCTGTGGGCGCAAGTTCATTCAGAAGAGCCACTGGCGTGAACACATGTACATCCACACAGGAAAGCCCTTCAAATGCAGTGCTTGTGGCAAGAGCTTCTGCCGGGCCAACCAGGCGGCCCGCCACGTGTGCCTGAACCAGGGAGCCGACACCTACACCATGGTGGATCGACAGAGCATGGAGCTGTGCACTGCAGGCGACGACAACAGCCAGATGGAGGCGATGTTCTTGGGCTCGTCAAAGCCTTATAAGTGTAACATTTGTGCAACCACCTTCTCCAGTCCCAATGAGGTGATCAAACACCTGTGCTTCACCCAAGGGGGGTTAGTGGGACTGCAGGGAAACACAGGGGCAGGGATCCTGCTCCAGCGTGAAGAGTTTTCCAAAGATGAAGGCTCTGATTTGTCCAACTCTGGCACCCCACTAGAACCCATAAAGACTGAGGAGATCCTCGTGGAGTAATGCCAAAACTGTGTCCTTTTTAACATGTATGTTTATTTTCTAAATTATGGTTAATACGTAAGCTAAAGTTAGTCAGGGTATGTATGTTGGAGGTTCTCAATCTACTTAAATTTTTTTTTTTTTTTTAACCCTGTGACAAAAAGCAAATAGCCTATAGCTCTCAGGAGTCCAAACCAACATCATTAGAAAAGCAAATAAAATTAACATTTGGCTCAAGGATAAGTTAAATACCAATGAGGGAGAGGAAGTGACTATTAGCTTGTTTCATCTCATCATTTTACTATTGGCGTACATCGGTTTTAGATTCTCGCGTCAGTCTGTACCATATTGTTTTTTCTTAAGCACCACCATTGTGGTGAGGCTGCACAGGCAAACTTTCAGTGTAAAAAGGAAGAGGAAGCTGAGATTTCCGGAGGGCACAGCATGTTGTGAGATGAGTTGGCTGTGCTCGATCTGAGGAGGAGAAAGAAGTGGTAACTACTAACAATCTGTTTGTACATGGTCATAAACAAGGGGCTGATTCTGCAGATCAGGTACAGATTATAATTCCAGCTAAAAGCACACAGAATATTCAGACCTGAGACAATCTGTGCTCTTTTATTTTTGAGCTGACACCCGATATGCAGGAAAGTACATTTGTCTTCCATTTATGTTTTGGCTCAGCAGAATCTTGAAATGTAATGTTATGACTGTTAATTGCTCCCTTCTCTGCAACCATATAGATGTTTATTCTGTATTTTGTTGAAGTGTGGTTATGGTCTTTGTCTGATTGCAGCATATAAAAGCACAATTGCTAGACATAATAAGAGTTAGACCAAAAACTGGTCACATCACAAGCAAGAGCCGTCATTGTGTTTACAGTTGTGCCACTTTGATTATTTTTTTAATTTCTCATTTTTACCTGTTATGTTGTATAACTCTTTGGTTACTGACTGAAGAAACAATATGTCCCATCCAGACACACATACCTTCATTGGAGGCTGTCCTGTACAATATTGTACATCTCGTCTATGTTATAAGTTGCTTGAATCTACTCCTAAAAGCCCTTAAATTTAGTTCGACATGCTTTTCTAATTTTATATACAGTGCTATATTTACAAAGGATACATTATATTGCAAAGGTGTATGTATATTAGTAGATGAATAGCTTTCAAAATAGAAATACATTTGGTTTAACAAAAGTTTATGTATTAGGGATGGGCATGATGAATTTATTTTTAATCTCTTCAAGATGTTAGGTAAAATCTGAGCTTGATTATCATTGTATGAGCTTTTAAAAATATGTTATAATTAAAATTATTCACGATTTTACATCCCCTTTGCCATTGCCAAGCTTATACTAATTGCTAACCTGACTCATTTTGTGCAAAGGGAAACATTTTCTCTGTATTGTAGATTAATAATATTGTAGACCTTCTGACATTTATATTTGTTGTATAAGTTTGTTCAAATCAGAAAATTTAAGTAGTGGTTGCAAAAGTAGTCATTTATTTAAAAAAAACAAAAAAACAAAAACAAAAAATGTGTGGGTGAAAATATGCAGATGAACATGATGAAACGTGTATGATGTAGCGGTTTAGAGCAGTAGAGTTTGACTGTTTGACTCAGGCAAGTGTGACATTGTGACAGAGAGAGTTGCCTTTAAAAAGATGTTTGCAAGAAATATAATACCGGTGATATCTCTGTATAGCAGACTGTCTGGACAAACGTTGTATGGAAATATAACAGAAAAGGTGCCATTTATTATAACTTAACAGCAACATCAATTCTTTGGGATAACGAGCATTTTCTGTGTACTACTGATGACTGCAAGTTGTGAAAAATATTTACGTACATGTCCAATAAATGTGAAGCAAGCAAAGTGAGAAGGCAGTTATATAATTTATCATGTCAGAACATGTCAAGTGTGATAATTCAGCTCCAGTAGTATAATTTTAACAGTAGCAGTGAGCATCTGCTTTGATTTCTCTGTTGCAAACCTGTGATTTAACTGAACCTAGAAGGATAACTTGACATATAGGAATTTGGTGGGTTTTTTTTCTTGTACTTTCATATTTCATGATTCACAGTTCACTGGAGAGAGGCCTGTAAAATTGTCTCAGTATGATTATTGTTTCCTCCTGTAAGAAATGGATTCTATACTATTGTTATTAACTACTACAAAATTGCCTATTTTTTTTGCTGCAAATGCTATAAAATAAGCTTGTACGCAAATAAGTTTGGGATGTTGCGAATTTATCCAATCCATGAGGTTACAAAAACATGTCTTCCAATACTTCTGCAAGGCATCAAGTCTAATAATGTTAGTATCCTGTTATCCTACTGGCTGTGATCATCCTTGAGACCAGTTTAACAATTCACAAGATTTAATGATATAATTTGGAACATAACTTACCAGAGCTCATTAATGTTTTTTTTTTTTTTTTAAATATAGTCTTTGTTTATTGTTAATTGACCTATTTCCATCTGTTTTAGTGTTTTAATAATTTTCTGAAAAAATGCCCATCCCTAGTATGTTTAATATGTGTTGTTTTCTGTCTTTATTTTGAGTCATTTTCACCCAGGCAGACTTTTCATCTTCAAGTCGTTTTTGTGACAGTGAGGATGAGGCCCAGCTGAAATAAGTTTTAAGTGGGATTTTTTTATTTTTTCTTACTACTTTAAATCCTACTATGATAAGAATCGGTAAGCAGATGTTGCTTTGATGCAGTGAGCCCAGTGCTTGGCTAGATGGAGCTGTTTTTCTTTACTGTCTACTCAGGTCCAAAGTGAAGGGGAAATCTATCAAATTTGAACAGTGATATCTTTATTAATGTGGCTGTGTCGTTGCCAATTATAACCTTTTGAATATAAATCAATATTCTGTCATATTTTAGTTCACATAAAAACACAAATGTCTGTGAATTAATTCAATGTTACAAGTGTTTCGTATTGACTAACCGGGAAGGATTCTTGTTTGTGTCTTGTCTTGGCAATTGAAATGCTCTACTACTGACATTCATTTCTCAGAGCTAAAGTGATACACAGAAATATGTGCTTTATGAAAAGTTACAGTTGTAGTTGTTGTCCTGCAAGACCGGTCTTGTAACCTAAGGTTTGTCTATGTGTGTGTGTTTAAACATCTCAGTATCTCAGGAAGATGAGAAGTTTGACATTGTCTTTTCTGTCCACTGTTATTAAACAAAATGATCATTTCCACATTTGTGAGGACCCCCACCCATGATACTTGAGCGCACACAAAATTACCCCACTCTCCAGTGCCCATCTGACATCTACTGTGACCAGTCTGTGTTCTCAGGAATGTGAGTAATTTTCTGTATAGACATATACTTTTTTTTTTTTGGTTGTTTTTTTTTCAGTGAAGAATGAACAATAAAAACATGTCTTTTTATAATTATGGATGTTTTTTGTCTTCGCTTTACTACATTACCGCATTACAAGAAATTCATTATTTATGTTAGGCTGGTAACACTTTACTTTACATAAGATAATGTTGCTACCAGCAGACGTTTGTTTGACAGTGTTTGTCGACAATTATAACTTCTCCTTGGAAGACACATTTTATATTATTACAACTATGATTTACTTTCAGATCTGTTTATGCACCAGCCCCAGATTCAGGATGCAGGAACAGGAAGAGTTATAGATGTTGACAAATATATTAATAAACACTTATATGTGCTTATAGTGTGTCATAAACCAGCTATTTATTAAAGGCTTATACACTCACTGATTATAAATGCTAAATGGTGGTGGTGGGAGGGGAAGGGGTTGACTTTGCCCCATTGGTAAATAATAATTGATTATGTTATGTAATAGATAGATTATATAATGTAAAAGATCCAGGAACTAATACAAAGCACACACCATTTTTTTCTAACTTTATTGAATGAAATATAGACAAGTTTCTGTATCCTTACTATTAACAGCTTGGAAAATATAAAAGACAATTAAGACCATGCTACATGGATATTATGCTAAATGGCTGCAGGTTATTAGTTAATATTACAACAATATGATTTTTAAGTACATACAGTAGGTATACAATCTGTACAAATGTTAACAGGTTCACAGTTAAGTGTTACAAAAAGCAGGGAGGACTGAAGTTGGGCAAGTGCCCCAACTAAATGCTTTACATTATGCAACAAAAGCAAAAGTCTTTAGTTCACTCTGTCATTTTTACTCAATTATTTTACATAAAGCATGTGTCGTGGATGTGTCACGCCCTCTAGAGTCAAAGTAAAGGGAAGTGGTGACCTAACAGGGGTCTGTACTTCCTGATCTTTCTCTCGTTTGGTCATAAAGCTGAGTGAAATGTGAGCCACCAAAATAAAATGAACGGCTTTTAGAAGCACTCACCATTACCATCTCAAGATATCCCAATGATTGCAACTTTGTCAAATTTGGTAGGAAAAATAAATACCAGTGTAACTCACAGTCACATGTCCGTTTTGGTGGTAAAACTGGAGCCAAGGAATGTTTCAGATATTCCTCCAGCCTAAATCATTTCCCCCTTTGCCAATAAAATTCAAAAATAAGCCCTGACCTTATGACTTAGGTTTGGTGAATGATTCAAAGTAGCTGAGTAGATGCTTTGGGAATCTAATTGAATGCAACTTATACAATACAACTTATCCTGTGAGCAATGGAAAGTCTGTGACTCCCTGATTTATCCTAACTCAATTTGGCTTTTAAATTAAGAGTAAAATGAGCTTTTGTTGTTATTTGCGGTACCATGCAGTTTGTGCCTCTCTAAATCCTCAACCAAGTGAGTCTGGTGCCAGTTTAATGGACCTGAGCTATCATGCTTGGTGAAGAACACAAAATAGTGCAGGTCTAGCATAAGACTGAACAGAACAAAGACAGTTTTCATACTTTTATCACCCTTATTAACACACACAGTTGAAGTCAAAATGACACAAATGACTAAAGACTAAAGGGTGTACTACTTTTCATAGGCAGCAGAGGGTGTCAACATACAGTCTTTTCATAAAGAAATATAAATTAAGTGTAGCAAGGAAGGTATTTAACCTCAATAAAACTACCACACACACCAATGATACATATGTCACACAGTAACAAGGCCATTAAACACTGTGAACATGAGATGCTTTGTAAGTGTTTCTTACATGCACTTGTCTACCCAGTATGACTCTTCCAGTGTCAAAATTTGCACGTTACTGTTTACCAAATACCTCTGCCACATGATCAAATGAGGGTGTTATAATAATATTTTATTGTATTATTACGTGAAACAATGCGTAACAATGTCTTTTTCACAGTGAATCAGGCAGTGATTGTTTGTTTCTTATCTACATGAAGCTTATTAAGTATTTTTGCCGGGGTGCAGAGTGAAGAACACATTGTGACAAAAGTCAAAACACGTGGTGCATTTCTGGTAGGTATTATCACACTCTCTGCCTTCCTGTTTTCATTTCTGCCGTCAGTCTTATCACTTACTGTCAGTGGAATCACACTTGTACCATGGTTTAATTATAATTGCTACAGATGCTTGAAATAATCTTACGAATATGACAGTTAAAGCTGTGACACACAAGGCACTTTTATGCAGCAGTTTCACATTTGTTTTGGTAAATTTTACTGAACCTTATTTTTTTTGGATGTTTGTATCACCCTTCAAAGTCACTGTCATAATGTTGCTCAAAAGAATACCTAATGTTTCACAGCTTAATATGGGAATTTTAAGAACAGGAAACAATGTCCATACAATAACAAAATGGGACAAAAAAAATGAAAAAATAAAGACTTAGGGGTGAATGAAAGAATACTCAAGTTATAAATACAATATACAAGATAATAATCCTCCATCTCTTCACCTTCTGACACCATCTCACTCTCGCTACTATACACATACAAACACACGCGCACACACACACACACACACACACACACATGCACAGATACACACTCGACCAGGTTTTGCAGACTCTTGCCTTATGCAGCAAGGGCAATGGAAAGTCACTGAGACATTGAACATACATCACACCGATAAGAAGCCAGATGGGATGCTTCTGAGGCAAAGGACATGCGTGAGTGTGCGTGAGAGAGTCAGTGGGTGGGTGAGGATGTGTCGGCGGGGTCGTCACGTTGTTGTGACGGGGAGGGCTGCGGGATGGGGTTGGGGTACAGGTGGAAGGGGAGGTGGAGAGAATGGCAGAGGTGTCACTCCGTCACTCAGTCTCTCTGGGCGGGGCCCAGTCTCAGCGTGTTACCACAGAGCAGCCACCTTCTTTCTCTTTCTCTCTCTCTTTTTCTCTTCCTGGTCCAGACAGTGTGTCTCCCAGGCATTAGTCTTGTATCGTCAGCTGTGGTGGAGAGGGAACAAAACAGTTATTAGGAACAAGAAAAAAAAAACCTGCATCTGCATATCAATGTAATACAATCTCTGCCAATCTCTATTTCCATGTCTTTGGTTCCACCTAAAATTGATTTCTTTTTGATGTGGATCCCAATTTTGAGCCTGAGGTTTTTGTGAGTGTATATTATTTCTTATGTGTTTTTTCTAACCACATAAGAAATAATATATACACTCACTGCATTCAGTTGTGCACTGTGACAGTGAATTCAGCAACTATATTATGTAATGCACCATGCACCTTTTTCCTAACGTGCTACAAACAACCTTGTCCTGGCTGTTTTCAGTTCATACTATAACTGTGTGTCATATGTACTGTGTATTGTATATAGCAGTGTCAGTAAATCCAGAGAGATAAATAGCACATAACATGAAAAGTTATTTATATACTGTACATATAAACTACGGTATTCTTTATCTCGTATCCCATACTTTTAGTTTTTGGTTTTCTATTTTAATGTTCGATTTTACCTAACGTTCTTTTTTCATTTGTCCTTTTATGCCCCTCAAGGTTTATTGGATGATTCAGGTCACACTTACTGCGAGAGCGCTGCTGTACCACTGCTGCTTATAAGCTGCTGTAACTCACTAAGCTTCTCTCCCATTTCTATTCCTCTCCAGACTCTCCTCTGCTGCAGAGCTGCATGTCTGCTTTAATAAATATGAAAGTGAACTACGCCCAGTTTCTTCCTCCTCTTCACCGCTTATATCAGACAACTTCAGACACTGTCACTAAAACATCATTGCACGTTACAAATTGCTGCCCCTTTGCACATACTGAAACTATAATTCAATCAAAGCAACTGAAAAAAACACCCCAACTTGAGCTCTTTGAAGCTTTGTAACTGAACCTAACAAATGCGTACTCCGACATGGTTTCTTGACTCCATACTGAGCCTGTGATAGAAGGAAAACAGGAGGAGGGAGTGGAGGAATCATAATCAGTCTTTCAGCACAAGTTCATCTGCCCCTCACACACCGCTTCCCTTTAAGACCCTGGCCTACAAAGAAGGGGTCAATGGCGGCATTCCTGCTTTGATATCAAAGGTCCCCTGGTTACTCGTAGCCCGAACAAAAGCTTTTTCATCTGGTCAGTGGGCAAATCCCCTCCCCTTCTGCCTAATAAAAGTAGGGCCCATTGATGTTTCAAAAAAGCCACTATGAGAAGATTGTACGATAGGCCTACAAAGGAATTTTGAAAATAACTAACTTTTTTCACTATTTCATAGTGATGGAAATGTTATAATGTAATACCTCGTGTAATACTGAAAAACTAAATATCACCTGCATTTTGATCTATTACCATTTAAACAGTTGTCATGACAATTCAAACATATATCAGAGTTGTAAGTTCAGTCTCACCTGCTCATGATGCTGCTGTGATCTCTGTGGACACAGGCTCGATCTCCTTCACCGCTTCCTCAATCACTTCGATCACCTGCGCCATCACCTCTGCGCACTTTCCTGACGGCGGTTTCTCTGTCTCTGTCTCTGGCTGGCTGGCTGCTGCCTCTGTGACTTTGCTGGGATCGGACACTTCTCCTGAAGCTGTCACTGGAGCTTCTTCTGACAGTGTTGAGAGTTTGCTTGCACTTGCGGGGCTCTCGGCTTTTACGCTGGTGTCTTCAGTCACGGGACCGTTGCTGTCAAACTCTTCCGCAGCCTCTTCTGCCACTGATTCCTCAACCACCTCCGCTGTCTGCAGGATCACCTGTACTGGCATGTGGATCGCAAGCACTTTCTCTCCCTCTGAAGGGGCCTCTGGTGTAGTTTCCTCTGATTGTGGTTTCACTTCCTCAGCTGCTTCTTTTATATCTGGTTCCTGAACTGCTTCTTCTTCTTTGCTCTGTTTCTCCTTGACCTGTTCAAGCTCTTCACCAATCTGACTCTCTGCCTTTATTTCTACGACTTCTTCCACTACAACAATTTCTTCACTTACTTTTACCTCCACAGCTTGCCTCAACTCTTCCTCTGGTTTCTTCTCCTCCTCCCCGACAGAGGCATCAGTGCTCTCTATCACCTCTATTTGGATGGTGTCAGTAACCTCCATGGCAACATGAAGTGGCTGAGGAGACTTTGGTGCTGGTTTTTCACAGATGACAGGGACAGGGGTTTCAGTGATAACAGGGGCCACTGGTGTGATCTCAATCTCTTCCTCTGTTGTTGCTATTGCCTGGACTGGTGTTGGGGTGGTGGCTGTTGGGCTGGCGGGCTTTTTAGGTTCAGGCTTGTCTTCTGAAACTTTTTCCATTGCATCCTGAATGACAGCCTGGGCAATGACCCTGCTCTGTGCCTCAATCTCACTGGCCTGATGCACATCCTCCTTGATATCTTCAATCTTCTCGGTGGCCTGCTCGGGGACTACACTGATCTCTGACTCTGCTGTTTGAACGATAGTGGCCTCCACAGTTTCCACAACCGTACCCTCTTCCTTGGCTTCTTCCACCTGGACTGGTTTATCACAGACTGCCTCCGACGCCACTGCGTCTTTCACGACCACCTCATCTGAGATTGCCACTTGGTCAGACTCGGTACTGAGTGAGGTGACAATGACCACTGTTTCTGTGATAACAGGAGCCTCCTCACTTGGTATGACTACAGGAATGACTGGCTCAGTCTCGTTTGTGATGGTGATCTTTGCAGTTTCACCAATAGTAGAAGATATCTCTTCAGTCATAACCTGAGCGACCTCTTTTATGGGTGTGTTTTCTTCAGTGGCAGCAAGTTGCTCTGTGTCGATTTTCACTTCCTTGGTCTCAACAATTGGCTCAGAGACCTCTACGCTCTGGGTGCAGACAGGAATTTCAGATGTTGGTGTAATGGGATTGACTACTACAGATTTAGGGGAGTTCTCGCTCACGGAGGTGGCCTGAATGACCTCAGTCTCCTCTAGAACAGTGTTGATGACTCCAACCTTCTCCAGCTCAGGTTCATAGCTCTCAGTGGCAGCTTCAATATCTGTCGCTTCACTCTGTGAATTTTCAACAACAGGTTCAAGGTCAATGGTTTCTACCTCCTGGGCTTGGGCCATGATCACTTCATCTGCTGCAAGAGTGGCTTTCTCTGTACTTGCTGGCTTCTCGTCTATTACCACCTCTGTGCTCAGAGAATCACGGACCACAGCCACACACTCTACAAGGGGGACCACAGGCTTCTCCAGAGCTACTTTGGCAATCTCCTTGGTGCCTAAGCCAGTGCAGATAGCCATGGCCTCATCTTGAGCATGTGGCTCCAGAATGGTATTTTCCTTAGACTCTGCAGTCTCAGTTGGTGGTTCATACTCAGTACTTTCAGTAGCTACCTCTACTTGTACATCTTCAACAGTCACAGATGTCTGGGCTAGGATTTCACTGATTTGGGCCTCAATAGCCCCCACTACCTCCTGGGCGGTTCCCGACTTAGGTCCTTGAGGAACAGGGGTGGTTTCTGCAGCTAGAGCCAGAGTGACAGGCTTCTCTTCAGCTGTGGACAGCCTGCGCCCCATGCGACCTGGAGCTTTAGGAGGCAGCATAGCTTGGTCCTCAGTTTCATCCTCTGCAATGTCAGTGTCAACAGACCTAGGCGTGGCAGCATTCTCTGCCTCCTCTGGGATGTCACTCAACTGATTGTTTTTATCATCAATGTCTTCGACGGTGGCTGGAATCCACGACGGGGACCTATCTTCAGTGGACACTTTAATCTGGACTGCAGCTGGTTCTGCCGGTGCTTCCTGTTCGGCCTCAACTTGCTCGTCATACTCGGACATAGGAACCACAGCCGGGGTGTCAGAGTCCTCCTCACCTGAGCCCATTTCAGTGGAGGCTTGTTTTTCAGCCTTCTTCTTCCTGCGTCCAGGGAAGAACTTCCTCAAAGAGAAAGATGACTCATCCTTTGGTGCTTCACTGTCTGACTGGACCTGCTCTGCACTCTCCTCTGGCTTTTCCTCAGCTTTGGCCTTATTCTTTGACATAACCATGCGTTTCAGCGTGTCCCAGGTGGATTCTCTCTCAGGAGGGCTGTTTAAAGGTTCAGGGGAGGAAACAACTTCTCCCTCACTCTCTGTGTTTTGGGAAGTGACAATGGCAGCCTCAGTTTTGCTCTCCTGTTCCCCTTCTACTGATGCTGATGCTGCTGCTGCTGCTGCAGCTTCCTCTTCAATCTTGGTCTCATCATCATCGGAATCAGAGGTCCTCCTTGTCTTCTTTTTGGGTCCACCCATACACATTAGGGCCTCCCAGGAGACAGAGGTGTCCATTTTCCTTTTGGGCTCCTCGGTGCTGCTGACCAGTTTCTCTGTGTTTTCAGTCTTTGGCTCTTCCTCGGTTGGCTTTTCCTCCTCAGCATCTTCCTCAACACTCTTATCTGCTAATGCAGCACTCTCAGAAGAGGGCAGAGGCTTTGCTGGTTTTTCACCTGTGGCTTCATCTTCGCTCTCAGAAGACCTTTTCACAATCTTCTTGGGTGTAACTAGTTTCTTGAAGGAGGACCAGGCAATGATTCCCTCTTTTTTCTTCTCTCCATCAGAGGCAACTTCACCCTCAGTCTCTTGGCTAGACCCATTCTGAGTGACCTCCACAGCAATAACATGCTCTCCTGATTCCTCTGGAGATGAGGGCCCACTGTCAGCTTTAGGAGCCTCTGTTAACTCAGTGGAGGACTGCAGTTGCTTGGCTGCCTGCTCCCCAGACTCAGTCAGTTTGCTCTCGGCATCTTTCTTGTTCTTCTGCTTCTTAGTTGACAGCTTCTTTAAGCCAGCTCCAGTGAAGAGCTTCTTCAGGGGGCTTCCCTGGGGCTTTGCCTTCTCCTGTGATGATAGCAGCTCAGCCTCAGAAGTCACCTCCGCTGGAGCCTTCTCCTCTTCTGCACCACCTTCTGCTTTTTCCTCTTCTTGTTTGGTCTCATCAGTAGTAGCTGCCGCAGGAGCAGGGGTTTCAACAGTGACATTGGGCTCTGGTGTGGTCTCTGATTTTTCTTCCTCAGGAGCAACTGGTGCCTCCTCCTTGGGCTCTGATTTCTCTTCCTCAGGAGTTGCTGGCGCCTCCTCCTTGGTTTCTTGCTCTGCCTCAGCCTTCTCCTCCTTTTCGTCCACTGCAGCAGCAGTTTCCTCTGTCTTAGCTGTCTCCTCCTCGACAGCTGCCTCCTTGTCCTCCTCCTCTTTTGTCTTCTTGATGCTGGCCTTCTTTCGTAGGTTAGAGAAGAGTCCTCCACTAAAGAGCTTTCTGAAGGGGGACAGGGTGGTCTCCTGGGAAGGTGGAGTGGCCTCTTCTTCCTTCTCAGCTCCTTCCTCCTTTACTGCTTCATCAGTAGCTTCAGCAGCAGTGCCTTCAGCTGGGGCATCAGTGGCTTCAGCTTTGTCAGTCTCATCTTTAGTGACTTCTGTCTCAGCAGTAGCTGCCTCTGTGTCAGCCTCCTTTTCTTCAGCCGTGTTCTTCTCCTCAGCAGCCTCCTCCTTCTTTGTAGGTTCCTCAGTCCCACTAACCTCCTCTCCTTCTTTATCTTTGACTGTCAGTAGCTTCACGGGCTCTTTCTCCTCACTCTTGTCCTTCTTCAGAGTGAACTTAAAGCCCACAAAGCGGAAGATCTTCTTGAAACCCACTTCACTGGCATCGTCAGGTTTCTCCTCCGCTGCCTTCTCCTCCACAGCGGAGATGTCATTGGCATCAGGAGACTCTTTCTCCACTTTCTCCCCGTTCACTTGAGGAGCTACTTCATCCTGGATGGTGCCCATAGTCTCAGGAGCCTCCTCCTTCTGAGCCACAGATACACCATCTGGCTGGCCAACTGAAATGACAAGAAAAGAAAGAGCTGTCAGTATGATACTGATCAAATTCATCACTTAAGCTCTACTACTTCCCTATACAGCTCATACTCTGCTACAGGAAGCTCACTTACAATATTCCCATGATATTCATGTAAAAATGCTGTGCTGTGCATTATGTAACATTTAATTCAACAAATTCAGGTAATGATGAGGAAATCAGCTCAAACAGCATAAACCACTCTGTGTTTAATCAAATGGCATTACTCTGAGGAGAAACTACATTAAAAACAAATGAGATTTTTACATCATGAATGAAAGTCTCTTTGCCATCTGCAGATACTTAGAGATGCTGTACAGAAAGTATTTGCTGAGATCCCGATGCTGTGAGATGATTTCATCAAGCACATGACCAATAATTGCAATCAGATTGTAATTTGGTCCCACTAAACCTGTGCTATGTGACCATGCCAAAGAAATAAAAGTTTTGGCATTGACACAAATAAAAAAGAAATCCCCCAAAGGGAGAAAATGTTGCACAGTGAGAGTAATGCTATTGGCAATTTGTGGATTATTGTCCCAAAACACAATATGTGCAGACCTACAACACAACCTCACAAGGGGTGCCTTGTGTGACCCACTTTTAGTTTCTTTCGACAGTCAAACTGAAACACTTATGACATTATTGTGAGAAATCCATTAGTAGTCATACAAATAAAAGATAAATAACAGTTGAGATAACAGACATAAACTACACAACCGACACACACATCCATGTCTACTATCTGTGTTTTGACAGAGGAAGGCGTAGGGGGATGACGACCTGCCAGTGTCTGAAGCTTTCCTTCTGTTTTTTTCTTTCTTTCCTACTCAGATCTCACTACAGTCTGGGAAACCTCACATCTGATACCCCTGGACTCTCAAAACAAATTCCCAGGACTTTTAATGCTTAGATATCAGCTTACCTGATTACACACACAGGGGAACTCAAAGATGCATACGCACTGCCAGAAACCACGCACACTGTGGGAATCACACTGGGAACAGCTCACTATTATTTGCATCTGTCAGTCACACATCAAAATACTATACAGCTACCGACTATAAAATAGTTCGACTTACTTTTTAAATCAAGACAAATACACACAAAAATATAAAGTATAAAAAACAAGGCATTTGATTCCAATTCCTCTTTTTAATATGCTGTCTTCTATGAAAATTGGATTCAGATTGTAAATCTCTCCATATCTGAGAAAGACGGGTTCTTGCCTCACACACAAAAATGTAAAACTGTGCGCCCACATCTGTCCACATCCTCTTCCTAAATTATAGACACAACGCTTCACTTCATTCCTGAAATGTTTTAGCTTTAAAATAGAAAACCTGATATTTAACAGCTTACCTGTAATTAGGTAAAACCTCTTTGCACTGTTGCACTACATGCTAAATCTGTGTGCTAAAATAAAGAGATGCTTTGATACACTAATGATGTTAGCAGGGGCACGCCCATATCTTATGTATAGATGTGACTTGAGAGGAATGTGAGCTATGCTGCTCATGCTATGTTTGGGGGAATTATTTTAGGGTGCTGTAAACATAATCTGAATTTAAATGCGAGGGCACTTCAAGAATGTTTATTTGTTTTTTGGTTAAGCTGCGTCTCGTCTGCGGCCATATAGGATTCAAACCAAACAATACAGGCCTCTGCTACCCCTCCTTAAAATAAGTCCCAATCCCCTTGACCCAAATTCCACCACAGCAGGATGGATGGGGACCCACCCCCTTCCCGAGGCACACACTCATGCAAACACAATAGCCTTCTAACCCTCTCTGGCCTCTGAAAATAAAAGAAGGGGTGTGGTCAACTTTCTTATTATCAAGACATGGTGCAGTTTAGAGTTGGCTTACTTTACCAAACTGATGTAAACATGAATAAAGAAGGAGCTTGGGCAATTTATAAGATGTCACATGGTAGTGGGGTCTGTCTCACATATGTGTTATTTTCCCTGTACTCACGGTCCAATCACACCGTTAAGTGAGCAAGTCAGAACTCGAAAGACCACAAACATCATATACAGAAACAGAAGTCAAGCAAGCGTTTATCTAATATGCAACCTACGCTTTTAATTGGCTGACACAAATTCAACTTTGCCTAAGTAGTAAATGTGTGTCAGTGTACATAATTACACCCGTTCCTCTAAGCTGTTCTCAATAAAGTTCCGGTGCATTGAAGAGTTTTTGTGTGAAGATGTGTGTGTGTGTGTGTGTGTGTGTGTGTGTGTGTGTGTGTGTGTGTATCTAGGAGGAGGTCAGTCTGTTAGCCAGCCATAGCCATGTGTATCTACATGGATAATAAAAGAGGAACCATGTTGATTTAACAGACTACTGGCATTTCTCTCGTCTTTTTGATCTTTGTTTTCCGGCCCAGCTTTTTTTTTTTTTTTAACAGGCACACAACTGTTAACATCCTTACACTGATTTGGTTTTGGGGGGGTGGGGTGGAGAAGGAGTAAATGCGAGGAGAGGGAGAGGGGGGGGGTGTTTTGAATAACGACTGTACCAGAAAGAATGCGAGTGCGAGGGGTGAGGCTACAGGGGGTGAGTATAAGGGACACTTAGGAGATGAAGGGACAGGCCTGAAGGGGATGAGGGGGGTTGCTGCCTTGAGGCTAAAGCCCTAACTCACTTTAAAGGGTGTTGCATATCTCAGACACACACATTTGTGGCTGAAATGCTTCTCTCCGTTGTGGACAGGCTTTGTTTATGTGTGAGCATGTGGTAAGGTGATGATCCCATATTAAATATCATAGCTGCGGCCAGAAAAACAATTGTTGTAAATTTACCCCAGTCTCCAGTGAGATCAGATAACGTTTCTGTTGTGGCTATTTCACCACTACTATGGATTTGTGTCTTGTTAAAGGGGGTCTTGGGGGGGGGGGGGGGGTGCAGTTGAGTCAATGGCAGCTATTCTTTCTGGACACAATATCCAAACTTTGCTAAATATATGCAAATCCTTGTTATAATTACTGTTAGTCTGGAGCAGAGGCCATATAAACAAAAGAAGTCAGTTAAAAAAAAGAGGGCAAGGAGACACCCCAGCACCCTCCCCCAACAGGACCTCTTCTAGCACCCCCTCTCTGTATCAAAGGTGTGGTCAAAGTGGCTCCGTGGCTCCAGGGGACCCTACACATCAACAGTGAAGGCACGAATAACACCCACTTTAGGAAAATAACTCTCTGTAATCTAATTAACATCAAGTCGAGGTCTGATGTAACTGTATGCTGTATTAGATCACAGCAAAATATAGAAAACACAAATGTTATCTATCAATATCAACGCTCTGGCATTCCAGTCATGTACCTGAGGTCACAGTGAAGCAAAACATTCAAACCCTGCTCCATTTCAACCATCACTCCCAGTTATGAGGCCTGAAGAAGAATCGGTCTTGGCATGTAATTAATTCCATACGCCCCTCTCTCCTCCCTCCCTATCCTCCGCGGCTAAGCTGAATAACCCCACTGGGAATTAGGATCCCACTCTACCCTAATGAAATACTTCACATGACAGAATGCTGACTTTAGCTGACTTGGATGGTGACATGAGCTAAAAGCAGGCTCTGAAAATATGTCTGTGAATGCATCTTCATATATTTCCATCTGGCAGCTGTCACTGTGTGAAATTCTTTTCCCACCAAAAAGTTTGGCAGTTGAATGGGATGTATACCCCAGAGTTCAGGGCAGTCAGCAGTTGGTTTTGGGCAGAGACAGTGGTTACAGCACTGTGAATGGTATTTGTTAGTACAGTGGATAAACAAGTCTTTTCTACAGCGTAACTGTAAAAGGGGATGTCTTGTAAAAAGCTGGACTTGCTCTGGCACATCCCACCAAACCACTGGTGATGTACACAAATGATGAATGAACACTTGATGATTACAGACGAGAAATTGTAATTAAATTAGAGTTGAAACTTCATGAAATGTGAAAACTACAAAAGTTAAGCATGATTTGACTTTTTACACGACAAGGCTCTGTGGTGGTCAAAACAAAGACATCTCACCACTGAAATCACTCGCTCGTGCCGGGACATCTACAAACCACAATGCTAACTAACCACACCCTCAGGACAACAATGCCTTCGGCTGCTCTCACTCATGCATAGAGAAACCACTTGCTTAAGTTTTCAATATATTCTAAATAAATCACTCAAAGTCACAAAAATGATGGAAAGTCTATGTTTTAACTTAACTTTGATACAAGCCCACAAAAGTAGCCACAAAGTTGCATATATGTTGTAATAAATAACATCCCTATATTATTAAAATGGTAAATGAAGCCTTTTACCTGTTAGAGTAATTGTTCCAAGCATTGGTAAAAGTCCAAAAATCCTTTCACCAAAAAATTACAAAAATAAAAAAGATGCAAAAAATCTAAGATAAGTGAAAAAATATGAGTGAAATGTATTTTGTTTAGGCTTTGTATTGTTTCCCTTCACTTGTCTGCACACACAGATTAAATCTGAGATTTGTTTCTTTGAGTTGACTCCGTCTTAACTCCTACAGTTGTGTGTCTTTCTCTCTCGCTCTCTCTCTTCCAGCGCTTCTCAGTCAGTGTGAACAGAAAGGAGGGCTCCACACACATTTCAACAGACTGACACACATGTCATGTTAGGACCACCCCTGCCTCCCTCCTCCTCCCACCTCCCTCTCCTTTCTTCAGCTGTTCTGAATGAGCGCCCTTTCACCCCCCCACTCCATCCCCACCCCCCACTCTCCTTCCCTCTCCTCCTCTTCCTCATCCACTCGCCCCCTCTCAGAACTTAGCGTCCATCCACTCAGCGGATGACTAGAGCTCATCATGTGATCTCTCAAGGAAGCATTTGTTGTCCACTATTGTACATGCAAAAGCTCCATATAACCCCCCCACCCCCCACCGTGTTACTCACGCAACCTCATACACATTGATTCTTTGGGGTGGGGGCTCAGGGGTTAGGGGGGCCTTGATAACTTAAGGCTCTGTGGCCTTAG